GAGGAACAAGAATTTTCTTGAAGAGAAAAGCTTTCATAATAAAACTTGGTTTGTGGGCATAATATGTTTTAGAAACATTCTTGTAGTCCAAAGCACTTGTGTGTCAAAGCAAATTTCCCTATAAAAAATAATGGAAACTCAGATGATTTGGTTATGAAGTTTTCCTTCTCAAAGTGCTCACTAACATGACCAGGTTTGCCCATTTCTCCCTCTGGAGTTAGGATTCCAGGTGCTTCTAACCTCAAACAAAGAATTCAATAAGAGGAGAAAAAAGTAGTGGCCAAGTTTATTTAAGAAAGTAAAAATGAAGAGAGAGGGAGAAGCTGGTTCTGCAGAACAAGCTCAGGACAAATAGAAGCAGGAAAATCAGGACAGGGATACCCTGGAGAAAAGAGGGAGGGCTATCATGTCACCGCAAACTCTTCTTGTCATCTGTGCCCTTGTAATACCTCTCTGGAAGTCCTTGAGACCCACTGTCCTGAGAGCTGGTGCTGGGATCCCACTCCTCAGAGTGACATCAGGTCCAGGCCCTTCTGTTGAAAACCTGCTTATTTCTCACTAGAAGTCCATGTGCAGGGCTTTGGAAACTGTTCTGCGCATGCTTCTGAGGTCTCATAATTAACAGATCACATCTAATTCCCCAGTTTCGCCATGCACTAGCCTCTTATCTCAATCTGTTATACAAACCGAAATATTCATGTAAAATGATTACAATACTGTTTCCCTTACTTTGAAAATCCTTGTGGCTGGCCAGAGGGAGGCAACCAAGGGGAGGGTCATTGAGCAGGACAACTTCCACTGTCCCTAATAGAGTCACTGCTATCTTTTGACTCAATGGTATCTTCAGTTTTTCACAAGGAATCTATCTAATGACACTTGCTTTTGCCTCCTTTTGAGGATTTTGCATTGTCCTTAAACAGATTCATTGCTATCATTGCTATAGCCTCATCTGGGTGGTGCTTTTCAACAGAATTGAGCACTATTTTACACGTTTTACATATATCCCTAATCTCACTTGAATGAGGGATTCCTTCACCTTTTCTCTTCCTTTTTGAATGTGATTACCTGTGTAACTTTCTCCTGGCGGGAGATGGGTCACCCATAGTCTTGTGGGGGGCCGAGACCATTTGTTCAGTTCAGATCATGTGACATTCATTGTCACATGCTAATACTGCTGAGTGTTGCTTGTTTATCAAGTTAAAGTTTATTAGAAATGTTTGTTTGTCTTGTGGAATACTCACCGAGCAAACTCCTTACAATACAAGATTTTCTCCATATTAGGTTCCATTGTGTATGGCATTCCAAAAATGGGAAACAAGGTATAAATGTATTAATAAAATCTTAAACACAAGCATTTACATGCTTTTGTTTGTCATGTATGCTAACTTCATGACATCTGAGTTACAAAATATTATTTCCTAACAACACCGAATAACAGAGTTTGCTATAACTAGGATGGGTATTTGTGTTCATGAGAAAGAATAGCATGCCCCGTAAGGATACTGGTGTGTCTGAACCGAGAGTGGATTGTGACCTCACTGGAACTACTTTTCCCAGGATTGCTCAGCTTATAAGGGCGTTCATTTGCTTGTGAACCATTAGTCACAAAGGTCAGGTGATTTCTGGAGTGCAGAGAGGTGACCAGTTATATGAATGTGCCTTTTCCCAGTATCATTATAAAACCTGGGCAACCTGAAAAAGAAGCACCAGTGTCACCACCAGAACCAATTTTAATTTTACTATTGTCATCTCTATCGTCTTGGTAAAGGTATAAAGGAAACTCAAGGAGGAAAGGAACAGGAACCATCAAGGCAACATCTCTCTCCCTTTTCTTCTTTAACTTCTTCTCTTCCCCTTTTCCTTTCCTTTCACTTCCTTTTCCTTGAAAAAGCTATTGAGAACTTTTTTCGTATGATACTTGAAATCAAATATATCAACAGATACCTGCTTAGAAACTTGAAAACAAAATCTGTTGGGCCAGGATGTTGCTCAGTGGATAGAGGCCAGCATGTTCCAGGCCCTGGGTTTAATCCCTGACACCAAAAAGTAAACAGCTAAATAAATAAAAGAAGTACGTTAAATATTTCTACGACTTTTCCAAAAGGTAATGTAAGCACTAAATACCTAAAGAAATTTTAGGTTGTCACGTAAATGGTACCCATTATAAGGATTTTATTTTCCGGCTTATTGCCTGGAATTTATTATTCTTCAGCAAAATGGGAAAACCCTATTACTCAAGTAAAACTCCATTTTTATGCAGTGTCAGCACTGGGATCATTCTGAGGAGAAAAAAAGAATTTTATAGATAGAGAGAAGCTAGCAGTTTATTCAGAAATTTTGGAGTGGGGAGAAAAAAGTCTGTGTTTGTCACCTAATGCTAAGTGATAAGACACTCCTAATTAATTTGGTTCTATAAAATGTAGAGACAAGAGTTTCATAACTGAGAAATACAACTATCTGTGTTCCCTCTCCTGTCTCAGCGACTTCCTTGTATAACTCCACGAGGAATCACTGCTTCCCTGTGGCTGCTTTAGGACGCAGTCGCTCTGGCAACCGCTGTCCCCTGTGGTCATAGCAGTGTCCCCATTACCTACAAGTTCCTGGGACCAAAAGCTGGAGCCAGGCTCTGGGTTCCAAAGAGCTTTTGGGTAGCCTAACATTCTTCCTGCTCTAGGTGTCAGCAGCAGTTAGAAGTGTTGGTACTTTTCTTTTTTATCGGTACCAGGGATCGAACTCATGACTGCCTGCTTGAAAGGCAGGCACTTATGCCACTGAGTTAAATCCCCAGCCCCTGCTAAATCCCCAAGAGTGTTCGTACTGACGGTGTGATGCAGCTGTGTGTCAGAGAGAGGGCGGTCCTCTTGCCTCTGTCTCCAGGGATTGATTTCGTTTCACGCATAAAGGGCTGTAGCTCCAAGTGTCACACACACCCACTAATCCTGTGAGGAGGGGCTGAGGGGTCTCATGCTTTACACCCAGGAGAGGCGGATCGCGCACCTCTGAGTGTCTTGCTCGTCTCATGGGGTTCCGATGGTATCAGTGACTTCCTACTTTATCGTAATTGTATAGTAGCCTCATAGAGACAAAATTTGTAGGGGATTGGGGGATTTTTTTTGAGATGGTGTTATCATGTAGCCCAGGCTAGCCTTCAATTACCAGTAATCCTCCTACCTCTGCTTCCCCAGTGCTAGGATTAAAGGCATACAACACCATTCCTGGCTTCAAATTTGTTTTGTAAACTGAAACCGTCTTGTCTCAGCCTCCCATAGTGCTGGAATTACAGGCATGTGCCCCTGCTGCCAGCGAGGGATTCCTCTCTAGACTGCTTACATTTCACTAAAATTGTACTGGATTTGGCCATTGTAAGATGAAGGTTAAGCTAGGCATGGTGGTGCATGACTATAATCTGAGCACTCTGGAGGCCAAGACAGGAGACTTGCAAGTTCAAGGCCACCCTGGACACTTTAGCAACTTAGCAAGATCCTGTCTCAAAAATTTAAAAAAAAAAATTTTATAGATGGCTTAAAATAATTAAGTGCTAAAGTCCTGGATTTTAATCTCCAGTATCCAGGAAAGAAATGTTTTGTAAGAGTAAACATCTTGGGAATAATAATTATATGCTTTTTCAAGCATCTCTTTGGACAGCAGTCACTGAAGAATAGAATTGTGTGTGTAGCGTCAGCCGGGAGGAGTCAGTTGCCTTTTCTTTGCATGGTTTTATAATCATCTGCATCAGCCCTGGATGGATGACGCTGACCATCTTCACAAACTGCGAAGATGGAAATGTTTGCCTGGAGCCTGTGGCCAGTGATGAGAAAGGCACCTATGTTTGCCTTCATGGTAGGGTATGAAGAAATGGAGTTGAGACCCTTCAAGCTGATATTTTTACGTCCATATACATTGCTCTACAAAACAGAGTGGCCAGTGTATAAACAGTTTCAGAATCGACAGTGACTGAGATGGCTTCTTTTCCTGGTGTGTGCTTTGGAGAATATGGTATGGAAGTCTTAGTGGTCTGCGTCGCCTTCATTGCCTCATTGGGTTTCGGCATCACCTCCCTGCCTGGTTGTACCACTTGCTGCCTGTGGATGACTCACACGACCCTAAGAATTCAGCTTCCTCTTCCTCACATGTAGGAGTTGTGTTTCAGTGAAGCACGCAGCCAGGATTGTGACTGGTAGGCTGCGTAGCACACTGGAACACTGAAAAAGAGTAACTGTCACTTTTCTTTTAACTAACAATATAAGCAATAAAATAGGGAAATTTTTTAAACAATTGTACCGAGATATAATTCACATACCATACAATTCACTTAAAATATAAGGCATTTAGAAGGTAAAGATTTGCACAGGAGAAAATTATGTAATAATGCTTTCCTCATGTGTTGGTCGTCATATCGTGGATGTGGGTCTTTCCTTACACTTACCTGCTCTTCAAGGGGGTCTCACCCTACAGCCATCTATAGAGGCACACACGCGCGCACACACACACACACACACCCTTTATGGTGTGATACATGCATGACTCATCAGGCAGCTTACACCATTGAACCTGATCACTTTTATTTGTGTTTTTACTAATAAAATTAATAAATGGTTACCCAGTGAACAGGCATGTATGTATCAGCAGTGGTTCAAGCTGCCCGGGAATAAGACATATGAATTTTGGTCCCATCATGAATGTGGTAAAAGGATGAATCAAAGATGTTCAAAATGCAATTGGAAGCAAGGTGCTGTGATACACATCTCTAATCTCAGCTACTTGGAAGGCTGAGGCGGGGGAATGACAAGTTTGAGGTTAACCTGGGGCAACTTGGTAAGACTCAGAGCTGAGAATGTAGCTTATTGATAGCCCTTAGATTTAATCCCCAATATGAACGAAAAAAGAAGAAACAGCAATTAAAAAGCTAACAACTTTGGCAATACATTCTGTATTGGCAATTATTTATGGGACTTACAGAAAGAAGGCAGGTCTATTTTTAGTCTGTGGCTTTTTCATAGGAGCTGCTGCTATGTCCCACCAGCCTCTCAGCTGCCTGACTGAAAAGGGGGACAGCCCTGGTGAAACCACAGGGAATGGACCTCCCAGCCTGGCTCACCCCAACCTGGACACCTTCACCCCGGAGGAGCTGCTCCAGCAAATGAAAGAGCTTCTGGCTGAGAACCACCAGCTGAAAGGTGAGCTCTTGTCATAAGGGTCAGAGCTAAGCTCCTTTCTCTTTTTTTCCCTGAGGGAGGAAAAAGCTGAGAGTGGCCTCTGATAGGGCCAAAATGATTTCTGTGTTTACTTCTGAATAGAGGTGAAGATAAAAGATGTTTAGGGCTGAAGTGTCCCCCAGTGGTAGAGCCAGCATGCCTGAGGCCCTGGATCTGATCTCAGAGGCTCCACAGTAGGCAGGCAGGCAGGCAGGCAGGCAGGCAGACAGGATTCTGTCTCGGGGAGATGGTGTAATGATATTTAGTGCATTTAAAAGGAAAATAAGAGAAAGAGTGCTACAATTATAGATTTAGTCCTAAATATTGCCTGTTAAAAAGTATTCTGGTAGCTTTTTGGGAAGACCTGTGTTCTAAGTAAGGAGAGACAAGACCTCCCTCACTGCCCTGATGTGTTCATTCATTTGTTCATTCATTCAGTCACTCATTCAGTGCTGGGTATTAAAGCCAGGGTCTTGTACATGCGAGGCAAGCGCTCTGTTACATCCCCAGCTAGCCTCATTGTTAGTAGGGTTTTCTGCTGTAGTGAAGGGACCTAAGTCAATTTTCTTTTCTTTTCTTTTTTTTTGAGCCAGCATCTGTCAGAGTTGCCTAGGGTATCCTTGAACTTGTAGTCCTCTTGCTTCTGGGTGTGTACCACTGTGCCCAGCTGGTTGGTCTTTTAAGGACTAGAAATGGTGTTAGACCTGCTAGTTCTGCCTGGAAGCAAAAAACACTGAGTTAATTAGAGTCCCTTTGTTTTCGTGCTGACCCTGGGGTGCCCGCCAAGCCTGGTACATTTAGATTCAGAGCCAGGCAATGGGGGGATTGATGTGTGAAATTCTGCCCAGTCTCCGGGTGTGTGCCTTCCTCCCTCTGAATCCCTCATAGAAGCCATGAAGCTAAACAATCAAGCTATGAAAGGGCGATTTGAGGAGCTTTCAGCCTGGACAGAGAAACAAAAGGAAGAACGCCAGTTTTTTGAAATCCAGAGCAAAGAAGCCAAAGAACGTCTGATGGCCTTGAGTCATGAAAACGAAAAATTGAAAGAAGAACTTGAAAAACTAAGAGGAGACCCACAAAGATCAGCAGAGGTGAGCAGACCCATCAGCTGTGATTTAATTTTCTCAATATCTGCAGTAGGATCTTACTTATCTGGACTCCTTCCATTGTTCAGGCTGGACTGGCCTAAGAAATGTTTTTGCTAGAAAGACTGGTTGCAGTTTAAGGCCAGTATAATCTCTGTTGAGCGTAGGAAATTTGTAAGCTTTAACTATATCGTAGCCAAAAGAATACAGAGCTTATAAATCGGTGTTTTGTTACACATGGTGCAGAAGGAGGGTATTAAAAACTGTCCAATGATTGCTTTCCATTTATATCTTTGATATAAAATTACATTTTGAAAATCTGTTACTCAGAATGTCTACTTACTGTCTTTTTTTTGGTTTAAAATAGATTATTCACTTTATGTTTTCCTTTCAAGCACTCACTTGACAAATGCCATGTGGTGATAGGAGCCTGACTAGGGTTGCCCTGGTTAAAGAGATCAATTTATACACACAATTTTTTTTATTTTATTTTATTTTATTTTTTTAAATTTTATTTAAGGAGAAAAGAAAAAAGAAGCAGGGAAAGGGTACAAGTTATACAGATTTACAGAAAAAAAAAATGAACAGTAGGAAATCACTAGTTAATGGATTACATATTGTCATCTTAGAAATAATTGTTCAAGTTACACACAATTTTGTTGATCCAGAGAACCTGGGGTGTGTTCAGGAATGGGTGTGAAAGATGTTAGTGAAAACCAAACTGGAGGATGTTCAGAGTCCCTGCTGGTTCACTAGGGCTGCCTGGGTCTCATTCTGCTACGCGGATGTAAGCAAATGTCCATTCCCTGGTACTTAACCCTTGGAGATGGAGCACTGTTTTGATTATGGAGAGGTTTTCTCCAAGATCAGTGATCTTTCTTGAAACTTTGCCTTGGACTTTGTTCCTCCCTGTGTAAAGAATACAAACAAGGAAACAAAAAATGGCCAGAAAGGAAGGACTGATATACCATAAAACATTGGAAAATGACTTAGAAAAAATTTTATACTTCCTATCAGTGATCCTATTGACTTCTGCCCATGAGGCAATGAACTTTCTGCTTCAAAAAATCTGAATTTGTATCAGGAGTGTTTCTTTGTGGATAAGATTTATTACGCCTGACCTTTCAGTTTATCTTATAGTTCAAAGAGCATTAAGTTCCTTCCTTGACAGAGAAGAATCTCTGATTAGCTAAGTATGTTTGAGGCAGAAGTTTTTGAAGAAATGATCACCTGAGATGCAGTATATATTTTCTACTTTCAGAAAAAATATCTGACATTGTTTTCCTTCCTTGAATTTTGGAATGTGAGCTGACAGATGGCCTCAGTCTGCAGGAGCCTGTCTCACTGAACCCAAAGGGAAGTTTCCAGACAGTTTGTCTTTTCTGAGATAGTCCACCTCTAGGTTTTCCTAAAAGGCTCTAGAATTAGAAGAAGCTGAGACTAGAAGCTGGAGCTCTGGAAGGTTGCTTTCTTTTTTTTTTTTTTTGGCATCAGGGATTGAACTCACAACCTCGCACTTGTCAGACAGGTGTGTATGCCACTGAGCCAAATCCCTGGCCTGGATGGTTGCTTTCAAGGTGGATAATCCAAGGGTACAGCTCCCAGCAGGGCTCAGCAAGGATGTGAGGTGCTTGGGAGAAAGAATTCCACTCAGTCCCACCGAAGCTCATGTTAAGTTCATCTCCAGACAGTATTTTCTGGCTTTTAATTGTACCTACATCTGGGCAAAAGTCACAAGGCAATCTTTCCTCCTGACATGGCGTGTTAACCTGGGCACACATTCAGGACAGATGGGAAGATATACAAATATAGGGAAAGACAGAGACACTGTGTCACCAGGTCAGTAGGTGTTCAAAAACAGTAACAATGGACTTGGAGTAGAGCTCAAAGAGAGACCATGGGAGTTCTAGTCTAGGAAAGGAATGGAAAGAATCTCCATAGTAAAATGAAATGAAGCAGAAATTGTCTTTACTGTGTTTCATGGCAAGTAACAATGCATGATTTCCCAGGTATGATTAAAAAGAAAATTAGCGTATCTAATCTGAGGTTCCAGTGTCACAACCTTAGATACTGGTTCTCCAAGCTTATTTAAAACCACTTCCTTTTATCCTTTTACCCTCCCATCAAGATGTGTAAAAGTTCATTCGATAAAATGTCCATACACACCCAAGAGGGTACACCTAAAGTTTCCTAATAAGATTTAGTCTTTATCTGCCTAGGCTACTTCCTGGTTTTAGGTTAAGTAGTACCTGGCCTTTTTATCATTTTCATTCTTGTTTTGTTTTGTTTTTTTGTTCTTTGAGACAGAATCTCACTTTGTAGTTCAGGCTGGCCTTGAACCCACTATGGAGCCCAGGCTGGCCTCAAACTCATGGAGATCCTCTTGCCTCAGCCTCCTGAGTGCTGGGATTACAGGCCTGCACCACCATGCCCAGCTCTCAGTTCTCACGTTTTAAATAATTTCCTCTTTTATGAGTCATATCGAGAAAAGATATATAGCCTGCTGTTCAAACCCTAACTCTAGGTTTACATGAGTTGTGTTTCGGAGGCCTGTGATAGTTTCCCCACAGGCACTGCTGCACAGGAAAGGAGCGTGTTATCCTGGTAGTGTGAGGGACAGGTCAAAATTTGTACCTCTGTTAAGAAACGTTTTGTGGCCTAGCTAGGTTGTGGCCCACCCACGCTGGTACTGCTTCAGTGCCACTGTGAGCCTTTGGACATGTTTTCTGTCCCTCAGGGAATCTGTTGCAAAGGGGAGAATTGCATAAAAAAGAGAAGAAAAGTTTACTTGGACAAAGTTGACTGTAAGTAGAAGATAACCGATTGAAATTTTTGCTAGGAGGATCTAGTGAGAGTACTTAATTAGCTGTAAATTCCTGCGGGTAAAGATGTTTCTTTAAAAGCTGGTCTAGTTGACACTGTACTCTTAAGATGGGCGGGCTTGGGGGTCACCTCTGGAAGAGGCCATGGGCTTAGTGGTGCCATGTCTTCTAACCCACAAAACCTGAGGCTAGAAACATTAGTGAGTCTGCTCCAGCCCACAGCAGTGGACAGCAGAGTGAGGACTAGATCTTCTTGCCCTGCTCCCAGGAGAAAGCCCATCTGACCAGGGTCTTATTCCTGTGGTTTTGTCAAATGCAGTCATGGCAAGAAGATGAACATAACACAGACTTGAGACTTGTGAGATATTAATACTTATTATTAGTGTTTATCCAGGCTAACGTTTAGGTTTTTTTATCTTTGATATTAGCCTCAGGATTTTAAATTTTGTTCCCACCAGATTTACCTTTAGCAACCTTCAAATGCCAACAGAGAGTATTTTACCCACCAGCTGACTTGTTGGAAGAATTTTCGGCCTTTCATTGTATTGGGCCATTACTGAGCCATGCAAGGTTCACAGTACTTTAATTTCTAAGTAGATGGGAGAGTACTGGAAGGTGGGGTAAGTAGGCATGTTTTCAGAGAAAAAACCCAACAGATTCAGGTGTAGCAGCTTTTTGTACTTTTTTCTGGAGTTTTGGGCTACAACTTAGGAGTTTCCTGTTTTCAAACTCTGGTTGGTTATTCATATAACATCCATTTGTTCAGTGTGCTATGGAAGTCATTCTGATCACAAAGTTGTTTTAACTTTTGATTCTTTTTTATTGGTACATGTTCGTAACACCTAATATTGTACTCATTGTGGGGAGTTGGTCCATGGACATAACACAGCTTGGTTCTTTTTTTAATCCCCTTCTTCTCCCTGCCCCCCCCCCACTTCTCCATTAATATATATACTTAATATCCATTATTTGACTACAATAAAGTAATGACAAATTTCTTCCTTAAACAGTGTGTCAAGGTAATTGCCGAGTAACAGCTGGAGAGTGTGGAGGGGCCTTGTCTATGAATGTGGGGAATGGAGTGGGATGGCCAGGCCCTTACTTTGGTTTTTTTGCTCTGCTCCTCATCACTCCCAGGACCCCAGTGGTGACACGAGACTTCCCAGGGTGGAAGTGGAGCAGGTGGTAAAGCAGCTGAAAGCCCAGGTGGCAAAGCTGCAGTATGAGAAGGCGGACCTGCTGGGCATCATATCGGAACTGCAGCTCAAGCTGAACTCCAGCGGCTCCTGCGAGGACTCCTTTGTGGAGATCCGGATGGCTGTAAGAGCTTTGCTTCTGTTTCTGTTTTAAGCATAGTGCAAAGCCTCACCTAGACAGATGAGCTGAATACCACTGTTTCTTATGCACACAGGGAGGCCAAATACCAAGGGGAGATTGCACTGTAGCAAGGATAAATTGGCTCCTGGTTTTTAAGTATAAGATGGTGTTTGTGAGGCTTTACCCTAGTTGAAATGAAAAAAATGGAACTTACCCTTTATGAGAAAAGCCATAATCTTATTTGTTTTTAATTTATCTTGGCAAAGCAGACATTTCTGTGACTGACCCTTAAAAGATATGCCAAGGAGCTGGGGGTTTAGCTCAGTGGCGTAAGTGCCTGCTTGGCAAGGCGAGGTCGTGAGTTCAATCCTTGGCACCAACAAAAAAAAAACTAAAGCCAAAAACTATAAGCATGAATTTTCTGGCATGTTTTATGCCAGGTTTCGAATCTGTGATGAGCAGTTCACTAAAGCAAGCAGAATACTGACTGAATGTAGTAGATGAATGTGTTGTAAGCACTTTTTAATTGTGGAACCCTTGTTTCAAGTATTGTGATAATTAAAAGTGAGAAGCAGGGAGGAGCAGAGCTCCTGGAAGGGTTGAAGAGGTATTTGTTGTTTCCTCCCAAGAGCAGCTGCTCTGGAACCTCTGAGAAATGGGTTTGTAGTCAGTGCTACTGAACTCAAATTTCCATGCAGCCGAGGTAGTGGGCTGAGTGAGCTGGTGTGTGCTGATCCTCAGCTCCTGAGAGGTAGCTGTTGGGTTGTATCTGGGTGTATACACAATTCCGTGAAGAACGACACATGTACATAAACCACATAGGGGCCTCTCCTTTGATACTACTGAAAAGGCCGGGTAGAAAGGCAGAAAAACACGCAATGATAAAACCTTCTGTGAGACAGGCAGTCACTGCAGGCAAAACAGAACTTGTCTTGTAGCCACTCTATCAAAGTATGCATCTAATACAGGAAAAGAGATGAATTGGGCCCATGAAAGAGAGAAATGCACTTTGTAGATAAGTCAGGGGGAGTGGGGAGCAACTTGCAAAAAACCTAAACTACTAGAGAAGTCTAGAATATTAGTGTGGGACTTCCTTAAATGCTACCGCACAGAGGAATATAATTCAGTTAGAAGATGGCTCTCATTAACTTTGCAAGTACCACACTTCAGGTACATTAATAGTGGCTGAACTCAACGGCTAAAAAGCATACTTTGCCAGACAACTGAGACAGAATTATGATCATCAAATTGTGACACTCTGCAAATAACTGATAAAATTTCATGAGTCCAAAGAGCTTATCAGAAGTTTCCAAATGTTTCCTTCTTTCATGGGTTACTATCATTTTCTACCTCACAGATGAGTTAACACGTTATTGCTGGTTTATTGTTAAACATGTTTTGCATCTGTGAACAGGAAAACACTGCCTAAGATTTAGGAAGAGCATATCCAAAATATCTAGAACCATCTTTATGCGCTTTGAAACATTTTTTCATTAGCTTATGAGACTGTTTGTGCCTTGCAAATCCTATAGGGATTTGTCTTAGCCCTTTTGTTCCCTAAACGAGCTGTGGTGCCTGCACATTTTTAATGGGAGCTAGCTTGGCAAAAATGTTGCTTTGTAAGCATCATCTATTGGAAACTGCCTGGTTTCAACTTTGCTTAAGTAAATTCTGGCTTTTGCATTTGAAAGGACTGTACAAGAAAAGTAGGTGGGGCTGTTACCAGCTCCCTGTGGTCTTAACCTAGGGAGTGAGAAGATAAATCAGAGAAGATAAGATTTCATGTTTATGGAGTCAGGCTGAGGCTGGTCAGTGAGAGGAGACTTCCCTTCACACCTGAGAATGTGTATTTACAATCCTGACTGCAGCGGCCTGTGGGCTGAGAGAAGAATACATTCCCTTTTCCAGTCCCTCCCATTTGAATGACCAGTTTAATCATTGCACATTGAAATGCTGGGTCAATTCCCTCGGTTGCATGGCATCCATAGTCTTGATCTTTCATCTCTTCTTTCAGTGAAGAATTTGTCTTGGAGACACATTGTGTTAAATTCCTTTTATTTCTGGTTTTACAGGAAGGAGAAGCTGATGGGGCAGTAAAAGAAATCAAGAGCAGTTGTCCTAGGCTCCCAAGAACGGACTCCACTGACATGTATGTATTGAAAGACTGGAGCTATTGGACAGACAGACAGGACAGTCTGGCCACTTCGAGCCCGTCACTGGAGGTCACACATGATAGGCTGCCAAAATGACTGATTTATACCAGAATCTTTAAGATCGCTGGATGGTATCTAATACTGCAGCCAGGTGGATACAGGAAGCAGATCTCTTAAATAACGGGAAAACCTGCAAGGAGGGAGGCTGTAGAACAGGGTGCCTGCTGAGAGATCAGCAGGTAAACTTCATCCACAGAGGCTGTTAGCTCATCTTTTGGGTGTGGGATATACATCATCAGTCCATTTGTGAGCCTGTTACCTGAAAATTTCTCTGGGTCTCTTCCCTCAAAAACTTTTTTTGGGGGAGCATTACAAGTGATCAAATCCAGGGGTACTGTACCACTGAGCTGCGTCTCAGACCTTTCTATTTATACTGAGACAAGAGCTCACTAAGCTGTCCAGGTCAGGATGTTTCTAGGTAGTGAAAGAAAGTATGAGATAACATACTTTCATCCAAAGAGAAAAACTGGCAGGAGTAAACATTGTTCCCTTTTTTAGTTAGAAATTTGTCAGTTTTCCCCAAATTGCTGTTTTGAATGTCAAAAATCTTTCCTGGAAGTAGAGAGAAAGAAAAAACCTATATTTGAAATTTTCAAGCCACTTCCTCCTCGTTTATACCCACAGGCAAAGCCCACTTCCTCTTTCAGGCCACATTGCAGAAAAAAAAATGAATAACAGCTTGCTACCATTTATGAGTATCCTGTGAATCTGAGGTGGCTTCCTACTCTGGAGCTCAGGCTTTTGAGTCCTGGTAACTGGGATTCTGTGCTGGCTGTTTATTAGACACATGCACTTGTGCAGATGACTGAAGTCCAGCAATTGTTAGCATTGTCGTGGTCACATGGTTTTGCCTGTCATTAAAGTTTCTCTTGATTCAGTCACCTTTGTCTTAGTGATACTGAGAATTAAACACTTTGCACCTTCAAATGCTGGGTCATTTCCTTGGGTTGCACATTCAAATGCTGGGTACTTTGTCTTAGTGGTTCTGAGGATTAAACACTTTGCACTGGGCTGCATCACCATAGGGTCTCTCTAAATTGCCCAAGCTGGGCTTGATTTTGCAATCCTCCTGCCTCAACTTTCCAGAGTGCTAGAGCTATAGGCAAGCCCACAGCGCCTAGCTCCGGTGTTTGCATTTCCTTGATTTATTTGGAACAAAAACTAAACAGATTTTCTTCTCATGACTCACACATGTGATGACTTCAGTCAGCTGAAGAGAGGCCACTGTGCCTGTAGAGTTTGTTCAGCTTCCTTGTGACTAGATGTTGGAGAGCCTGACACCTCCAGCTAGGGCTGCTGAGCTGTTTCTGTGGGTTTTGCAGTCTCCTGTTGCACACAGTCACAATTTAGAAAAAGCAAGAACTTGCATAGTGAGGCTGGCTTCTGAGAGCCTCACTGCTAGTTCCCACATAGTCCCCAGAAAGTAGGGCAGAGCTTGGCACCAAGAGCACAGGACCAGCTATGGTCAGTCAGTAGATGAGAATTAATCAGAGAATGTTCTGGAAATTATCTCCTTCAGGTTGGCTCGTTATCTCTCTAAACTCCCCATGACGTCCATGTACCGTTTATTCTGCCTAGTAGAGCTTTTGCTAGGAAATGTGACTTCTCAGAAAATCTTGGCAATGAAAATGATAGCTATTGTTTTCTTCCTAAAATGAACAACACACTGCCCTTTGCCCTGCCAGCCACAAAAGTAGAGACTTAGGGGAGTCTTCACCATCCGTCTTCTGCCTCCCCTAAGACAAGTTCTTGATAGAACTGAGGATCCTGGTAAAATGCAGATTCTGGTCCGAGGGCTTGCTGGGGGCTTGCTGGGGGCTTGAGGCCCACTGTTCTCCCAGTCTCTGTGAAGTCTGCCTGCTGACTGTGCTCACACTGTGGTTTCAGTAACACAAGGCTCCTGTATTCTTAGACCTTGACATGGTCTTTCTAATGAAAACCTTTTCACCTGTGTACTGAATGTGGCGGTGGTGTCTTAATGTAGGAGCAAATCCGTGGAAGGCACCAAAAAGTACCTGGAATTTGAGTTGGAACTGACTGTGAGCCAGCTGCTGCTTTGCCTGAGGGAAGAAAACCAGAAGGTGGAGAAACTTGAAATTGCACTCAAAGAAGCCAAAGAAAGGTACAGTACCCATTAACAAGCAACCTGGGTACACTAACAAGCGGCTTTGGTGAGATGTAAAAATATTGCTATAGATCTGCTCACTCTGGACCATTACATAAATGGAATCATACAACATGTGTTTCATCATGACTGGCTTCTTTCATTTACAAACTCAGTTCCTTATTTCTGCTGAGTCATACTGTCTTGTATGGACCAGTGTTGTGCTTTCCATTCATCAGCTGATGAAGATTTGGGTTGTTTCTACTTTTTGCTGATTATGAATCATGTATCTGCAAATCCTGGTTTGCAAGAGTTTGTTTGGATGTGACATTTTTGATTTGGGGGGGTGTACATTTGGGGGTGGGTTGCTGGGTCCTATGGTATCTCCATGGTACGCGCATGCTGTATTGGAGGCCCTGCCAAATCATTTCCCAAAGCAGCTGTACCATTTTCTGCCAACAGAGTGACTATTCTACTTTCTCCAGGTCCATAGCAACACTTGCTATTGTTTTTTTATTTTAGCTCTCCTGGTAGCTGTGAATTGTTATATCATCGTAGTTTTGAGTTCTGTTTCCCAAGTAACTAATAGTGTGGAAGCACTTTTCATGTTGAATCTTCTTTGGAGAAATATTGATCTCTGTTCATTTTTAAACACTGAGTTTCGTTATGATTTCACTTTATATTCTGGACAGTAGTCCAGAATGTATGAAATATGGATCCTCCAACTTTATTCCTTTTCCAAATTGTTTTGGCTGTTTTGGGTTCCTTGCTTTTTCATTTGAATTTTACGATCACTTTGATAATATCATGGGGGAAGCGGGGCTAGGATTTTATTAATATTTGCATTGAATCTGTACATCACTTTCAGGAGTATTGTGGCCTATGAACAGGGGATCTCTTTCCATTTATTTGTGTCTTCTGTAATTTGTTTTAGTGCTTTATGCTTTCAGTGTATTGGTCTTGCACATTTTTAATTAAATTTATTCCTAAGCATTTTAATGTTTTTGATGAAATGGTTTTCTTAATCATTGGTTTATTCATTCAAAGTATATAAAAACCAATTTTGTATACTGATCTTGTATTTGGGACCTTGCTGAACTTTTGTGTTAGTGCCATGCATTTTTTAGAGGAGTCCCTAGAATGTTCTATTTATAGAATCAGATTTTGTCATCTGCAAAGATAGTTTTGCTTCTTCCTTTCTGATTTGAATGCCTTTCATTTCTTTAAAACTTCCAATGCAGTGTGAGATAGAAGCAGAGAGGGTAGGCATCCTTGTCTGGTTCTTTACTTTAGGGGGAAAGCTTTCAGTCCATTAAATATGACATTAGTTAGGAGTTGTTCATAGATGTCTTTATCAGGTTGAACAACTCCTTCCTGTGTCTAATTTGTTATAATTATATCTTGAAAGGTGTTTAGATTTTTTCAGATGTTTTTTGTATTTGTATGGGGAAGATTTAATGGGTGTTTTTAACCTTAATAATAATGATATATTACTGATTTTTAAGTGTTAAATCAGCCTTACATTCCTGGGCTCTGGCTTGATTATGGGATATAATGCTTTTTCTATATTGCTGGGTTCAGCTTGCTATTATCTTACTAAAGATATTTGTATCTCTGTATAGAACGGATATCAGTGTGTAGTTTTCTTGTAATATCTTTGTGTGGTTTTGATCTGGGTAGAACCAACCTCATAGAACAAACTGGTTCAAATAGTGCTTCCTTTTCTGTGCATATATACATTTAAAAATATCAGACTGGCTTTTAAAAAGAATCAGACTAGCTACAAAATAATGCTAATTTAGACTAGGGATTAGAGTAAAATTTACCTACCTTATGAGTTTTTATGAAGTCAGTGAAGTTTGGTCTATAGATGTATTTTTTAGAAACACAAATTATTGCTGGGCATGGTGGTACATGCCTATAATCCCAGTACTCAGGAGGCTGAGGCAGGAAAACTCTTAAGTTTGAGGCCAGCCTGGTCCACACAGTGAGTTCAAGGCCAGCCTGAACTGTATAGTGCAACTCTGTCTCAAGAAGACAAAAGAGAAGAGGAAAAAAAAAAGAAAGAAAGAAAGGAAAAAGGAAATACAATTTGCTTACACTGTAAGGTATAAGGGAACTTAAAATTTTAGGGCTGTAGTAATTGGAACATTTAATAATAAATATATTCTGCATGAAGGATTTTATAACATAAATAGAATTAATGAACATATAAAAACATGAAATCTAATTCTAATTTGTTCAAAAATATGCATGTAAAATTCTTATATTCACACATACATGTTTATGTTCACATATTTATATGGGACATCTTGCACCAAAATGTTGACATTGTGTGTATAATTTATTATTTCATTTATAATATTTCTTTGTACTTTCATGTACTTTATAATGAATGCTTGACTATTCTTATAACAGATATGAGGGATTTTTTAAGTTATAAATTAAAATCTACAAAATAATAAATAAAAATATAAATAAATATTCAACAAATATTGTGACAACATCACAAAGAAGAGGCAAATAAAGGAAAATATTTGCAATGGGTCATTTAAGAATTAAAGTGAAATTATATGATAAAAGCTTTTTCAACTTAATAAGACAAAATATGAAAATAGTCAAAATGTATGAATGGATACTTTTTAAGGCAATAAAATCCAAATAACCTATGCAACAATATTGAAAAATAAAATATAAGGAAAAAAAATAATAAATATATTATGGCATAATGCATTCTCACGGGCATTATAAGTAGCTTGTTAATCTTAAACTATAGCACTTTTAAGAAGTGTTTTGCTGGGCATGGGGGCACACATCTGTGATTCTAGCACTTGTGAGGCTGAGGCAGGAGGATTACTGTGAGTTTGAGATCAGCCTGGGCTATAAGTTCAAGGCCAGCATGAAATATATGAGTGAGACCCTGTCTCAAAGTATATATATATATATTGCTATTGAAGCAGTTTAAAATTTAACTATTGGAAGATCTGTTCTTAAAATGGTAAGCATAAGCCATTGTTCACATTGAGAAAACCACATGGAAAGCACATCAGTACTTTCCCAGTAACTTACTTGGTAATATTTTTTTCAAAGGTGAAAAGGCACATGGCTGTAAATCCTAGGTTTCTACCCTGTCTCCTACCTACAGAAGTTAGAGGTGACTTCTAGGAGACTACCACTGAGTGCTTTAATGGAGTAACACATTCATCCTAGCATTTGGTAAATTCCAAAGTAGAGTAATGCAGAAGGAAGCAGTAAGAGAAAAACAGAGAGACAGAGACAGAGATAGAGATGGAGAGAGACAGACAGACAGAAACAGAGAGAGAGATTCTTTTTACATCATTACTATTATAGAATAATTTTAAAAAAGATGTTATGCTATGAATGAGACCTTTAATAGGCATGAGTAATTAGTGTATTTGTATTTTGTAGTCTTGTATATACCTCTCAAGTTTTTTGTACCATTTCAGGTTTAGCCAGTAATTCGTCTTTACTGTGATGGCTTTATGAAGTCCAAACTTAGGAATGTACCCATTAGACATCTTGATCTTTCATACAAATACATAATTCTTGCTTTCAAAAAATTCATACCTCCCTATGTGGAGGCTAAGGAGTATGTAGCTCTTCAGACTGTAGCTAATATATCAGGCCTGTCTTTGAGGTCCAGGTCTGATGTCCTTACCTTGAGTTTTTGGAACCGTCCTTTCTCAGTAGTATTAGACTTCTACTTTTTGAGCTAAAAGTCAGTCAGTAATTACCCACAGACAAGTTGGCAGTTAGTTGCTGAGTCTAATGTTCTCTAGGTGTGGGTATCATGGTGGTGATTTCTTCCCAGAAAGGGATAGAGCTAAAACCAGGAAGCGAAATTACTAATAAGCAAACACTCCCTTAATTTGCACACTCTGGAATCAGATACAATAAAACACGGTGCAAATCCTAACATGTCTTTTTCTGAAATAACCAAGTCAATCTTTAGTCATTTATATTAATTAAGGAAATATGTATATATATGTTATAAAATTTATTCTGAAAAACTTTGAGATGATGTATGGGTATAAGGAACAATAGATTTGTCTTTCCCTGTTTTTCCAGGACCAATATTTCATATAATTTGTGTTTTCTAAACATACACCAAAATCTGGTAAGGAGAGAAAATTGTGTAGGAAGTATAATCTGGAAAATAGGAGATAGCAGGAAAAAGTCAGGTCAAGGTGAGAATTTGCCCTAGAAAATTATAATTCAAATTATAATTCAAATACAGATCCAAACCTTGTGTTATATATGAGCAACATTGCAAAAGCCCACTTGCCACCCCCACCAGCTGGTGCTTAACCCATTTGTTCATCGTAGACAGAGATATTGGCCAAACACCAGTTAGGTTTGACTGTAATAGATACCAATATTGCTTATTATAATATTTTATCAACACTAGGTTTTATTTAAAAATAGGTTTATATTCATATAACAAATTAAGTTTAAATTCATACAACATTCATACAATGATTATGTCGGAACTAATGGCACAGGCCTGTAATCCCAGCACTATGGGAGACTGAGGCAGGAGGATCACAAGTTTGAACCCAGCCTGGATAACTTAGTGAGGCTGTGCCTCAAAATTTTAAAAAATTGAAAAGGGCTATAGATGTAGTGGGAAGGCCCTACCTGCCCCACCCAAAAAGGAGAATTGCTTATTCTACTGACTTCTCTTGGAGGAAGAACAGTTTTTTACCCAGCACCCACCCCCACACACATTTTCCTGCTTCCTATACAGCTACTTTCAACATAGTTAGTTCTTTTGATATTTATCTGCACACATAAAGTTTAAATTGTTAAATTTTTTTAAATTAAAAAAGTTTTAAATACAATTCTGTTGGCCTCCCACTCTGAATAATGATTTAACTGACTTACACTGTCCTTAGCACCACACACATATGCATCTAGAGCCCACCTCTCTTCCCCATCCTCTTCAGAGACTGAGGAAATCAAAACTTAGTTAGATGCATACTCAGTGTTCACATTACTGTGCAGACGTGTACAACACACACACAGTTTGCAGTCAGGTTATGTATCGTGACCACTTTTCCCTTTTTTACACATTTTTGAGACCTTTTTAAAATTTTGCCTATCTCAGTTGGTTTTCAGCTACTATAACAAAATCCTACAGACTGAATAAATTCTAAACCATGTTAGTTTATTTGGTTCACAGTTACGAATCCTGGGAGTCCAAGTTCAAAGGGTGCTTCAGCTCAGGGTCTCCTTGCTGCCTTATAATATAGAAGAAGGGTGATTAGAATGTGCACCTGAAAAATTGGGCTGAATTCATCATTTTATTAAGGATCCACTCCCAGGCTGGGGATCCAGCTCAGCAGCACAGCACCTGCCTGGCAATCATGAGGTTGAGAGTTCGAGTCCCAGTCCCAAACAGACAAACAAACTCACTCCCAAGATAACAGATCTGACCCATTCAGGAAGGCAGACCTGGCACAATGTCAATGGCAAGTTAAATTTCAACATGAAGTTCAGAGGGGGCCTCACACTGTTTGGGAAATCCCTGCCATTCTCTTTGCTAATGTCTTTACATGAAATATCTTTTGTTTGCCTCCTCTCTGAAGGTTCTTTGCTTTGTATCACAACTGAGCAACGTGCTTTGTTAGAAGTCCTTTATCTGTTTGTTCTAGCTTACTTGTGCCTTTCACTCTGCAGAGAAGTGCCCTTTAGTTCTTGAAAAATTCACATTCCTGCAGGGGTTATTTCCCTACTGAATCTTCCTTGCCCTTTGTCTTTTTAGAACTCACTGTATTTTCATTATTTTGAGTTGGACCCCACCTCCCAGGCTAGCCATCTAATTTTCTTAAATTTTGCTTTTCTTTGCCACGTCTTTATTCTTTGCTTTTAAAACTTCTTTGTTTGTTTCTTTTTGTAGCAGGGGAATCAATCGTAGGGCCTCATGCAAGCTAGCCTAGCACTGTGCCACTGAGCTACACCCTTAACCCTTTTCCTTCCCTTCCCTTTCCTTCCCTTCCCTTCCCTTCCCTTCCCTTCCCTTCCCTTCCCTTCCCCTTCCCCTTCCCCTTCCCCTTCCCCTCCCCTTCCCCTTCCCCTTTGCCTTCCCTTCCCTTCCCTTCCCCTTCCCTTCCCTTCCCTTCCCTTCCCTTCCCCTTCCCCTTTCCCTTCCCCTTCCCCTTCCCCTCCTCTTCCCCTTTCCCTTCCCCTTCCCCTCCCCTTCCCCTTCCCCTTTCCCTTCCCTTCCCTTCCCTTCCCTTTCTTTCTTTCTTTCGCTCACTTGCTTGCTTTCACTTTTCTTCCCATGCTGCTAAATTTGATCAACTAACTTCCTTTCTTTTCTTTTTCTTCTCTTTGTTGCTTCTAGTGCTTCTTTGGAAATGGCTGCATATGTTTCCTTATGTCTCTAAGGTTATTAGTGATAGCCTTCCCTATACCACCCAACTCTGTCTTCAGTAGAACAGAATTCATTTATTGTAAGGTTTTTCTCAGATGTCTTGGCTGTTTGATCAAATGTAAGAGGGTGGAGAGAGTTAGAAGCTTCTCGAAGCTTTGTGAGTGCCTGTAAGGATATCTAGCTGCCTGTTTCCTTGGGGAAGCCCATGCCTCAAACTTGAAATCTTTTCCTTTGTACTGGTCAAATTCTCCAGAGCACACTGTTTCAACCTCCTTCCTGCAGAACATTTTTCTGGATGTCATGATTCTTTAGGTGAGGAGAAAAATGTGGAGGCCCTCCCTTGTCCGTATGTAAACTCCTCTCTTTTGTCAGTTGGAAACCCAGTCCCTTAATTCTCCTTAGCAATCTGAGCCCAGAACCCCTTCATCTCACCATCTTCCTTCCGGTCCTCCTCCCACAGGTCTTGTCCTTATCACCATGTGCAGAGGTCCCTGGTATCCCCAGCTAGTGGGCCTTTTGGAGTTTCCATTGTGGGTGGTGTTTCCTAATGTTGGCTTAGTATCCAGCCTTCTTTGAATGCTAATCCTGTTCCCACTCATTCTTGGACTTTCCACATATTCTTACTGTTACTTCCTTTCCTTTTCTGTTTGTTCCAGTAGGTGTAGGGCTTTTAAAAAGTTATTTCATAGGTTTTGGAGTGGGGGGAAAATAATTGCATATGAGCCAGTGCAAGCCATGAAGGGTCTGAGAGGAGAAACAAGCCAACTCACCCTTCTCAAGAGCTGCCCAAAGCTGTTCTGGGCCTGGGAGGAGTAACAAGCCAGTTCACCCTTCCTGTGAGCCAGCACAAGCCACACTGGGCCTGGGTGGAGACACAAGCCAATTAGCCTTCATGTGAGTTGGCAGACGCCACATTGGGCCTTGGGAGGAGAAACAAGAAGCCAGTTTGCCCTTCCCGTGAGTCAACCAGTACATGGGTAGGAGACAAGAGCACTGTCTTCCCTTCCCCCTTCCATTCCCCTGGTAAGGAACTGGCTGATTCAGAGGACAGGCTGACTTGATAGCAACTGAGGTGTAAAAACAATGTAATGTGTGTATTTTTTGATTGACCTTTCAGGCCTAAGGCCAGTAGTCTGAGCATCTATTAAGAGGATAGCAATATAGCAAATGTGGGGCATATTCTTCAGTCTTGTTTTTGAAACCCAGTATTGTGCTTACTGTTTTGTTCTATTTTATTGTTTTGTTTTATTCAATGTTCTGTTTTTATTGGTTTTAGTCTGCTCTGTTTTGTTTGATTTTATTATGTCTGATGTATGGTTAGCAATTTCAAAGATAACAAGAGACATTATGATAGCCATTGTTGATTTCCTGTTATCCTGTTTTGAAGTTCTGTGTCACTTTCACTGTTTTGTTTTGGTTGACTTTATTCTGTTTTATTTTGTTTGGTTGTATTAGCTTTAAAAAAAATAATAATTGCCAGGCATGGTAGCACACACCTGTACTTACAGCACTTTCTACTTACCTAACGAATCATGACATTCAGAAACTTACAGCACTTCCAGAGGCTGAGGCAGGAGACTTATCATGAGTTTGAAGCCCACCTGAACTGCATAGTGAGACCCTGTCTCAAAAAGACAGCAACAACAAAAAAATTGTACATACTCAACCCTACCATCTTCAACCACAATTTGTATTCATTTCATTTGGCCTATGATGATGATTCAGTGTACAAAGGGTGCTACGTTTGTTTGTTTATTTAAAGGGATCCTAAAAGAAAAAGTCTTCCCTGCTAAATTCTTTTTCCCCATCCTCTTCTTCTCTTCTCCTTCTTATCTTATTTTGAGACAGGATCTCACTAAGTTACCTAAACTGGTCTTGAACTTGTGATGCTTTCTGCTTTAGCCTCCCAAGTAGCTGGGATTACAGGCTAGTTCCACTGTGCCACCATGCCTGGGTTAAATTCTTATAAATAGGATACACAGGCACTCATGGAACAAATGCATGTATGTACATGTGCATCCACATATACCACGTTTTAGAAATATTTCTTTATAGTCCAGTCACATGAGACAAGTTATGGTCAACATGAGTTTTTCCTGTCTTTCACCTCTGTTCTAGCCAGTTTTAGAATGAAAAACAAAACCAGTGCTAATACAGAGAATGTAAAGAGATTCTGAAAACTCAATACTTTATCTAAATTTTGAAAGTGCTCTTTTGAGTGTTTCTGCAATTGCTACTCTTCTTAAGGCCAAAGAGAAAGTAACTTTTCTACACTTTCTGTGTTATTTTTCAGAATTTCAGAGTTCGAAAAGAAAGCAAATGATTACTCCGAGGTTGACACCCAGACAAAAGAGAACACAGGAAAAGAGAATGAAGAGGAGAAAGGCGTAGAGACTGTGGGTACCGGAATTCCAAGGCTGCTGGATGCACCCAGGGCACACAAGTAGCACCACAGCGAGACTGCTTCGTCTCATGTTTCCTGTCCTGTTTCAGTTCTACTCCCTGTCAGTTGTAGTGAGATGTAACTGTATGATATTCTGTGAAACAGGTCCTATATTTTGTGACTGATTTAATTTCCTAAATCTTTATGTGAGCAAGCCACTAGGTAAAAAGGAACTTTTCCACTATATAATGAGGTCACTTGATGATGTGACCCAAAGACTGGTAAGAACAAAGTAGTTTCCATGACAATGGTTCAGTGTATTTAGTGTTGCATGGTAACTGCGAGCTTTCCTGTGGGCCTGCAGAGTCATAAGTTTAGGGAAAGTTAATGAAAACATGAAGTAAAAGTGGCTGTAGTAGCCCACATGATAAACATTTCTATAGAAAAACCACATTAGCTAATTCATTTATTCAACTGTATATATGAATGCCAGCTATAAGTATTGAATGCCTACTGTTGTAAGTCGGGAATTACATGAGAATGCAGCATATTTAGAAAATTGAGATGAAAAGATTCCCAGGCATAGTAGTACCTTGTGGACTAAAACTCAACCACTAAGAGAGGAATACTGAGATTTCTAAGACATAAAACTCCCTTACGGGAATTGCAGGGCTGAGTAGGGTTAATTTTATTAGTGATAAAATCATTACTACAAGTGTACCCAACCTGATTAGTTACTAGGAAACAGAGCTACATCCACAATGGTGTCATCACTGCCCTAAGAGAATCTGCTCCCTGGTTGGTCTGGGTTGTGGGTGAGTGGTCCCCACCATTCTCTCATGGAGGTTCGATTAATCCCTGCTGTCACATGTGAATGTTTGGCATTTCCTGTGTCACAGGTCGGAAGTGAAGTGGAAATGTTGAACCTCCAGGTGACGTCCCTATTTAAGGAGCTTCAGGAGGCTCATACAAAGCTCAGCGAGGCTGAGCTAATGAAGAAGAGACTTCAGGAAAAGTAAGAACAATCAGTTTTATCCTCCTTTGAAAAGCACATTTTTTACAAAGTATGTGGTTTTATTACTGACGAAAAGAAAACCAGAGACCTAAGGAACAAATTAAAAGAAACACTAATGTACAAGTTAATGTGTAAGAATATAAATTCTTAGTCCAGTGTGGTGGTACATGCCTGTAATCCCAGCACCCTGGGGAGGCTGAGACCGTCGGCTCCTAAGATCAAGTCCTATCTGGGGAATTTAGTGAGAGCTGTCTCAAAATAAAAAGGGCTGAGGATACTGATCAGTTCAGAGACCTTGGATTCATTCCCTATTGCTGAAAAGAAGAACAACAACAAAAGAATGAAGTACATGTTAAAATGGTGGGGAACGGGGACCAGGGGACATCGATTCTGCTGTTAGTGTGCTGGCCTGTGTGACGGCTGACCACACTGCAGCCAGATTCCCCACCTGACTTAAACTGACAACAGCCACAGGAACAAGAAAAGGAATAGAACACAGAGAAGTTCAGTGAGGTTTTAGGAAAATAATATCAATTGGAATCAAGTACTTTAATCAGTTATTAAAGCTAATATGTAAATTGAGAATTTTGAATTTGCTTGTTTCTTTTGATATAAGAAACTACCTGAAGCTTGGCAAAACTAAGTTAATGTCATTCTCTTGGGTTAGTTGGCAAGTACATGTCTAGCTAAGTGCCTCTGTGTGTTTTCCTGGGGGTCACACTTACCAGCACCCTACAGTATTACGGTAACCTGGTACAGCGTATTAAATTAAATGGAACACTTAGTATGCATGGCATGAATGCCTTGTACACAGTTATCATTTATTTGTTTTTTGCTATTATTACATTGAAATTTATTCTAATCTCTAAGAGGGTGAGGGAGGTTTCTTTCTTATTGAATCCTTGGCAGAAATCTAATTCTTCGTGATTGATAGTCAAACTTCCAAGAATTATAAAAAGTACCCATAGATCAATCTATGTGAACTGCCTTTAGCCAATTACTACCTTGGCCTGTGTTTTAAAAAAATTGTGTGTATGACTAGTTAATTATTCAAAGACAAAAGTACCTCATGTCATACTTAGATCTGTGCTTTTTATGTTTAGGCTATCAAAGAAGCAGAAAGAATAAAATACTTTGTTTTCCACCTGTAAATCCTGTAGCTGTACACTTACTTGTGTTTTACATAATCTGGAGCTCTTTTGAAAAGCCACTGAGAAGTAGAACATTGTTTAACCTCATAAAATCTTCACCTTTTTAGGTGCCAGGCCCTTGAAAGGAAACACTCTGCAACTCCATCAGAGCTGAGTGAAAAGCAAGAGCTGGTCTATAATAATAAGAAATTGGAACTCCAAGTGGAAAGCATGCGGTCCGAAATCAAAATGGAGCAAACGAAAGTGGAAGAGGAAAAGTGAGTGTGCTGACCTGCTTTTTTATACATAGCAGATTAGGAATTGAGGATAAATTCATAAAATGTTTTTACTTATTTAAAAGATATCTAGGAAAATCTTTGAAGAGATAAGAGTCAATATTTTATCATACTGAAAGTATGAAAATGATTTGCATCCTGTCTTGTTTCTGAGAAAATATTTTCTTTTAAAGTAAGAAAATGTTAGTCATTGGTGGATATGGTAGTTATTCTTCTTGTTGCTGGAGCAAAATACCCAGTCTCCAAATTAAGGCAGAAAGGTTTATTTGGCTCACAGTTCGCAGAGGTTTCAGTCTATAGTCGGGTGGCTCCAAGGCACAGTGGCATGGTGAGAGGGGCCCCACAAAGGAGAAATAGAAGGCAGCAATGCAAGCAAGAGGGAACTAACACACAACCTTAGCAGCCTCTTTCTGCCTCTTTTTATACTCTGTTAGACCACTAGGATTAGGGCAATGCCAGACCAGTCAGTGGACTGATTTAATTATCACACACTCTAAATCCAGCCACCTCTGAGTGCATGAGGCTTTGGGAGGACATCTAGACACAACCTGTAGCAGTGTGATAATAACAGGAAAGCAGATCTTGCTACTAAAATGTTTAGAAGATGAAGCAGGCAATATTCAAATCTCCTGTGATATTTTCTCCAAGATTCCATTTCTAATATCTTTTTTAATAGGTCCAAGTTAGCCATTCTGCAGTCAACACACAACAAACTTCTTCAAGAACATAAAAATGCACTGAAGACAGTCGAGGAACTAAAGAGGAAAGAGGTATTGACAGGGAAAAAATCCCTTCTATGACCGAGGGGTGAACAGAACCCAATGAACCTTTTCTATGGAAACAAAAAAATTGTGTAAATTCTTAACGAAATCTGATTTCTAAGTTGCTTTTCAGTTGATAATGGTTTTTTGAGTTGAAACATGTATAGCTCCTCGTGTTCTGCATACTTACAATGTGCTGTGCATGCACAGATGGTATGGATGTCCAGTCAGGCTGTGAGCTTTAGGGTTTCTCAGGGTGGCTTTGCGAGGGAGCTGAGAGCCAGATGGGCCATCTGCCGCCTGTAACTGGGCTCATCAGCGTGCATGTGAATCAGTGATAATGCCCAGGATAGTGTGACAATCCACAGACCGTGGCAGTTTTAAATTATAAAGGGTCTTCAATTTATATTCTTGTGAGCATACTTTGTTTTTCCTTTTCAAGAAATGCTTTCCCCTCAAGGACCAGACAGATTTTATCCTTTTTTTTATTTTTATTTTTATTTTTTTTATCGGTACAGGGGATCGAACTCACGACTGCCTGCTTGCAAGGCAGGCGCTTATGCCACTGAGCTAAATCCCCAGCCCCCAGACAGATTTTAAATTGAAACATACTTCTTCTTTTCCAATGATTTCACAAAGAGCAACATGGGTAGAAAAATTAGTGAGTCACAACCTCGTGTTAGGGTTGGTTGTAATTTCCCTATGTTAGTGCTATTTAAAAAAAAAAACAGTGTTATAAAACAGGAAGTTATCTTCAAGCCATAATTTAAATGAGTATAATTTCTGAGTCAGTTAACCCTGCTAATTAACAGGCTAGAGATGGTAATTTTTTAACAAGTAAACCTGTCTCCAGTATTTTGTTAGCAGCCAGTGTGGTGGTGCATTGCTAGCACTCGAGAGGCTGCAGCAGGAGGATCACCGGGAGTGCAAGGCCAGCCTGGGCTACATAAGGAGCCTGGACTACACAGAGACCCTGGACTACATAGGGAGACCTGTCCCCCAAAAAATGTTTAATGTTTTTTCTATAATAAGCTGCATTGTTTCAAAACCAAGTCTAAAATGAAACTGTCTTTCAGTCAGGAAAAGTGGATACGGCGGTGCTGTGGGAGCTAAATGAGAAACTGCAGCTGGCCGAGCAGGCGCTGGCCTCCAAGCAGCTTCAGATGGACGCAATGAAGCAGACCATTGCCCGGCAGGAGGAAGAGCTGGACACCATCGCCGTCCTCAGGGCTCAGGTGAGAGCAGCTGTGCCTCTTCCACTGTGGGGAGGTGCGTGACACTGCGCTGTGTTCACAGCCTTCACATTTATTTAACATCATGTAAACAGTGCCATCCAGTATAAAACAGAAATTTTAGACAGTGCAAAAATACATAAAATAGAAAATAAAAATCAAATGAATTCTACATTGGTGCACGTATAATAAATTTTCCTGTTCTTTGCCTACTTTGTTAAAGATGTGATTGTACCTTTTATCCTACTCGTATCTTAACTCTCTCTCCATGTTATTACTCAGCCACGTGTTATTTTTATTTTATTCCTATGTTTTTATTTATTTTTGACTGTTGCATAGTGTTTGGTATTGGGAATCACCATGACAGATTTAGCTAACCCTTTCTTCATGGACATTTCATTTGTACCAATACTTTATTGTTTCTAGGAATGCTAAAGTGACTATTCTTCTGTCAGCATCTCTTTGTGGACTTGTAGAATCTGTATTAAAGTACAGAAGAGGAGTGATAAGGTTATTGGGTATGATAGTTCTTAAATTAAATGCACAGTATTAAGTTTTTTCCCCAAACAGGAAAGCTTAGAATAGCATTCTCACCAGAAGCAGATAACAGTTCCTGCATCCCTACATCTCTGCATCCTTCTGTTAAATCTTTACCAATCTGATGACGTAAACAGGTTATTTTAAACATTCCGCGTCAGCAGTTTGTTACTTCTATAGATGTGCTCAGTACTACCAGCAGTGCACAGGGGCTGACCCCAGGGAAGCAGAGTACTCTGTTGGTACTGACAGCTTTCATTTTATCAGTTTGTTTTATTTGAGACAGCATCTTTCTTTGTAGCCCACATGGCCCAGGCTGGTTCTGAACTCCCAGTCTTCCAACTTCTGGGATTATGAGTGTGCAGCACCACACACGACTTTGGTTTTATTTCTATAGGAATAGAGTCTCAACTTGCATTCCCTGGGCTCTTTTCTTTTGCTTGGGGAACTCATAAAGTCTCCCCATTCTCTGATAGCCACGTATTTGTGCCACATTCTGTATTGGATAGTTATTTTGTCTTGTTGTATGCTCTTGTTTACTTATTCATCAATTTTTTTCCAGCACCTATCATATCAAACACAGTTCACACTGCTGGGGATATAGAAGTGAACAAAATAGACACCCCACTTTTAGGGATTCAAAACTAGTATGTGATAAAAGTGAGACTCTAACAGAACTTAGGTCTCACTTAAAAGAACCCATCAGTGACGGGAGGCTGAGCAAGAGGACTGCAAGGGGAAGGCCAGTCTTTGCAACTTAATTAGACTTTGTCTCAAAATTTAAAAGTAGGTTGGGGGGGCTGGGCGTGGTGGTACATTCCTATAATCGCAGCACATGGGAGGCTGAGGCAGGTGGATCCTTGCAAGTTTGAGACCAGCCTGGGTTTCCAAGTGAGCCCAAGTTCCATCCTGAACTGCATAGCAAGACCCTGTCTCACAAAGACAAAAAAAGAAGTGGGTTCTGGAGTGGTATGTACACTTGCCAAGCACTGCAATCCCTCCTCCCAAAAAAGAAAAGCAAACAAACCATGATCTGTTAATGATACAGCTCAAGCTGGATCATTCACAAATGATAGAAAAACCCCTTTAAATGATCTTTTTATGACATATTTTATTATAGTTACAGTTCTATATTTTATTGATTAATATTTTGAAAAGTAATGGAAGACAGTTTATATACTAGGGCCATTAAATTTGAAAAGAGAAACTAATTTAAAACCTAATATTAAAAACTGGTAGTGCTCACTTCACTCCATTAACTGGTCTGATTTTATATTACAATTTGATAACAATGAAGCCTTTGCTGTTATGATGTATTAGTTATCGATTACTCCCAAAATTTATCTGTGTGAAACCAGAACAAACACTTCTTTTCTCACATTTGGTTTTGGAGGGTCAGGAGCAGGGTGATTCTCGGTTTCTCACGGGGCTGCATTCAGAATGGACTGAATCCTGTCCCAGGATGTCTATCACATCAGTGAGGGACCTCTGTTCCTCACCTCGGTCCCCACAGAGGGCCGCTAAGGTGCTCTTATGCCAAGGCAGCTGCCTCCTCCAGGACAAGTAGTTCAGAAGACAGCAAAGCTGTCTTGTGTCTTGTGATTTAGTTTCCCTATCACTTCTGCAAATGTCCTTGTGGCTACTCAGTGTGGCCCTATTGATTGTGGGAGGGGACCCCCAAACTTACTGGGGGTCTCCTGGAGCCTGAGACCACCCATGGAGAGGGGCTGGTACACAGAAGAATCCACAATACATGGACTTCAGTCTGGGTTCAAATGTTCACTTGGGCATTGAACATATTTTTGCAATATTAAGAGCTTTTAAAGCTTGTTTATAAGATAAGGATAACCAGGAGCATGCTGGCACATGCTGTAAAGCTACTGAGGAACCTGAGGGAGGAGGATCCCAGTTTGAGGCCAGACCAGGTAATTTATAGCAAGAGTCTGTCTCAAAAAATAAGAAGGGCTAGAGGTATTGTTTTAATTACTTAATTACTTTCTCCTTGCTGGAGTATAGTACATGACACCTGTAAGTTAAATCAGGAAAGACTTATTTTAGCTCAGAGTTTGTAGAGGTTTCAGTCCATAGTCAGCTGACTCCAAGGCAGGGCAGCATGGCACAGGGCATGGCAGAGGTAAAAAGTGTGGAGTAGCAGGCAGGAGGCATCAAGCCTTCCTTCTCCTTTCCCTGTTACTCCATCCTGCCTATACGCCTGTTGGTTGGTGCCACCCACATGTAGAGCAAGTCATCCCTCTTCAATAAATGCATAACCCACACCCAAACTATGCTAAACCCATCAGTGGATTAATCCACTGTCATGTACCCATGGTCCAGTCATTCCCCAAACCCTCACCTATGAGCACATGAGGCCGTGAGGGGACATCTAGATATGAGCCTAACAGATGTAGTTCAAGTGGCAGAGTGTCCCTGGGTTGCACCTCCATACTGTAGAAGAGGGGAGGAAAAAGATAGCAATTCTGTGTTCTGAAGACTTTGGGTAATGTGAAATAAGCATCTAACTCAGGCCCTCACACATGTCCAGAATTCAGTAAATAGTGTCTGTCTTGTCTTTCTGTTTTTTGCTTGTTTGTTTGTTCTGTTTTGTTTTTGAGACAGAGTCTTACTGTATAGTTCAGGCTAGCCTCAAACTTGCATTGATCATCCTGCCTCAGCCTCCCAAGTGCTAGGATTACCACCATGCCTATTTTTATTGCTTTAAATTTAATATAATACATAATTTAATATAAGACCAGCATTCTTAAATATACCTGGCAGAGTAAATAAACTATTTACTAGACTGGTAGTCCTGAATATTATTTTTTAAAAAAGAGAGACCAGGGTGTTTTACTGAAATGATGGTACACACATTGCTTAAACCACTTCTGTCAGTGCATCCGTGGGTTTGATTTGCTGAAGGCACAGACATATGCCAGCTTGTACCCCCTGTTTGAAGTTGGCATGTTGTGGTTGTTCTGACTTGAGCAGGAGCACGTATGTGTCTGTCACCCAGGAGGCCTGTCTAAGAGGCAGGACTGTATGAGGACTTCGTGAACAGGCGAGCCTTAGAGAACCCACATTTGTGTTGGTGGTAAACGCTGTCCCTTTTTTCTCTGACAGATGGATATCTACTGTTCTGATTTTCATGCTGAAAGAGCCGCAAGAGAGAAGCTTCACGAAGAAAAGGAGCAACTGGCTCTGCAGCTGGCGATTTTGCTCAAAGAGAACAATGCTTTCGAAGAGGAAGACAGGTAAAGTCACAAGGCAGAAGGAAGACAGAGCGTGTGACGGGTGGACTGCGGGAGAGGTGGCTTGCCAATTAGGTCTGCTAATCCGAGCCATGTACGTCGCTCTATCCACATGTCATTTGGTCCTGTTCCTGCAGGGTTTGGCTTACAACAAAGTGGGACAGACCTGTTTGTTGCTTTGAAACATGTTGTAAAAACATGCACTGTGGGTCCCAGTGTCCTACCTTGCCATTGTCATGAATGAAATGAGGTTCCTTAGCACCTCATATTCTCTGATGTGTCCTAAAAAAAAAAAACACTTCTAAAATTGCTTCTGACACTGAAAACTTCTGAAATGAGAGTTGCCCCTAAGTTTGTATAACCAGAAGTTGGTGGCTATCCATCCACCTATAGTGTGTGTGTTACTATATAATATTTTAAAACAAGAAAATGCTGACTTGTTACGAAACGTAGATATTGTTGTGCAACTTGATTTATAGATCATTGTGATTTTGTACTCAGTTTTCATATGTGCAGATTTAATTCTTTGACTTAATGTAGAAATAGGCCACTTTTTCTGATCCATTAGCCTATCAGTTAACAGATTGGCTATTCCTAGCAGATTTTATAAAATCTTACTGACTTTCACTACATGGCATCCTAGTGTCGGCAGTATTTAAAAATCAGATTCATTTCCCATTCTGGGTGTTTGAACCTTGGCATGGTAGTACTCTTTTTTTCTCATGCTTCTGTTGACTGTCTCTTGAGGCTGTGGTGTTTCAGAGTTGCAGAGCATCACCTGGAGTGTCCCTTTGATCCCAGCAGGCAGTCCTTGATGGAAATGCAGAGCCGGCATGGGGCGAGAACCAGTGACCCCGACCAGCAGGCCTATCTGGTTCAAAGAGGTGAGTCCCCATCCCACCAAAGAGAGACTCGAAGAAAACTCCCATAACTTTTTACAGAATGGGTTCCATTCCAGGCTACCCCAGATCTAGTACCTGCAGAGTCTTTGCTGAGTTCTGTCTTTCCTCAGACCCCAGTCTCTGCCCTTTCCCACTGAGTTTAGACCAGACCCTCACCCTCGGATCACACTGTAGTCTGCAGTATGAGCCTGCTGAATCATGTGTACCAACTCACCCTAACCCGGCTTACACGTGTTTATTATGTGGTGCCCTTCACGTGGATGCCCTCCCCGGACGCACATTCCTGTCTTGTAGTCTCTTTCCAGTGAACTCAAATGCCACCTATTTTTTTTTTTCCCCTTTTCATTTTTTAAGACAGGGTCTTGTTGTGTAGGTCAGGCTTGTCTTGAACTCACTATGCAGCCCAGACTGGGCTGGAACTTGCAGTGATCTTCCTTCCTCAGTCTCCTGAGTGCTGGGATTGCAGGCACTTATCAATGTACCTGGCTTCATACTTCCCTTTTAAAACCATTTCAGATGGGCATAGCGGCACACATCGGTGATTCCAGCATTCAGGAGGCTGAGGCAAGGAAGCGTGCCCATGTAGTGAGTTCAAGGCTGGCCTGAACTCATAGTGAGACCCTATCCCCAAACAATAAAATGACATAAAACCCCTTTCAAACTTCATCTCCGTGTACTGTCTCTCTCCTGAACTTCCAGAATCCTTGTTCCTCTGCTATCTTATGAGTTTACGTGTTTAAGTATGCATTTAAATACACTGGTTAAGTAATCCCTCCCGAAGTGTGCATATTCTACCTACTACCAGTGTTTCACACATGATGTTAACATTTATTAAGAGTTTCCTATGAGGCACTGTGCTGATATCACTTTATTTGTATCATTTAATTTTATTCTGAAAAAATTCTCAGGTATGTATTATTACATTCTTACAAAAGACAGAAATAAAATTTTATAAGGTTAAATATTCCTAGATCACAAGGCTAGTTAGGGAAAGAATTAGAAATGGAACTCAAAGTTGTTTGACTCTGACTGTTGTACAGCACTACATATGTAATCATTTAATTCTGTAATAAATCCAGATTTCTGTTTCCTGAGTGAAATGGATCGTGACCCTTAGGTGTGGTGCTATATTAGGTAAAATCTGGTTTTAATACTCAAACTGATGTTCTATAGTTAATAACAAGTCACAAAAAGGGTAATACTATCCTTGATTCCAGATTCCAGATATCCTTGATTCCAGGAAAAAACTGAAAGATCAAAGACTAACACAGCTGGAGAAAAAGTTACTGGCAGTGCTACTAAGAAAAGTCTAGGTTTAGGGAGCCATCTTCAGCTTCACAAAATTGGACAGACATTTCCAATCCAAGTCCCTTTTACATGCAGACTGGCTATTAAAGTAGAACCATGGAAGCAGTATTTATATGTACAGGGAACCACTGAGTCTTGAAGAAAGCTCCAAGCATTTTTTTTTTTTTTTTTTTTTTTTTTGCTACTTATCTCTCTCCTTCCCCTCAGTGACCAAAGTTCTCATACAGGGAGAAAAGAAAGTCACAGTAAATATTGGAGGTAGTGATGCAGGTTAAAAATAAAGATAGTGGTACTGCAAAAATAAATAAACAATATATGTATTTTAAGCATAGTATACTTCAGGATACATATGCAAAGAGCACAGGAGCGTGACATAAATACTAGTCTTAGACACTTCTTGGCACCAGTGGGTAAACTCTATTCTTCTCTGGAAGCTGCAGTGACCCAGGTGAGTGCTGCTGGGCATTCTCTTTGACCTGTTTTTAAATGTCCTAGAAGCAGCTGATACCCAATTTCTAGAAGTGCCCTTCAGGGTTGTCTTGGGTCAATAAGGTCAGTTTCTGGGGCTGGGGATTTAGCTCAGCAGCATAAGCGCCTGCCTTGCAAGCCTGTGGTTGTGAGTTCAATCCCTGGTACTGGTAAAAATACAAAAAAAAAAGGAGGTCAGTTTCTTTTTTTTTCTTTTGTCTTTTTCGTTTTTATCGGTACCAGGGATCAAACTCACAACTGCCTGCTTGCAAGGCAGGTGCTTATGCCGTTGAGCTAAATCCCCAGCCCCTAGGAGGTCAGTTTCTTATACCTGGATTTCTTAAGGAAAGATTGTTCTTTGTAACTCTTAAGGCAAATAGTTATTACTACACATTTAAAAAACTGGAGTTTGGATATATGTTTATAATCTTAAAAATCTTTACAAATATAAATTTTTCCTTGATTATCCTATTAAGCTTTTTTGTCATAAAATTTCAAACACAGGACTATCTTAAGTCTTGTTTGTCAGGCATAGTGACACACACCAGTAATCCCAGCATGAAGGGGGGTGAGGCAAGCGGACTGCTGTGTGTTCAAGCCCAGCCTTGAGCTACATAATGAGATCCTGCCTCAAAAAACAAAAACAGAATTCAATTATTATTTTGTTTTTAGTTTTGAAACAAAATTTCCGTGAACAGCAGTTGCTCTTGATGCATCTGTGTATGTTGTCACCGGCAGTCATTTAAGTGGCCCAGAAATAAAGGTGTAAGTCATGGTCGATAGGGGTATGTTGTAGCTCCGACAGGGTACACACATGAGAAACTGAATGCACGCTAATAAAAAGAACAGTGGGGGGGGGAGGGGAAAGGCTGATTATCAAGGGTTGGGAGAGAGGCCCTGAGGAGATGTGTCCCTGGGCTCAGCCTTCAAAGGAGGATTTAGATAAGGCCAGAGAGAAAGGGCAGAGTAGAAATGAGCATGATGGGTCCATAAAGGAAAAGGACTGCTCTCCGGTGGTGAGGAGGCTGGAGGTGGAGGGAACCAAGAACAAGCTGGGGTAGCAGTGCCAGTGCAGCCTCAAGACCTGGACCACAACAGAAAGGAAAGCACGGGTCTGGGCACCAGTGTTCCCAATGAGGAACCAGTAGGGCTGCTGGGGTTCTGCTTGTCACCAGGGCAGGGTTTGGCAAACTGCGGTCCACAGGCCAGACCAGGCCTGGCATCTGTTTTATAAAAAAGACTCAACTAGGTTATAGTCATGCGCTGAACTACATCCTCAGCCTCCCAGCACGTTGGTGTTACAGACATGTGCCACTGCACCTGGCTGTGACAGCAGTTTTATGGCCTGAAAAGCCTTCCTAACATTTACTCTCAAGGCCTTTACGAGAAATGTATGTTGGCCCCTGGTCTCAAGCAGTGAAACCGTTAGAACCGCTTCAGAAACCGTGCTTTTTATGGTGAATGCATACATTCGAAAAATGGTTTTTAGGTGGGGAGGTAATTCTATGGTAGAGTGCTTGCCTAAGAGGCCCTAGGTTCCAGAGCTACCAATTAATTAATTAATTAATGATTTATTAAGAGCAGGCTTCTTTAGATTACTAAACACAAACTCTCCTAATAGGTTTACACATTCAATTCAAATAATGAACTCTGAAGCAGACAACCATATTAAAGGTTACCTTATCCTCCAAAAATCACCTTTTTGATAGCTGAACCAAGCCCTCTGATGAGATTCTGAAAGCACCAAAATGGTTTGCACTGCTCCAGAAAGGTGAGCTCAGATACGCAGGGGCCCGAGGCACTTCACAGGATCGGTTGCAGGTTGTATGGATCTAGGTCCTACTGGAGTCGGGGTCTGTGTCCAGCACTCTGACTTAGGCTTCAGCCTCAGCAAAACTCCAGTGAGTTTTGTTGCTTCTCACCGGAGGTCTTTGGGTGACTTGTGCCTCTTTTTAAGGGGAACCATCTCATCCACGAGGTCTTTTTGCTCCGAGCTGAGTCAGAACTCTTCTCTCAGTTCCACTGAGCACCCACCTCCCCACACTCGTACCTCCCACTCCACTGCCACTGCCACTTCTCTCAGCTGGCTGCCCATCTCAGCAATAGCCTGGCACACAGCGGTCTCCTGCACATTTGGAGGGCTGAGCAAATGAGATGACTGTCAGCTTCTGAGAAGGTTCATGCAGCTCCAGGGGCCTCTCCCATGCCAGCTTGATTTCTCCCTGCACACTGACTCTCTCATTTCTCTCTCTCTGTCTCTCTGTCACACACACACATACACACACACGTGGTGCATTAGTTTTATTAGAATATGTATTCCAAGAAAAAGAGTATGTATTGCCCTGTACCTAGAATTAAAACTACATATTTTTACAGACCTGGAACTTGAAATATGGTTTAAATCCTGAAAGAACAGGGAAGCAAATGTTATGCCTAGAGATTTCTGTTTTTATATGCACATGGTGATAGCTTCCACTGAAGACTAAAGCTTACGTTCATATTCTGCTAGGTACTGATTACAGAGTTTTACCAGTGTTCAAATTCACCAGGTGTTTTTCAAATCAAACAAGCATGCTTGCAAGCTGGAGCTAATGGAAATTTCATTTTCTGCTTGTTCCCAGGAACTGATGATGGGACCTGGCAGGACCAGCAGCCCCGGAGTATTCCGATCCACTCTTGCCCCAAGTGCGGGGAGGTCCTGCCTGACATAGACACCTTACAGATCCACGTCATGGACTGTATCATTTAAGCATCGGGGTGTCATCTCCCGAACTGTTGGTAAATGTCAGGTTTTTTTCCTCCAAGACCTGTACTTTTGTCTTATTTGATTTTCCTCAAATATTTTGCCTCACGATCCTTGTTTCAGGAGAAAGAAAGTATGTCTGTTCTAAAAAAGAAAACTTCATGGATTCCCATGAACTCACAAAATAGAATGCTTAGTTACCACTCTTTGGACACTGAATTCTCTGGTTTTTATGATGTTTGTGCAAACAGATGCACTGTTTGTGCAGTTATGAGCATGGGACAGCCTGACAGAGCTTATGGAATTAGATGGATTTTTTTTTTATCAATTTTTGGTTTTGCTCAGGTTTTCTTTTGTGTTTTGAGACAGGGTCTCACTCTGCATTTCAGGCTGGCATTGAACTCACTATATTGCCCAGACTGGCCTTGAACTTGTGATCCTCCTGCCTCAGCGTCCAGAGTGCTGGGATTACAGGCATGTATCTCCACAGTCAGCTCTGCTGATTGACTGTAAGAACCTTTTGTGAAGGAGAAAAATGAAGTGGTCACAGATTTCATCAGGAAAAAATGTCTTTGAAATATTTTTAAAGTGAATTATATTACTGTATTGTTTTCCTTCATCCATTTAAAATGGATATTTCAGGGTTGTGTGTTTGTGCGTATGTTGTAGGTTTATTGCAGCCCCAATAATTGTACCAAAGTTACATAGCTTTTGTCATCTGAGCACTGTGAGCTTTCAATTAATATCAGGACACAGGAAAAAAATTCCTGGCATACATGACGCCAAGCTCACCTTCTTATCACTGTTCAGTGTTATCTTCAATTTTTTCATGGTATTTACTATAAGTATATGGGCTTGTACAGTAGATAGTTTATTAATTTCTAAAACAAACAGCTGTTTCTTCTTAGCTCAGGTTATATCTTAGCAATGAAAAAAGTAGTTACCACAAAATAAAATTTTGCTTATCAATCTTTTACACTGTTCATATATGATCGACTAATTTCATAGTATGTATTTTCTATATTAAGCTCTTTTAGCTTAATGTATGGATGCTAGTAAGATATATTTTAGTAATTTGATAAATATGAGCAAATTTCTTTAACAGGGGCCAGTATAGGTTGGAATTAGAAGTTGTTCTTGCCAAGAAGGTCGATAGAAAGGAATTTACCATATTTTTTAGGGCTGAATTTGGAAGACTAGCAAGTACTGGACAAACTATAGAAGTAAACAGTATCTTTATGCAACTAGGTTCTAGAACAATGAAAATAGTTCAAGGATCTCTTATCTATCATAATATCTGTCCTAGACAAACTTGATTATACACATATGTCTAAATAGGAATCGAAATAGTTATTCATGCCAGCGAACATACTGAACAAAAGAGTTGTCTTCATGCCTGATTAGCTATCGTCATGCCAAAAAATATACTGTACAAATTCAGTAGTTTAGATACATGTTAGATAATGATTTGCTCACATAGCCCAAGGAAAACACTTGTTAATTTCTAAAATAACATTTTCTTTTAGTTTTTTGAAGTTTGGGAGTTAGAGCCCATGCGAGGTCAGTATTACCACTGAGGTACATACCCAGCTCACTCGCTTCTTTCTTTGTTTCTTTTTTAGTTTTGAGATAAAGTCTCACTAAGTTACCCAGGCTGGACTTAACTTTGCAATTCTCCTGCCTCAGCCTCCTAAGTAGCCAGGATTACAGGTGTATGTCCCCACACCTAGTTTATTTTCACTTATTGTTAATAGTTTCTATATATCTTTTGTTTTACTGTTTTATCTAGATTCCTATAGTACTGTATTCTAAGTAAAGAAGCAAGCCAAATGGAATCACATTTAAGTTATTGAGGGTATCCTTTTATTTTGTTCAAGTAAAATATGCCCAGCAGATCCAAATTTGGAAATAATAACAAGACTGGGCTTACTAAGCCTGTGGCCAGATGATTTGTTTGATAATTAGAAGGATTACAAATGGAAGCAAGTCCATACGGTTGGTTTAAATCACCAACCTGAAGTCCACTGAAGACATAGCTGTATCCCACGCTCACTGCAGCACTGTTCACAGCAGCTCAGCTATAGAAGCAGCCTCAGTGACCACATTATTGGTGATGGATAAAGAAAGTGGATGTGCAGTGAAGTGCTGCTGAGCCTTAGAAAGGCAGGGGGATCTGGGTGTGGGGACACACGCCTGGAATCCCAGCACTTCACAGATAGCAGCAGGGCTGTGAGTTCCAGCTCAGCCTAAGCAACACAGCAACTTAGTGAGATTCTGTGTCAAAACAAAAAAGGATGGGGGATGTATCTCATTGTGAAGGTCTTGGGTTCAACCACACCTACACATACACACGTGTGCATGCGCATACACACACACACACACACACACACACACACATACACGTAATAATGTGGATGAACCTGGAGGTCAGTGTGTTAAGTGTAATAGGCCAGGTGCAGAAAGACTGATGCCCTGTACATGAACTTTCTTGCAAAGAAGTAGGTAGGGCGAAGGGGATGTTGGTCAAGAGCACGATTTCCGATAGGAGGAGTGAGCTTTATAGATCTATTGCACAGAATAGGGACTGTAATAAATACTTTCATTGTTGCTCAGAGGCCAGAACCACCCCTGCAGGCCAGCCCCTGGGAGGGAAATTTCAGGGATGTGACAAATTGCCGGAGGTTTAGCGTTTTCAGACTTGAGAGCCACCAACAGTCTTAATAAGAGAACTTCCACAGGTCTGTAAGCTTTGCCTGTCTGAGGCCTTCCAAGTTTCACATTCAAGACTGGAAAATCACCTGATATATACTTCTGGCAGGCAAGGGGAGAAATACACCCCAGAGCAATCTGTTCTTCTTAACCCTCAAGAAAATCTATTTCACCAGAGCCCCGTTGACCTGGGAGGGGGATCTTTCCCCCCATGCCTGCCTCAGCTTGGCTTCCTCATGCACCTAGAGGGTGAGGCTTTTGAAGGTACCGCCTCAAGCTGCAGGCTCAAGACTATTACAGGACAACAGAAATGCTTCACCTCCCCTCACAGGGGCTCCTGTAGGATATGAAGGGTTACAGGTGAAAACACTGCAGTGTGGGGACCCTATTTAAGCAGTCTCTGTGGAAACTCAAAGGTTGTACGAAAAATAAGGATCAGTGTTGGAATTTTGCCTGTGACACCACAGATAAACAATAAACAGCTTAACTAAGCTTAACTCCTAACCAGGTAAGCACAAAGACTGACTCTAAAGTTAGTTCTGTTTAACTTAGTTCCTTTTACCTATTGCTGTATATTATGTTCAGCTTTTAACAAAAAGATATAAGCCAAAACAAGGCCAAAGAATTCCATTTGAAGAGATCGAGCAGGCATCAGAACCAGACACAACCAAAGGTATCAGCCTGGGAATTTGAAACGACTATGATTAATTCCCTAAGGTTCCTGATAGAAAAAACTGGATAATATGTAAGAGCAGCTGGGTAATGTAAGCAGGGGTTTAAAACTATGAGAAATAATAAAAATAAAACTAGAGGGTTGTGGGGGTAGGGAGGCGTGCAATAAAGGGGAGAAGAATAAATATATAAACCCTAGAATATTGTCAATAGATGTGAAAAATGCCTGTGATGGGCTCATTAAATACACCGAACACTAACAAAGGAAAGAATTCTTGAGTTTAGAGAAATGTCAATAGAAGCATCCAAAACTGAAATAGCAAAGAAAAAGAACAAAAATGACAAAACAGTATCCAAAACAGGACACCTTGAAGAGATGTATCATATTTGTAATTAGAATATCAGAAGAAAAAGGAACAAAAGATGAGAGGAAATGTTTAATAATGGCTGAAAATTTTCAGAAATTAACGACCAAGCAAAAAAAATTACAGAAAATCAAAGATAATGAAAAATACCTTGAAGAAGCCAGATGTAGGGTAGGGGAGATACCAGACCTTGGAAGCAATAAGAGAGTCCTGTAATGTGAAGTAATTAAAATGTTTGTAGAGAAAAACCACTAGTCTAGAAGTCTGTGTAGACATCATCTTCAAAAGTGAACAAGAAGTAGATATTCTCAGGCAAACAACAGTTGAGGGAATTTGTTGATGGTAGATCTACCTGCCTTGCAAGAAATGTTAAAAGAAGTTCCTCAGAGTTAAAGGACATGATTGGCATTGTATAACTGATAATGAGAGGAGAGAAAAGTGCTCAATTAAAACTAGCAAGGGGCCAGAAAAAACACTAAAGAGAAAGCAGTACTTGGGAAGAAATCTATAGCACTGAATGTGTATAATGTACAGGAAAGTAGGAAGATCTACAGTTCGTAAAACAAGTTTCCACTTAGGAAGCTAGAAAAAAGATAGCACATGGAATGCAAATTACTCAAAAGGAAACAAAAGTGGGCCTGGTGGTGCCTACCTGTAATCACAGTACTCTGCAAGAGGATCATCACAAATTCAAGGCAGCCCAAACTGTAAAGAGAGACCCCATCTCAACACACAAAACCAAATATACAAAAAAGGGTAGAAATAAAAATTAGAGTAGAAAATCACCGAAACCAAAGCCTGGCTTGTTAAAATGATCAGTAATTGATAAATCTCAGCTTAACTAAAACAGAAGATACAAATTACAAATGCTAACATACCACCAGAGAATAATTACCACTTGAAAATTTAAAACAGTACTTCTTACATTAGCACCAAAAAAATTAAAGACTTAGGTATAAATCTAGTAAAATGTATACACGTATGAGGAAAACACAAAACTCTTAATGATGAAATAAAGAAGATCTAATAAACAGAGAGATACTTCATGGTCATGGATAGGATGGTTCAATAGTCCCAAGATGTCAGTTCTTCCAAGTTGATCTTTACGTTCAATGTAATAATCCCCAATTAAAAAAATAACTACTCAAGAGGCTGAGGCAGGAGGATCATTGCAAGTCTGAGACCAGCCTGGACTACAAAGTGAGCTCAAGGTTAGTTTGAACTGATCCTATCTCAGAAAGACAAAAAAAAAAAAAAGCAAGTATTTAGAGGTGTCAAAAAAAGCAACTCTTAAAGTTTATAGGAAGAGGCAAAGGACCTAAAATCTAAAATGGCCGATGGACGACTGCAGGGCAAAGGACCGATGCTACCAACTTCAGGACTTTCTACAGCACTGTAATTAAGACACTCTGGAAATGGCAACAGATAGGTGGCACAAAGAGACTTCTGAAATGGATCCACACAACTCACTTAATCTTGGTTTTGCTGGTAGTGGGAGCTGAACCCAGGGCCTCTGCATTGAGCTATGTCTCTAACCCATTTTTTAGATTTTTATTTTAAGACAGAGTCCCACTGAATTGTTACATTGCCCAGACTGGACTCAAACTTATGATCCTCATGCCTCAGACTCCCAAAGTGCTGAGATTATAAGTTTGCACCACCACACCTAGCTTTAATTAATCTTCAAAACAGGAGAAAATAGAGTTTCATGGAGAAGGAATTTTCAATAGTCCTTAGACATACTCATGCAAAAAATAATCTAGACATTGATAAATATAAAGCCCCAGATGGGGAGAAAATCTGCATAGAACTCTGTATCCAAAATATTGCCCTCCCCAAATACTCTTCAAATTTAGTAAACAATTTGATTTCAAAATGGGCAAGAATTAGCCGGGCGTGGTGGCACATGCCTATAATCCCAGCACTCAGAAGGCCGAGAAAGGAGGATTGTTTCAAATTTGAGGCTCAAGGCCAGCGTGAATGCATAGTGAGACCCTGTGTCAAAAAGACCAAAAAAAAAAAAAAAAAAAAAAAAAAGTGGGCAAGAACACTGAAAAATACCTCACCAAACAAGGTATAGTATCACAGTTGGGAAAGATACCCCAATTGGGTGGCATTAGGCACTGTAAATCAAAACACATTACACACTGGTTAGAATGGCTAAAGTTGAAAACACTAAGAACACAGCAGGCAAGGCTGTGCAGGAACTAGCATTCATTGCTTATCGCAAGGCAGAATGTTACAGCAAGATGCTTTGGCAGTACCTTACAAAATGAAGCCGATTCTTACCTTCCAACCTAGCATTCACACTCCTTGGTACTGTATTTACCCAAGTGCACTGACTCACAACCACACGAAACCTGCCTAGGAACCCTTATATTGTGCATGTAGCTGCCAAAACCTGGAAGCAACCAGTGTTCTTCAGCAGGAGAGTGGACAGGCATTCATGCTGCAGCCGTGGATGGATATTATTCAGTAAGAAAAATTAGCTAGGCCATGAAGGAGCCATGTATGCACACTGGTAAGTGAAAGGGGCATTTTGAAAAGGCTGCTTGCCGTATGATTACAAGTACCTGACACACTGGGAAAACTGGAGATGGTGAAAGGATCAGTGGTTGCCAGAGGCTGGGGGAGGAAAAGATGAGCCCTAGGAGACTTATAGTGCAGTAAGTTTATTCTGTATGATATTATAATCGTACATACATTCATCAAAGCCCACAGCACTGCACATCACAAAGTGATGTAACCTTAATGTAACCTGTGGACTGTAGTTGATATATCAGCAGTGGTTTACCAATTGTGATAACTCTCCTGCACTGATGCAAGATGTCCATAATAAGATGTTTGAAGTAATCACCGCATGGCTGTTGCTGGGTGTGATGACACATGTCTATAATCCCAACATTGTGGAGGCTGAGGCAAGAGGATCATGAGTTTAAAACCAGCCTGGTTTTACCAACTTCAAGGCCAATCTAGACCACATAATGAGACCATGTATCCCACAAAAATCCTGGGCTAAAATATCCATATGAAAGGGATTGCTTATATTGAAAACTCAAGTTTATTATGCTGTTATTAATTCAGTGGCGGATAGCTGAATAGGACAGCCAGTTTCAGCCTTTAGGAGTCAGTAAATGAATCAGTATTCCTATGTTTTAATGGAAAACAGAAGGTGCCAAAATTGCTTTGCTGTGAAAGGCAAGCAAAGTTCATTTTAGTACCTTTGGTACCTTTTGACTTAGATACTTAATCCCTTAAAATTACTGAAATACTAGTATGTATTCTCGGGAAAATGTTAGTCATCCACTGAATAATTTTTGTCCAGCTAAGAAATCATAAACATAAAGGATAATATAAAATACTGATTCAGAACCTTTCAGTGGACTGACAGACTCATGTAGCCACTTTTCCCTTTAAATACATGGAGCTATAATTAAGGGGGAGAGTTATTTCACATACATAAAATATATATTATAGCTATAACTCACAAAGCAAATTAAGAAATATGCTGAGCATTCTTAGGGATTAACTGAAACCAGGCTTTTTTATTGACTTCCCTTGTAAAATGTCAATTGAAGTAACTAGGTGGAAGGTCTTACCCTGCTATTGGAAGTAATCACTGGATTTGTGGAAGAGCAATAAACATCTGTTTGAACAACAAAGACAATATGCTGTTATGAAAATTAAGGAAAATGGTTTTCTTTTGTCTCAGAAGGGTCACACGCCTTTCACAGTTGCCTCTGAGCAAGGATTACATTTTTCTCAATAAAGAGTCTCTGATCAGTTGTACAAGTTCCAGGTAAGAGTCCAGAAAGTTCTGCACCACAGAACACAGAATGCATGAAGTCAGATGTACGCAGATGCTTACAGGGAGGTGGGGGGAGCAGGTTACAGAAACCAGGTTATTACATCTTCTAGACCTGCCTTTGAATTCAGTTGCCTCCTCTGGTCTGAGGATAGAAGAATTGGTTTAATCATCTGGTGCCTCCAGTGAAAATACCCAAAGATATTCTGCTTCTCCAGGCTCTATTTAGAACTACACTAACCAAATGTTGAAACAACACTTGAAGTTCTGACTTAGTAGTCCCCTGGCTTCAGTCACAAATGCAAAATCACCTCTGGGACTGATCCAAAGTAAGTTCCTCACACTTTTAGCTCCTCCTATGGTTCTGCCTAGTCTCCTCGGTCTTGCCACCATGTCTTCCTCTCTTTATCCCTCCAGAGGTAGATTTTCTTTGATCAATTACCAGTGCAAACAGGTTTCCCTTCATAATGTGTTTCCCACTTGTCCTGTTCCCTCTTATAGACTAGAACTCCTACTACCTTCCAAGAGGCTTTTCAACCCCTAGTTGCTTGCATATTCAGTTCCTGACCTCCCCGCTTTGTGAGGTTCTTACAGAATAAGGGCACCTCGTGGCAAGTCTTATGTCCAAGACCAGTCTAGACCTTTCAGAAACACCGACTTGAAATTCTTAGCCCAGGGAGTCCACAGGAGCTCCACAAAGGACAGGCCTTGGCTGTCCACAGAGGCTGGCCTCAGCTTAGTGAAGAATGCGAGCTGATCAGGTGACTGAAGTCATTCCAGGCAGGGCAGTCTGCATATGCAAAGCCTCTGAGGCAAGTGGAATACTGGAGGAAGTGGAAATGGTCTGCTGTGGCTAGGGGAAAGGCCAGAGTAGAGAGTAGTAGAATCTTTTTTTGGAACCAGGGTGGGGTGGGGTGGGGTGGGGATCAAACTCATGACCTAGCACTTGCCAGCAGATGCTTATGTCGCAAAGCTAAATCCCTGGCCCCAGCAATATTATCGTACATGAAATATAGCTGTAACTAAATAGTGTCTGCAAGGGACAAAAAAACTCTAGTGGTAATTTGGTCCATTAAATTTTTCTGCTTTGAAGTCTTTGAAATTGCATATAAGATAAATATCCTGCGTTTATTTGCATTTAGAAACTGTTACTAGAATTGTGTACAAATACTTTAAAATGCAAGTACTTAATGTAATCTGAATTTTACTAAAAAAAAGTTCAGTGAAAAATATAGCCATCTTATAAGTTATCACGCACTCTGACACCACTTCTGATTCTTAAAGTCTACGGACCATAAGCTACTCTCGGAATAGTGGTTTCTGAATCAAAGATTGTCATCCATAGCCTCATTGTATAGGTGGCACGCAAAGGTTTAAGAATAGAATTTTTTTGCTGAATTTTGAGTCTAAACATCTCAAGTGGACACCAGACAAGAAAATTAAGTGTGATAATCAAGCAGTTTGTTGAGGTGTCTATCATCACTTACCTCACAGGACAGTTTTGAGGGCACCTTTAAGTAGCGTTTGGAAAATATCCAGGCTTCTCTACCTCCTTGTTACCCACCACCTCATAGAAAATTTTTAAAATTTTTTTCTATTTTAAAGAGATTAAGACGAAAGAGGGCATAACAGCAGATCAGATCAGAACAATGCAAGCAACGCGGCATTTTACCACAAGACAACCATAATTAACAGTAACTCCCATGTCTCTTTCTTTGAAATAGCTGAGCATAGCTTCATATATGATAGTATCTAACATAACAAAACAGTATAAAACCATTCAAGAGAATGAAAGCATTACAGGGCTTTAAGAATTAAATAGCAGAGAACGAACAATGGCTACTATATTACCTCATTTTCCATAGAAAATTTGTTTATACTGTGAGAGTTGACCCCCCTGTTATAACCCCCTCCCCGAGTTATAAAAAGCAGCAAAGAATGTTTCACTCCCTAACTCCCCAGAGCGGGGAATGAAAGGGTTAACTCCCTAACTCCCCAGAGCGGGGAATAAAAGGGTTAACTCCCTAACTCCCCAGAGCTATCAGAGCAGAGCAGAAAGAAATGTCTAACTCCCCAGAGCTATCAGAGCAGAAAAAAAAAAGAAATAATGCACCTGCAAGGTTGTTCTGTCTCAACGAGATAAGTAAGACAAGTAACTGTTCTGTTCTGGGCACATAGTGACTGGGCTAGGACCCCCAGTCTCCATGGTTACTCAACCCCAAACCCCTCCAATCAATTTCTGCCAAATCCTATGCTGCTCAAAATTAATCAATGCGATTTGCTTCTGTAAACTTGCTTGCCTCCCGCTTGTACCCTTAAAAACCCTACACAAATTCCCCTCGGAGCCCTCCGCACTTGTTTGCCTGGGGGACCCCATGCGCATGGAAATAAACTTTTTTCCCTCACCAAGAGTTGAGTCCTTGGGGTCTCTTTCCCTGCGGCGTCGGCCCTAACAATACTATTACACATAATATCCAATAAGATATAACATGATAGAACCAAAGGAAACAGAAAAACAAAAGCATAGCCGGACTTCAGAGTAAGATGATACTAATTCAGCTCTCACCTCATAGAAATTTAAAAATGAGGCTCAAAAGGACTAAATAATAGTCCTGGAAAGGGTCAGGAATTGAGTTTCAACCGCAGATAAGGACGCCCCTAATTAGAAGTCTTAAACTTCCTAGCGCTGGGAGGCGCCACGCGCTCTAGTTTATCTAGAGGCTCGTCGACCGGAAGTTCTCTTGCCCTCAACAAAGATGGCGCGCGACGAAGCGAGCCAATCAGATTGCTCGCTATAGGGACCTGGCTTCGTTTTCTCCGCCCGCTTGGCGCCTCCGAGGACGCTGGCGCAGCCAACGGTGAGGTCCGCCTGCCGCGTGCGTCTGACGACAGACGAAGGGGGCGGAGTCTGGTTAGAATTTTGGCGGGTTAGGCTGCTGGCCGGGAGGCTGTTTCTGCACCCGGTGAGAAGCGCGGGTTCTGGGCGTGTGGGGGGCTCTGGCGTGGCTGTGAGAGGATGTGAAATAGGCAGAGGGCGAGAGGCGCAGAGCCCTGGAAGGCTGGATGGGGAGATCGGAGCCCGGAGGCAGCCAGGGCGATCTCCGGAAGCAGCCGGGCGGCCCGGGCCGGGTGCCTGGTGAGGGAGGCGCGGTGGCGCGGTGGCGCGGGTGCTGGAGCACTGCGGGGTCATCTGCGTAAGAATCCAGTGTTTTTCCTTTCATCTTTTGAGAACACTTGTCAGATGCGTGCTGACTGGACTTCTTCCATTCCTTGGATTCGTGAAGTGCTAATCACCATTGAATGCTCACCCTCCTTACTGGGCTCCGAGCTCACCTCCGCGCCCTCGAGTCTGTCACTCTATAGAGGACAGCAGATAACAGAGTAATTGGTAGTGGACGCTGAGCAGTAAGGCAGGGGAAGGGGCCTCCACGTAAAAGACGACTGGACAGGCTTAGAAAATGGAAGACACCGGGAGTGCTGGCGCGCGCCTGTAATCCCAGCTCTCGGGAGGCTGAGGCAGGAGGCAGGAGGATCTCCTTCGAGGCCAGCCTGGGCTACACTGGAGGGTTCAAGGGCAGCCTGCACTACATTCTGAGACCCTATCTTAAAAAGTGGGAGGTAGGAGACACAGAAGAATGAGGGGCTCCGGAGAGTTTCTTGTGCTAGTTGCTTGACGCCTGAAAGCAGCGAAGTGGTTCAAGAAGCAGAAAGCAGGCTAGTCAGGCTGGAGCAAGTTTAGGAGATGCTGGAGCTGGGTAGGGTGGAACAGACCAAAATACGCATAAGCCTCTCAGGCGTTATTTTAGGGCAATAGAAAAGCTTAGAGAATTCACTAACTGAAATACCATGCTCTGATATGTGTTTTTAAAGGGTTACAGGGAAGGAAAGAGTGCTGTATCTCTAAGCACGTGCAGTAGACTGCAGGTGTGCAGTGAGGAAGCCAACGCAGCCATCCACAGAGGCCTGTATTGGCAGTGAGTCAGAGAGAAGGGGCCAACTTAAATAGTGTTATATCTTAGAGCAAGAGCAAGAAAGCACAGGTTTGTTGGGGGGAGGCGCTGATTGTAAAAATAAAGTTTGCCCCTAACCCTCAAACGGATGATTCCCCAGTGAATAATAGTGTGGTACCAATGATGGGATCCTTGGAAATGTTGGATAAATAAAAAGAAACACTTAATTGATCCAACATTGAATTTAGCAGTCATTAGAGTACATGTAGGTTAAATAATCTTGCGATTTTAAAGGTCAATTCAGTGAAAAAAAGGAACATAGAATGATTGGGATTTAGTGGGGGTTTTTTTGTTTGTTTGTTTGTTTGTTGTTTTTGTCTTTTTGAGTTAGGGTCTGCTGTGCAGTTCAAGCTGGCTTTGAGCTCACATTGTAGCCCAGGCTGGTCTCGAACTTAAAAAGATCCTCCTGCCTCAGCATCGTGAGTGCTGGGATTGTTTGGGCTTTGGTTTTAATTAGCTATGTGAAGTTTTCCTCTGCACCTTGCTAGCTAATGTTGAATTAAAATCTGCCCAAGGCTGGAGCTATTTTTATAGCACACTAAGCTGCTATAGATTCGGTAGAGTTCAGATGCATTTTAATAAATAAAATAGGATAAGAGCTCTAATATTTAGAGCAGTCCCAAAAGTTTTCATCCCTGGTTTGTCTCCTCTGTGTAATCCGGCATTGTATGAACTGTGTTTCAGCTGAGTTTTGTGAACAGTGTAGGGACAAGAAAAGAGGGCCACTTAGGAGCTAGAAGGGAGGTGTGCTGGCCAAGAACAAGAGAGGAAATTGTCAGAATCTAGATGAATCTTACCATTAGAGCCCATAGGATTTATGGGATTCTTGATTTGCTGAATGTGCATCATGAGACAAAAGAAAGACTCAGGGTGACTTCCCTAATGTTCTTCCCTGCAGCTGCTGAGATTTGACACTTTCATCTCCTGAGCACCTAATCCTCCTTCAGAGTCCCTGGACACAGCTCTTACTGTGATGATGGATGGTAAGGCCTGGCCATTTTCTTTTTCTCTTTTGTTTCATGGAACAGTAGCCTTTTACCCACACATTTGTATTGGGAAATAGTGGAAGTGCGGTTCTTTCCTAATACTATGAGCCGGCATGTACCTAAAATGTCAAGCACTGCTCTAAGGTTCTTCTATATGTTAACTGGGTTAATCCTTACGGCTACCATATTTTAGACACAGGAAATCAGGGATGTTTAGTGTCCTATCCTTGGTCAAACTGTCACAGTAGGGATTTGAACAAAGCAGTCTTGACCTCAACTCATTTGATGGGGACATCTGTTGAAGTGGTTTTAGTCTAGCTCTAATTTAAGTTCTAGTCCTTTCTAATTAGGTTTGTTTTTCAGGAATGTGTACATAATGTCCGGTAAAGAGATACTGCTTTAATCAGCAAAACTTAGCCTGGAGCAGCACAAAAATGATTGTGTTTGTTGTAAAGGGACCTTTACAAGGAAAACACATTATTTTTCTGTTTGTATAATTGAGTCCATTGTCTATATTGAGATTTTTTTAAAAGTCAAGTTTAATACACTGTTACCCGTTAAAAATGTTAAATCACCTGGGCGTGGTGACATGCCTGTAATTCTAGCACTTGGGAAGCCGAGACAGGATCGCTGCAAGTCCAAGGCCAGCCTGGGCTGTATAGTGAGTTTAAGGCCAGCCTGCATTATAAGGCAAGACCCAGTCTCAAAAAAGCCAAAAAAAAAAAAAAGTAAAATCAAATGTTGAAATTCATTATACTGTGTTATACATGAAACTGGCCACTCTATAATATAATGGTAGTTTCCTGTTTCCTAAAATTATCAAACTGCCCACAGGATAGTTTGTGTGATACAAAATATAACTTTTATCTATGAGACGGACACTGAAGGGCCATGGATTTAGCTCACAGCATAACCGCCTGCCTTGCAAGTGCATGGTCGTGAGTTCGATTCCCTGGTACCAAAAAAAAAAAAAAAACAAAACCCAACAGATGAAATAAATACATGGGTATGTGCTGTCTTAAGAAATCATGGTATCTAGTTGGAAAATCTCATTTGTTTGGTGTGCACTCTCACAATTTAGCCAATATACAGGAAATATAAAAGTTCATTATTTAATATCGTTCCTGCTTTCATTTTTGTAAAGGGAGCAAGATAATAATGAAAATGTTTTTAAAAGCCAAAACTCAAAAAAACAAACAAAAAACTGCCTTGCCAGCTAGTTGGTAAGATGACAGACACTAGAATGATTATATACTGATGGGAAGGTTCCAGAAAAAGAGGAAAAATTGATGATGCAGAAGACTTGGGTAGTTTATGGTGACGTCTTTGAGGTGCTGAACTCAGGAGAGGGATCCAACATGTAAACGGTGGAACTGGCTCTAAATGAGACTGAGCGCTTTGTTGCATGGGAGGGAAAGCTAAGAATATGTGTTTAGATTTCGTAGTGAAAGATGAGGGAGATGACTGCTTCTGGGTTTTTTGTCTGTGTTCTTTTTCTGTAAGATACAAGCTCCTGGGAATAAACAGGGAGGAGGAGGGGCAGAGGGCTTGATAAGAGACCCTGTTAAGTATAGAATGGAAGCAAACATGCAGGAAGTGTAGGGGTTTTGGTCTGTGTTGGATGCTTGTTTTCGGCGTGCTTAAATTTAAAGTTCAGCGAATAGCTTGGCAGCGGGTCTTTCTGCAGTAACGTGCACTGGCTGGGGTGCTAGTGTGGAAATGGCAGTTGGTTGGATTTAATCAGGGTCAGGTTTTGTCAGGAACCATGACAGCAGGAGAGCGACGCAGGGACTTTAGAGTCTTTGGAAAGCAATGACTGTGATGATTTGACCCAAAGTGAGGATGTGAGGAGCATCGAGAGTGGGTCACAAAATCCTTGTAGGGAGTCAGTGGGTCGGACACCTTCATCATGTTGCAGAAATACTGTGTGGGATTCTGGAGTGAGTGGGCTGGAAGGATAGGATGTGGGAGTCAGAGGGATGCTTGAAATCAAGAGCACTGATTGGTGCACGGCTATACTTTTATTATGATTGACAAACAACGCCTTTAGCAGTGTGTGGCTAAGATGGTGAGGACAGAATCACTGAAGGAGACTGAGTTGTTGGGTGATCATCCTTAGGAATACTAAAGTGCCTGAGTCTGGTGGTGGCAGTTGTTTCAAAAAAAAATTTTTTTTTTCCTGGTATCAAGAAACAATCTTAGGACTTGGCCCTTGCCAGGCAGGCACTGTGCCGCTGAGCTATATCCTCGACGGGTGGTAGCAGCTAGAGATGGAGAAGGTGGACCACTGAGGGGCAGGCCTGAGGGACATAAGTAGATGACACCCACCAGCAGGAGTTCTTAATGGCAAAATCTGGGGCCGCAAACATCAGAGAAGCAGCGACCTTAAAGAAGGGTACATGGTCCCAAAGAGACAGCAGTAAGCACCGAAGACATCAGGACCCTGAAGTTGATCCATAGATACAGTTATTACACGGACAGCATGCGTGGAACAGTACTGGAGACATGGCAATGTGAGAGGTGAATAACTTTCACTCAGGGACAGCCAGATTTCTGTTGAGGATGCAGGAAAACTTGCCAGTAGTAGGTTATGAATTCCAGAGAGTGGATCCCCAGAATTTGGGAACAAAGAAGCAGGAAGATGGGGTCAGCAGAACATAAGGATGGATGAGTTTTGGTGTTCCCCAAAGTAAGCAGGGGTGGGCAGCATCACAGGATGAGCTCTGGTGGGTTTGAGGTAGGAGATGGTGGGGTCACTAGGCAGTGTTTCCACCTGTGGCTTCCCTTGCGGGCCAAGGCTTCTAGGGGTGCACTGTCTATAGCAGCCTTAGGAATGAAAGCTATTGGAGGCCTCTTAGCTGCTACTTGCAAGATTATAGCAACCTCTGGAGCGAAGGGAGCTGGGATGGTGTCTTCTCTCTTGTTTGCTTGTTTGTTTGAGACAGAGTCTCAACGTGCAGTTCAGACTTGCCTTGAGCTATGTAGTCCAGGTTGGTTCTTCTATCTCAGCCTCCCATGGCAAAAACGTTCCAGGGGAACGTTGCTCAAATTCGGGGAGAGGGCATGAGCCATGAAAATAAACAAATGAGCTGGGTGTGGTGGCAGATGCCACAAATAGCTATGTGCCACCGCGCTTGGTAATAATAGTCTTTTTTCACTAAACAACGTGAACTAATTGTTATATAACATCTAACTGTAAGGGTTAGGTTTATCCTTTGTTCTGGGCCAGGGATAGTGAAGCCTTTAGTGCTTTCACTGATGTAGACAGCCCACTGCTGATACAGACAGCCACCACTGTTCTGGACCTTCAGCCTGGCTCTCAGTTCACTTTCTTCTGCTGAGGGAGTAGGATGGTGGGAAGGACTTGGTTTGCTGATCTGGTAGATAGGTTTCGTTAGTGACCTGCTCCATCCGCTGACCCTGAACAAGCTCTTACTCTCTCAGGCTCTAGCCCTTTTCTTTCAGTTGAGGGAATGGATCAGATACCCTTAACATTTACATTAAATACCTGATCCTATAGGGGAATGTTTGGGGAGAGGGCATGAGCCACGAAAATAAACAAATGAGGAGGGTGTGGTGGCAGATGCCTATAATCCTGGCACAGCCAAGGCTGAGCAGAAGAATCCTAAATTCCAGCTGAGCCTGGGCAGTTTAGCAAGACTATGTTGCTAGGGATGTAGCTCACTGGGTGCAATCCTGGTGGTCCTGATGGTAGGGTTGGGGAGAAGTGAAACAAGAAATCTTCAGTAAACATAAGCAACATTTGCCTTCAATAATGAATCAAGAAAAGCCGACCAAAACAGTGAGATGCTTTTGAAAATCATTTTGGCAAAAAATCTTAAGATATTGGTGAGGAGAAATACTTGGTAATAGTGCTGGTGAGAGTACTAACACCAGAACAATTTGGGAACATCTGATGAAATTGACAGTGGGCACAGTGTACCCAGCGATGCAGCAAGTCAGAGGATGAACACACGATCGTAGCATTCTTAGTAGTGGGAAAAAGTTGAAAGTAGCCCGTATGTCCTTTACTGGAAAATGGTGCAGTGTTAGTATAGAATATGAAGCCAGGTCTCTGCCTATAATCCCAGTACTCAGGAGGCTGAGGCAGCAGGATTGTCACAAGTTCAAGACAAGCCTGAACTACATAGTGAGACCCTGTCTCAAAAAAGAAAGAAATTATGGACTGTAATATAGTAATTAAAAGAAGTAAACTAGAATTAGATGTTGCAATTTGGGTTAATTTTGCAAACTGTGTTGAATGACCAATGGGTACAGAATATTACAGCGCAGAGTTTTTAATATAAATATATCTAAAGCTGCCTGATACTGTGACTACTTATACATTCATGTTAATGGCTAATTCTGGGTGATGCAGTATGAGAGCTTTTGCATACCTTTTTATCTTTAGAAAGAAGTCTCAGCAGCGTGATGACACACATCTGCCAAGGCACAAGGGTCCTAAGTTTAAATCCAGCCTGTGCAGCTTAGTGAGACCTTGTCTCAAAAGAATATTTTTAAAAAGATTTGGGTGCATAGCTCAGTGTTCTGTGGGTTCTATCATCTGTACCAAAAAAAGTAAATAAGCAAGAAAATATTTTGAACTTAAAAAAAGCTTTGGACATTTAGAAGGATGAAGGATTCTGCACAGCTAGGGCCTCAGTCTGCCTGCAGTCCTTCCTTCACTAGTTGACTCTTACCAGAAGTCTACATGTGAGAAGTTAGCCATTAATTAAGACAGCGGAAGTGGAAAGTCCAGCCCAGTGTCTGACTGCCTTTTTAACAGTTCCAGCTGAGGAGGGTCGCCTCAGAATCTGCAGCTTGAAGAGGAGACGCAGGTCGTGGAGATGTCCAAATACGCCTTTATTCTCCGCTGCCCCACCAACCATGTCCTCAGCTGTGCAGGCCCAGGCATTCCTCATGGCAGTCTGCTTCACCCCAAAATACACAACAGCACAGTGGCCATGTGCCAGTCATGGCTGGGTTACATCGGGCTTTACAGAGAGGCGTGAGGTGCATTGCACTGAAATCCTGCTGACTTGGACTTAATGTCTACTGAGAATTATCTCCTGCCCCCAACATATCAAAGTATAGCCATCTTAGGCTTTGTTTTTCCTTACACCCACCCTCCACCCCCTTCAGGCTGAGAAGTGTGAGTTATAGTGGGTACACAGGCCCACAGGGCCCACCCTTGTGCCCACACGTCATAACAGCAATGCTAGGAGGACTCCGTGTAAGCCGTCATCGAGTCTCTTGCCATGGACACAGGTCACTTTTGAAGGCCAGGCTGGGACACAAGCTCAGCTAGCCCAAGGCTGGGAGCCAAATTAGCTTCCCAGCTCTTTGCAGGTGTCACATCAAATCCCTTTACATGGGTCCAGGGTCCTTGGAGAGGATCTAAACACAGGACAGGGGCTTTTTCCTGTTGGGCTGGCCCTGCCCTGCCGTCTCACAGGGAATGGAAAATGGCTCTCTCAAGGCAAACTGCTTCTTTCTTGTGGTCTTTAGTGCAGTACAGAAACTGTTAAACTGTACAAGTGTCCCTGCTGGCCTCTCTATAGGCTCACCACTGACCACGCCCTGGCCTGTCCAGTTTATCCGTTTACCCTCTTCTGTGGCCTCTGATAGGTTTTGGCCCCACATGGACTGATGGCCAACCAGCCACCTGGGGTCCTTTACATAGAAAGCTGTAGTGTCAGGCTGTCAGTACTGTGGTAAGAGGTCCTTTTCCTGGAGGGTCATCACCTACCTGACCCCCAGCTTGGCCCACTGACCTCTCTTGTCTGATACCAGCATTACACTAAATGCTGCCTATTTCTGTCAATACAGCAGTAGTCTATTGTGAGGCAGGCCCATAGCTCAGCCCGTCTGTGTGTCAGGCACTTGCTGGTATTGTTAGCTGACCATCCTTGTAAGGGATTTCCTTTTGACTCCTCCAGTGGACGGGACACTGGTGCAGCCTTGTCTATATACTGCACTGGCCTGACACCTGCTGTAACTCAGCAGACAGGGGATGTGTGCTCTGCAGTCTGATATCAAAACATACTCTCTGTCTGGCCAGCATTGGTGCTTATGTGATCCCTGTTTCTAGCTCAGGTATCTATTAGCGTGGCTGCCTGGCTGTGAGGGGTGGCTTGTACCTTTATGGGGGCCACACTGGTGATTGACTTGCTGGCCTGTCAGGCAGTTATTTCTGGGGGGACAGCAGACCTCCACGCCTTTTATAATTGTTCCCAACATCCCAGAGGCAGGCACAGCCATCTGTGTGCTGCCACAAAGCCCAACTGAAGCCCTCAGAGATGATGTGAGGGTTCAGTTCATAGGGGTTTTCAGGGTTAGCCATCTGCAGGGCTTATGCCTGCTGAAAAGCCAGCTTTGCCACCCCAAATGCCTGCTTGGCAACTTCCGCCCTATCTCATGTTACCCCTTTTAACTCTGGTTATACAAAGGATTTAAGATCTGAGCTAAGTGGGGAATAAAAGCCCTGGGATATCCCAGACATCTTAGATAAGTCTATAACTGTTTCATTGTGACAGAGAAGGACACCTCTGCATTTCACCCTTAATGTCTCTGGTATTGCCTCTGTTCTGCCTGACCAGATAGCTCTCAAAACTTACTGCCAACTGCCAGAGAACCCAGGTTCCTGTACCTTGGCCTTCTTGCTGGCCCATTTATATCCCGTTAGGCGCAGCTAGAGGCTGCGCGTGGCATGCAGGAGAATCAGAGGTTGACATAACACCATCAGGGTAATGAAGCCCACGCACATCCCACAGGGCTGACCACGTTGCCAAGTCCTTTGGCATCAGCCTTCTGCACACAATAGGGCTGTGCAAGTAACCCTGTGACTGTCCTTTGCCTTTCTTCTCAAGTGGAGGTGAACTGTCCCTGCAGCTTCAAGCCCTAGAGGATGACCACTCCCAAGATGCCCTTAAGTACTCAGGAGCTGTGCCCAGTATAGGCTCCAGGTTCAGACAGCCTATACCCAGACACAGTCCCTGGTTTTACTTTGATGGTACATCCCTCATAGCCCCCTCTACAGGTCATCTTACCCGGGAACTTGGCAGGATTGAGTCTATCTCATGACCACTAAAATGGGCATGTGATGCACATTTGTTGGGATCCAGTAAGTGCCAAGCCACCATGAGACCCCCAGTCCTCCAGCACTCCTCTTAACTGGACACCTCGACCCTGCCCCTAATCAACATTAAATACCTGCATGGCCAGGTAGTCCTGCAAGTTATGGTCTGGCTCTCAACTGTGTGCTTCCCCTGGGGAGCTTTCCCCTTCTGGAATTGCTGATTGGAGTGTAATTGCTTTGAAAGGGTTAACCGCCTGTTATTCAGCTGGGCTGTTCTCAGTGTGTTGGGCTGTTCTCAGCCTATTGGCGGTTTGTTTACTGGAACTCCTCTTCAGAGTTTCTTGCAACTATACCTTAGCCTGCCTCCTCCACTGGCCGCTCTAGCTCTGCCACTGGCTCCAGGCAACTGCTAATTCCAGCTGCCCCATAGCCTTTTAGAGACCTAGTGCCAAGCCCACGTATTTATCATCAAGTGCCAACACTGCAATTAAACCCGAAGACTGTGGTTTTAGTTAAGAGAGAAAAAAAATTCTGTGTTAACATCTTTGTCTTAAAAACAATAACAAGTGTGCCATAGGTTCATCACCACTTGCTAAACCTATCTGTCTGACCCTGGAAGCTATAGCTCAGCTATTTGGACAGTATCTGTACCTGTTGCTTTCCTTGAAGTTGCTAAGCCCGGGCCCTGAGCCTGCCTCTGGCTCTGACCAGCAGCCCATCTCTTTTAACTCTTTGCTGTGGGCCATTGTCTTCAGAAGGTTTCTGCCATGGCCTGGGCTGTGACAAATCCTGTTGCACTGCTCCAGCTGTCTTGTGACCAGTTCAGACTGGGGAGGTTCACTTGAGATCTGCACATCCCAAAGAAGAGACCCAGAGTTGTGCAGACATCTGAACGAGCTCAGCCATGTGGCAGACCACAAAGCGGTCAGCATTTATACCAAAGTACTGAGTACTATAGTAGCTGTATGCCTGTAGACCTTGGTTGTATGTATTTACATTGGGACCAGCGAAGTGTACTTCATGTCCACTGGAAATGACTCCTCCACTCACAGGCCAAACTAGTGTATCGTCATAAAAATAGTGACCCTCTAGGTTCACTTTAATTGCTGCGTTAGTGTTGAATCTTTGAGACAGCTATGCTTGACATTAGTGGTTTGTTTCTCCGGTGGGCTCAGTTTCTCTTCTTTTTTCTCTGTGGCCTTTAGGGGAGGAGGACGATTTGTCTCTGCTGACAGCCCTGCTGGAGGAGAACCAGCCAGCCCTGGCTTGTCATGCAGAAGAGAGGAGCTGCTTGCCTCAGGAGGATGGTGGACCTGACGAGTATGATGAGCTCTTTGATGCTGATGGTGATGGTGAATCCTACACAGAAGAAGCTGAGGATGGAGATGGAGGAAACGTGGAAGACCAGAAGGAAAATTTGGCCACTCTCTTTGGAGATGTGGGGGACTTAACAGATGAAGAAGTTCCTGTATCTCAACCAGCTGAAGACAGTGTTCTCCCCGATCCTGCCCCTAATCAAGAGAAAACCAATCAGCAGCTGCAAGGTGGCCTAACCAACCACTTGCCTTCTCTAATTTCCTTATGCAAGCTAGATAAAGACCACAAGCTTGACAGTTTTCATCAAAATAGCTGCTGATTCAAGGATACAGATAGTGCATGAGTTGGAAGGTGAAGCCCTTAGGTTTAGTGTTTCAGCACCTGCCAGCCTCCTGTCATTGCCAGCCATGTGGTGTTCCATACCAACACTCCTCATGCCTGTCACTGAATAATATCACAGTGCTTTAGCAGTTATGTGCGTGTAGCGCCAGGACAAGGCCCACCAGCTGCTGCACATTCTATGGGAATAGAGGACCACACCAGAATTGAAGCTGTTAGCTGTGATACTACAATTTACAAAATAAATACAATCTCTTTTTTTTTGTACCAGGGCTCAAACTCATGACCTTGCCCTTGCCAGGTGGGCATTGTGCCACTGAGCTGCATCCCTGGCTGCAGTCATTTCTTGATGTCTTAAACTGTGTTACCTGTCAGTGTGCACCTGTGACACCGGCAGTAGTACATGTTTTTAACTAAGGTAGTAGAGGCTTGATTATAAGAAATAAAGAAGTTTATTTCTCCTGAGGGACCTGTTTGAAGTATAAAAGTTAATCAGCATTAAAATGTATCAGTATAAAGTTACTATTAAAAATTAATTTAGGTGACTTGTGAGCCTCAGGGTTTGGGGAAAGAGATGGATAACAAGAATATTGCTAGCATTTTTCTCATGTAGTGCTTTTTCCCACAGTGTTCTTACATCAGTCTGTTTTCTTTTCTTAGATGAGTTAAGGAAGTTGCAAGAGCAAATGAAGTCCTTGCAAGAACAGCTAAAAGCAGCCTCAATTAAACAGTCTGAAAGTCCAGCGACTCTGCATAAATCCTCTGGTAATAAGATTGAATTGGACAGTAGTGTGTATTTTTACCCAGGTATCTGTTGCAAAAGATTTTAAGCTCCTCAGTAAAGTAGCTTTACTAACTGCTTCTCCATTTAATTAAGAAAGTAAGACCACACGGCCACCGCTGAAGGAGAAGAAAGTTCAGAGAATTCAGGAGTCGGCATGCTTTTCTGCAGAGCTTGATGTCCCTGCCCTGCCCAAAATTAAACGGGTGGCCCGGATGCCAAAGCCCTCGCCAGGTGTGGTACTCAGCTCCCCACTGTGTGTGATAAGTTTCTTGGAAATGAAAGCCATAGGTTGTATCTTGTGCTTTTTCCTGCATCTCACAGTACTGCACTTGAAACACCCTCAGGTACATAGTAGATGTTTACTCAGTAAACATCTTTTGTTAGCTTTGTTGTTTCACTTGGACTGCAGTTAGTATAACCACTAGGTTGAATTCTCCAGATTGCATCTTTGCGAGAACAGGTACATACTTTTTGAGAAGTAATCAAGTTTTGTTTGAAAGCAGGTTGTACTGATCCAGAGGGCCCATTCTTTAGAAACAGCTTCTTTGCCAGGAATGTAGAAGGTAATAATACAGAAGAAGAAGAAGAAGGAAAAAAAAAAAAAAATATATATATATATATATATATATATATATATATATATATATGCATATATGAAAGGATATATGCATACAAGAAAAGGATTTATAAGCCTCATGTATTGGTTTTATTGTGTTGCCTCAGTTTGCCCAAGATTATTCTCCAAAAGACCTAAGGCAAAATGGTCCAGAGACAGTGCAGCTTGGATGAAGCAACATTTTACCAGCTAAATTTGTTCAGAAAAGCCCTTTGAATGCTCACTTTTGAGGAACCACTAGAGCCTTTAAGTATCCATATTAATTTCATAGTAAATTGTATATCCAGGGCTGGCCTCAGTGGCACAGCACCTGCCTAGCAAGTGCAAGGTCCTGAGTTAAATTCTCAGTACAAAAAAAAAAGTATATCCAGTTTATCCATTTATGACTATTGTCTCTCCATGAGACCTTTGCAGTCCTAAGGTGTTTCACTGAGCAGTGTATAAAGTTTGATTTCGAGTAATGGTTCTAAAGTCCTAGAATTGTCCTGGCCTCTGGACCATGATCCAAAGTCCCTTTGGGGATAAACAACACACTGTTTCATAAGAGAGATTGTTGTTTTGTAATGGAAAATGTCAAGCTTTCTGACCTTTGAGACCATTTTAAATACTTCTGAAACAGGAAGGGTAAGAAATTTGCAGTAGCTAGTAAAATATGTTGGTCCCTTTTGTACTCCTCCACCTCACCAATAAAATGAAATAAAGTGCAACAAGAAAAAAAGAAGAGAGAGTAATTAGTGTTGGAGATTTTCAGTGGAGAATTTGCTGTGTGCACAAATATCTACTATTTATTCCTGAAGGGGAGCTCTTGTTCCTGTATGGTAACTACTAGTGTTTACACATGGTGAGTATGCAGGGAAGGTCATGGAATAGAATAATATTTTTTTTCTTTTTTGTTTTGGTGCCAGGGATTAAACTTGACCTCATGCTTGCCAAGCAGGCACTTACGCCACTGAGCTAAGTCCTCAGCCCAAGAATACTAGTGTTTTAAAACTGTAATACACTAGATATTTGTCTATTTAAATTAGAAGGAGCGAGGCTTATCTCTTAGTGGTAGACCACTTACTGGCATGTGTAAGGCCTTGGATTTGATCCCCAAAACACACACACACACACACACACACACACACACACACACACACACACACACAAAGAATAAATACATGAATTTGAGTTAGAATCTCTCTATAGAACTGCAAGTCACATTTAACGTGGTCAGTGGTTACATGTGATGGTGGCCACCACTGTATTGGACAGTATAAAACATTTCCATCATCACAGAAATCAGCCTGCACTACAGAGATTTTGAGTGGTCTTGTGGCTTCCTCTGTCCTCTCAAGATCCGACTGTCATACATGTTGATTAAAAATGAAACCATTGTGTAAGCAGATTTTGTACTTTTTCAGTGTTTTTTCCCCCTCAATCCTTACGTTAATTTTCCAGAACCCAAAAGCTCATCTTCAAGTATGCCAAGTGCACCCTCCCAGCCGCTCCAGACCATTCCCGGGAAAAAGCACAGTGGGGTGACTAGGGATCGAAGCTCTGGGCCCCCAGGGAGCTTGGGGGAAGCAGCCCCACAGGTCTCCATGGAAACCTTCTCCGGCCTTCGGCTCAGGTCAGTTCACTGGGTAGCCTCGCTTATCCACCCTCTTCTTGAAAACAGTCTTTCTGAAGCGGCACCTTTGTGTAGCAGATTCCCAGCATCCCTGTGGCTCTTGAGCTGGGCAGAACCCACAGTAAGAATAGCAGCAGCACTGAGTTGACTCAGCTTGGTCACATGTGAAAAGCTTTAGGAACACTCACTCTTATGTATATAATGAGCAAAGGATGTTTACCACTTGTAAACATTACCTGTAAAAAGCAAATAGACAGATAATAGTATATTTAATCAGAAGGTGACAGCTAGAAACACTGACACAAACTATAAATGTTTTTACAGCTTTGGTATAAAATATTTTTTATTTAATTATTTTTCATAATGCTAGAGATGACAGATGATTTTTAAATGTATAAAGATACATAGTTTGAGGAGGACAGTAGTATCTTATATTTGATCTCACAATGTAACATAAAAACTTAGAGAATAAACTTTTAAGGGTAAATCCGTATCCAAAGAAAGCAAACCTTGCTTTAAAAATTACTTTCCTATGTCTCCATAAGGAAACACCCCAGGCACCCTATGGATTTCTGCCTATAACATCTCTCATCCCACCTTGTCAGGCGCCCGATAATCACTTGTGAGTAACATTCTCTTCCTTGTTGGTTTCTGAACCCAGGCGACCCCGAGTATCCTCCACAGAAATGAGCAAGAAAATGGTTGGCCGCAAACTGATCAGATTGTCTCAGATCAAGGAAAAGATGGCAGTGGAGAAGTTGGAAGAAATAGACTGGGTGACGTTCGGGGTTATTTTGAAGAAAGTCACCCCACAGAGTACTAACAGTGTAAGCCATGTGTCTGAGTTACTTTCCTCATTGCTGAGACAAGGTACCTGAAACCCGAAGTTAAAGGAGAAAGGTTTCTATCAGCTCCCAGTTTACGGAGGCTTCAGTCCATAATCCACGGGATCTAAGGTGCCGTGGCATGGGAGAGGGGCACCCAGGGAGGAAGTGGTCCATGGCAAACAGGGCAGGCAACTAGCAAGCAAGTGGCAACGAGCACACCAGCCTCTTTCTATCCTTTACATTTTATCCAGGCTGCCTCCCCTGAGGGCAGGTACACTCACACCTCCTTAATCCCAGCGTCACACACTCTAGATCCAGTTGCCTCTGCCAAGCCCCACCTAAGACCCCTGAGGCTTTGGGGGACATCTAGAGATGAGTCATAACACCATGTAACTGATTTCTGAGTTACTTCATCACAGGTTAACCCTGAGGACTCACATTCTTAATTGATGCCTGTCAACAAATTTTTGAAATAATTTCTAGTTGCCATATATCCTTGATTGGTATTCAAGGAGATCTACGTAAAGAATGCCCTACTTTAAGAGCTAATTGCACATGTTTCTTAGACATTTCATTGTCCAAATCATTCTCATTGTATTTTGTCACTGATTTGTTTTTTCTTTTGGTTTTTGGAGATAGGCTCCGTCTATGTAGCCCAGGTTGGCCTTGAACTCCTCATCCTCCACCCTTGGCTTTTAAGTGCCAGAACCAAGTGCATGACCTATACCCACCTACTAATCTGTATTTTTGGTGACTCATGATTTTCTCTGTGACATTATTCCCTCCTTTGGAGGAAAGGGTCAGTTATTCAGGGAGGCCGAGTTCATGGATCCTTTGGAGATCCCTATAGGTATAAGATATCAGGTCTAAAGTGCAACATAGCATAATACCTGCCACGTTTCCAAACCTGCTAGTTTTACAGGCATGGGCTCACCATGCTTTGTCTGTGATCAGTATATTGTCTTGTATTTTTTTCAAATATTTAATAATACCTCTGATATTTTACAAATTTAAATGAGCTTTTATTTTCTTCTAAATGAAGTGAAGATTTATTAACATGCAGTGGAAATCTTTATGTTACTGTTGATGATATAATTAGAGATAAATAATAGACCTGCTGAATTATGTACCCAGGGTCTATTCATGTCGGTAAGTTACTGAATGAGAGTCCCTTAGTTCTTCCTGTCCTCATAATGAGGGGAAGATGTGTGGTGTTCCTGGAAAGGCAGTGACTGCATGGCCTTGAGAATTAGAGTTTGCTGCTAGCTCACCCTGCTTCTCGTTCATCTCTTAAACGAGGAGGGTAATATGTTTCCATAGTAAGGCCCTGGAACCAAACACGGAGGTGGTATGCAGCACAGTGCAAACATTAACAGTAAAAATAAATATTTATTCTAGGGGAAAACGTTTAGCATCTGGCGACTTAGCGATCTCCGTGATCTGACATGCTGTGTGTCGCTGTTCTTGTTTGGAGAAGTTCACAGGCAGCTCTGGAAGACGGAGCAAGGCACTGCCGTAGGGTTGCTAAATGCCAACCCCATGAAGCCCAAGGATGGTTCCGAGGAGGTAAGGCTCTGATCTGACGTAAGGATTGTTTTTACAAATCAGCTGAGTTTTATCATAAACTTCATAGTAGGCTACCTCCAGACACTCAACACGCTTCTATATAGTGTTTCTATTCATCTTGTTTTTTCATTTGTTCCTTTTCTGCTAATATTTTGAATTTCTCCCTACTCTAAACTGTTTTATAACAATGACTTTTATATTATATATTCAAATTAGTTCTAAGATTCCTGGAGTGTTTTAAACTCTTATTCTCAAGTTTCCTTAGATCTTTCTCCATGGTGGCATCACCGAGGCAGTGAATTTTGCTCCGTTAACTATTACACTGACAGTTGCCATTAAAATAAAAAGTGAATTTTCATCTTTTCAAGCTTGTTGGAGTTGTGGTTCTGCCCACAGCTTCCCCAGTCAAAATTGCAAAGCTGAACCCCTGTGAATGGCAGTGTCGATCCCTGCTCCTGACTCAGCTAGAAGCTTTATTTGGACTTGAATACCCGCTACTTGGAATACCTGATCAGTTTGGACTCCTATACCCCCTACTCCCAAGGAAGGAGTTAGGGGGTAAAATTAATTTCATTATTTGCTTTCACCAGAGAATGACAACGAATCTTCATCTGTGGCTTAGGAATGTGTTTGGCTGCAAAGAACAGAATGGCTTTCAATGTGGTTTCTGTTTAACAGTAAACGGTGGGATTTATTTTTCCTGAAAATTCCACACGGGCAGTATAGTGGTAGGGCAGTGTGCTGTGAGGCTCTCCGCCTTTCCCTCTTGGCTGCAAGTCCCTGGGAGCACTGGATACTAACCCCAGAGGAGGACTCTCCACGCTTTGCTGAATTTCTCCTACAATTCCTACATCTTAAAGGAGGCTTTACACAAACTCAGATGCTTGTGTGTGTGTGCACTGAAGCAGAAGCCTCACCCAAATCCTGTAAAGGGCTTTATTACTTGGAGACACATAGCAAAAAGAAACAGCAGGCTATGATATGAAGCGAGTTGACTGGGCAGGGCTCAGATAAGCAGGACAGTCTTGTCTGCCCATGTCTAGATTTGCATGATAGCGTTTTCCCAGCATCCTCCTCTGGATGTCATAACCCGGTAACCACTGGACCTGCTGAGCTCCAGTACTCCAAGAAATCCTGTGCTAAGAGAGATGATGACCAGAATAAGGAGTAGGATCTCCTTGAGGCTGAGCATTTGACAGCCCAGATAAAATGAGGATTCTATTGGCTCAGAGGAAGAAAAAAGTGGTCCTGGGAAGACAGCTGAATGTGTCTTCTGCGCTCTGATTCCTAAAACTATGTTCCAGAGTCCTGGCTTCAGGTTCCTTCAGACCAATGGAGCCTTCTTACATCTGCCCCGAGCACTGTTTTATTCAGTCTTGTTAATGACGGTCATGCCTTTGTCCACCTTTAACCCTGCCCTCCCTCCTTCTGACAGGTGTGCCTGTCCATTGATCATCCTCAGAAGATCTTAATCATGGGTGAAGCTCTGGACCTGGGAACCTGCAAAGCCAAGAAGAAGAATGGGGAGCCGTGTACACAGACAGTTAATTTGGTTGGTTTCCACCCTGTGAGGATGTTCCTGCTAGAGATGAGGGTTATTAGTAACAGATGCTAGGTGCTTTGGCCATAATGACCAATTTGGAACCGAGTCCAGTACTTCACAGAAAGAGTCAAAATGAGATCATTGAATATAGTTAATAATTACCAGCTTAAAAAGTCAGGGATGGGGTATCAGTAAAAGAACAACGGGACTTTCACCTTGGGAAGTGATCTGTTATTGTGAACTGACTAGGTAGAAGGAGGATGAAATTGTGTTTTGCTTTCAATTCTTTGTAGTTCCAGAGATTAAACACAGTGGCGAAATACACTAAAAGCCTTATTTTATCCTAAATTTTAACTCAAAGTATATAACTTTCCAAAGTGCTTTTTTAAAAACATAGCTGCGTTGAGTTATGATTCTTGTGCCATACTCTGCACCCTTTGGTATACAGGAATCTTTAATACAGTCACAGAGTAGTGCAGCTGTCACCACGGTGTAATTTCAGATGCTTATTTTCAATACCCTCCAAGAGAAACCCATACCCACCAGCAGTCATTTCATGGTCTTCCCCCTGTCCTTGGTGAGCACTAGTCTACTGTGTATCTCTATGAATCTGTCCATTCTGAATGTTTCATATAATGGGATCACAAAATGTGACCTTTGACTTTTTTTAACTTAGCATATTGTTTTCAAGCTCATCCATGTAGCTTTAGAATCCGTCATTCCTTTTTATGGTTACATATCTATTGTACGGGTAGTTTCTAATACTTACGTTGATGGACATTGGGGTTGTGTCCACATCAGGTTATGTGAAGAATGTTACTATAAGCATTTACTCACAGTGTGGTGCAGACACGTATTTTCTGTTCTGTTCACTGTGTACCTTGGACAGGATGCTGGGCCGGATGCTTACTTTATGTTTAAGGTTGAAGGAACTGCTGGACTGGCTTGCATCGTGGGTGGGTGATTGTACATTCCCACCAGCAGGGTTTCCATTTCTTCACATCTCCACATCCTTGCCAGCTCTTTGTTGATTGTATTTTTTGTTGTTGTTTGCTTCTGGTTTTTGTAGTGCTGGGAGTTGGAAGTTGAACCCAGGGCCTTTGTTCAAAGCTTCATCCCGAGCCCTTTTTATTTTGAGATAAGGTCTTGCTAGGCCACTAAATTACCCATAACTGGTTTGAATTTGTGATCCCCTTGCCTTGGCCTCGCAGAGTGCTGGGATTAGAGGCATGGGCCACCACACCTGGCTCATTGTCTTTTATTATAGCCATCCTAGTGAACATGAAGAGGTTCTTCTTAGAGTTCTTTGAAAACTTAAATGACAAGTTCATTTTCCTTCCTTCATAATACATGAACTGGTGAGCAAGAAATAGAGACAGTTAATAAAAAGGAGATCTTAAAAGAAGTACTGAGACATCACAAAAAAGCTGGAACAGTGCATTAAAAGTCTGTTGCTAGTGCATCTAAGAGTTCACCAATACAATATGACTTTCTCTTACTGAAAAGGGCTAGAAAAACTTTGCTAGCAGCTGATTTTTAATTTTTAGTCTTACTTTATTTTGTGTGTGTGATGTTGGGGATTGAAGCCAGGGCCTCATGAATGCCAGGCAAGTATTCTACCTCTGAGCTATGTTGCCAGCCCTTTTAATTTTCTTATTTTGAGGTAGACTCTTGCTAAGTTGCCCAGCTAGCCTAGAACTTGGAATCTCCCTGCCCCTGCCTCTTGAGTAATTAGTCTTAATTATCTTTTGAGGACAAATTCAGGTACACACAATGAGCTGTTTTTAGAGTACTCAGTTTGGTGATGTTTAGCCATGAGCTGTCCGCTCTCTAGCTTTGAAACTTTCCATCATCTGATAAAATCATTCCCATTCCCTACTCCTGCCATCCTGTGACTCGGCTTTCTTTGTGACTTTGAGGCCTTGCCTGTTCTGGGCACAGCCTGTGAAAGGAGTCTCATCATGAGTAACTTCTTTCAGTGCCTCCTTTCATGGATATGGTTTTGAGGTTTCTTCTGGAAGCCGATTGTATTTCCACTATAGAAAGTGGGCAGAAAGCATGAGTGTCCTCACTCTATGCTGGACAAGTGCTTTGCGAGGGGCCTGAGGAAGGAGCCTGGCACTCTGCAGAGGCAGGCCGTGGCATCCACAGAAGGCAGGGTTATCTGCTCTTGGGCCCCAGCCCCATAGCTACTCTTCCCACAGCGTGACTGCGAGTACTGCCAGTACCACATCCAGGCCCAGTACAAGAAGCTCAGCGCCAAGCGTGCCGATCTGCAGTCCACCTTCTCGGGAGGACGGGTTCCGAGGAAGTTCGCCCGCAAAGGCACCGGCCTGAAAGAGCGACTGTGCCGAGATGGTTTCTACTACGGAGGGATTTCCTCAGAATCCTATGCGGCCTCCATGTAAGACCTTCTCGGGGCTTCTCTGCGGGTAAGGGTGGTGCGTGTCTTCCAAGAGGAAGCCTGGTCCCTGGCCTTGGTGCAGCTATCTGAAGACATGCACCTAGGTTTATTTTTCCTAGCTGCTGCCTGGGACCCCTTTAGCCTCAGGAACAGAATGAGGAGGAGTCACTCTGCCGGGGTGGACCTCACAGAAAGCCGAGGCTTCCTGACTTCCTCTACCTGACTGTGGGCAGTTAAGAGTGTCCATCACGGTGCCCGTCTTGGGGCCATTTCCCCGTGACATTCAAGTGAGGCTGCAGACGTCTCAGAACCCCCGTGCTTACCTTTTTGAACTCGGGTGCTGCGGCATTTCCTGCAGGGCATTGCTTTATGCTACCACTCCTGGCTACAACATCACTACTGATTAGACTATAGGTAGCATCTTGTGTTTTAAGTAGTCCTTAGTCTGCCTTTTTTGTTGTGGAGGTTTGTTTGTTTTTGACAGGGCCTCCCTCTGTATTGCAGACTGGCTTTGAACTCACTGTGTAGCCCAGGCTGACCTTGAACTTGTGGTGATCTTCCTGCCTTAGCCTCCTGAGTGTTGGGATTACAAGCATATGCCACCACCCCTGGCTAGTCCTTAATTATTTTAAGAGATTTCTAGACTTCTAAATCGAAGTGTTAGCATGTTTTGTATTTCTTTGGCCTTTTCAGAAAGGCCTGAAACAAGTTTGTAGTTTGTCTCCTGTGCTTCTTCTGTGTGTAAACCACCTGTCTGTGGGCCCTGGCATTAGGAAAGCCTGCTTCCCTGTCTTCAGGGCGCTGGGTCGTTGGTGTAAACGCCTCGAGGGTTGGGCTGCCTTCTGTACTCAGCAGAGCTTGGGGTTGGTGACTTTCCTTTCCTGGGACTCTTGTCATTTCAGTGCTGCAGCTGTTGCTCCTAAAAAGAAGATTCAAACCACACTGACCAGTCTGGTTGTGAAGGGCACAGACTCCATCATTCAGGAAGCACAGCAGAAACTTGGTACCCTTGTTTCTTCATCCTGCACTTTTTTCCTGCAGTGTAAAAATTCAGTAGTTGTGAGTGAGGATGACTACAACTCCCACTCTAAGTGATGACTGTCCACCCTTCGGCTAGTCAGGAATGCGATGTGGCTGAAGGCATCAGACATGGTGGCAGGACACACTGATCCTAGCTGTGTCTTCATTTTGTGCACTTTTTAAGATTTCTTGATGTATCTGTGTCAGACTCTTGATAGCGAGCATTAGAATCAGGAGGATCAGGTTCCTGGTCAACCCTCTCAGGATATTTTACCTTTTGGTAAAATAGTCCAAGGTCAGAAAATGCTAGCCCACCCTGTACTTGTGGTCCTGGCAGTGGGTCAGGGCCTAGCATGCCTCCTTCTCCATTATGCACGTTCCAGAAGTAGTGTCTCAAATGACCTCACAGATAGTAGGTGCTTAGTGTGCTAATCATTACTAGAGGTAGCATACCCTTGCATAGACTTATGTATTCATCTGATGTTAAAAGTTATAGCTTCTTTACCTTCTCTTGGCATTTTGTCTAGTTAACTTACAAATGACTAAATGACAATTTTAAAAGTGGTACGTCATGACATCACAAGATTGGATGACATTAAACAGTCTGAATTTAGACTCCCATAACGCGGGTGTTTACATGTCCCAGGAATACCACAGAAGAGCTTGTCTTGCTCTGAGGAGTTCAGGGAACTGATGGACCTGCCGACGTTTGGAGCCAGAAACTTGAAGCATTTAGCAAAAGCCATGAATTCAGGTAAGGTTGGCTTGCCTGGCTACAGCGTGTATGCCCAACTTCCCTCCCCGCCTGGAGAACCTCTCACTTTGGGCTTGTGTTTTAGGGATCCTGGGGAGCCCCAAACCTGCCATCCAGTCTATCTCTGCATCAGCCCTCCTGAAGCAGCAGAAACAGCAGATGTTGGAGCTGAGGAAAAAGAAATCCGAAGAAATGCAGAGGCGGTAAGGGTAGCAGGCCTAACAATCAGTTAGGAATCTCTGAATGTCTTACCAGGTGTCTAAAAATAAGGCTTCAGATCTAGGTTGGCTACATTTTTGTGATAACCTAAACAGCATCGAAGGCTAATGCTTCTAGTTTTGTCTAGTGACTCCTAGGAGACAGCAGATGGGCCAGACCAGGGTAGTCAATATCACTGTGGAAAAGAGAGAGGAATGATGTATGAAGAGAACGGTTGGGTAGAGGGAAAGCATATGTTTTCCTGTTTGACTCGTCTCTTGGCTTTGCTAGTTAGGTTTCTAAGTATACGGGCAAAACCAGTGAGTGGATTATTGCTGCTGTTCAAGTAAACGAGGCACTAAAAAAGAAGAAACAGAAGTGGAAGCCGGGTGTGGTGGCGCATGCCTATAATCCCAGCACTCAAGGCTGAGGCAGGAGGACCATTGCGAGTCTGAGACCAGCCTGGCCTACCAAGTGAGCTCAAGGCCAGCCTGAGCTGCATAGTGAGACCCTGTCTCAAAAAAGAAAGAAGAGACGAAAGTGGAAGTGGAAGGTGGACAAATCTAAGATTTCCTGAGCCCAGGTTTTCTGAGTAACAGTGGAGCTGCTGTTCGTACAGGCTCATCATGTGCAGTGCAGCCCGGTCCATAAATGTAGTGTCTTACTCATCTCGCAGTAACTGCAAGGAATCCTTATCCTGCTGCTTCGAACCATGTGCCACAAGGTCTGAGAGTTCGTACATGAGAGAGCGGACTTTGAACTCACCCCTGCTGTACTCCAGTGTTAACCTCCGTGCTGTCCCACTTCTGGGCTTCTAAAAGCCAAGTGGTTCCAGGAAAAGCAAAGTCAAAAGCCAAGAGCGCTGTCTCTGGAAAAATAAGAGCATGCATTTGGTCTCGGGCAAATGCGACTGGGGTGCTGATAGGGTGTCTATGGAGGTATTTATTGTTTGCCTCCAGGTAACAAATATTATTTTTTATAAGATGAAAATGAAATGTGTATGAGTGTAGGATTGTGGCCTTTGTAGAGAATGGAGAGCACCTGTCAGAAAGCATTACAATCCATCTCACACTCTTTCTGCCTTACAGAGTAGCTATAAGCAAGAGAATAATTTTGGCAGGTAAGGCAAAGATAGCTGATTGGGGCAGGCATTTTTGAGCTCTGTTTTTCGAGGCTGATTATTTTCTGGCTACGTCTTGTTATCAAGGAAACATGGGTAGTTACTTTCTTAAACTGGTGCGAGATACCTAATACCCTCAAAGTAAAGGAGGAAAAAGATTTATTTTGGTCCACAGTTTGTAGAGGTTTCAGTCCATAGTCAGTTGGCTCTGAGGCAGGGTGGCACATGACAGGAACATAGAGGAGAAATAGTCCATGGCAACGCAGAAATGCAAATTCCTTGTTTGCCTTTTCACTCCATCCAGACTGCAAGTCTATTGGTTGTTGCTACCCAAACCCAGGATAGATCCTCTCTCTTCAGAAAATCCATCGTCCATGCCCAGAACTGTGCTAAACCCATCAGTGGATCGGTCCAGTATCACATACCCGTGATCCATTCACTCCCAACGCCCACCTCTGAGCACATGCGGCTTTGAGGGGGACATCTGGATACAAGCCATCACACAGTCTGACATTTTTCAGAATTTTATTAGCCAAACAAATCATTTCTGGGTAGGACTTGATAGGCAGTTTGCAGGTCACCCTGTGGCTCGGCTTGGCAGAGAGAGCAGTGATAGTGAAAAGATCCTGGCCTGTGGTTACCTGGCACCTGGCCTGGGTCTGTCACTAGGAATAATGTGACCTGACCTTAGTTTCATCATGTATAAAATGAGGGATTTGGACAAGTTGATTTCTCAAGTTTGCCATTCTTAAATAGCTCTAAGCTACATGATGTAATTATCCTGTTGGTTCCAGTACTTCCTGTTAGGATGTCCAGATATAACCTGCACTTCATTTCTTCTTGGTAGAGCAAACTAAAGTGCAGAGAGGTCCTGCAAGTCCCAGAACTACCTGTAGGCTGGGATGCCACCACATTTCAACCTCAGGCCTGTGCTGTGCAGGAAACATCTATTAGAAAGTAGAAAGCCGTTTGATAAAACAGTAATCAGTTCTAAAGTGGAAGAATTCTAGCTTACTCAATGGGGATTCATTTAACCCACATGTGTATAAAGTGAGTCTTGTTCTTCATGTGCTGCACCAATTTGAACGATTAAAGAATGGGAGTTATTTTACCAGTTAGCAGCTGGCCTGCCTAGACGCTCCCTGTGCACTTTGAGCACTGCAGTTTCCATCTGTGTGATACCTGTGTATATTTTGCTGCTGCATGTTTCTTTAAAGATTCCTCCAAAGCTCGAGTGAAGTTGGGAGCCCAGCAGTGCCAAGCTCATCTGGGCAGCCGCCTACCCGGTCTCCACAAACTGGCGCAGAGTTCCCTGTGCAGAAGGCGATCGCTGCCCCCCAGATGCCCAAGCTCGGGCGCGGCTTCTCGGAAGGGGATGACATTCTGTTCTTTGATGAGTCACCACCACCGAGACCAAAGCTGAGTGCCTTAGCAGAAGGTAAAAAGGTAACTGGCTTCTATTTTCTTTAACATTTGTCTTCATTCATACACAGCTTGAGTTTCAAAGTAGGCACTTGGAGCCAGGAAAGACACCCAGCGGCTGTTGACCACTCCTGATAAGTAGAATGAAAGCAGTTCTAAGCCAGGAGTGGTGGTGCACTTCTGTAGTCCCAGCACTTGGGAGGCTGAGACAGGAGGGTCATTGGGAGTTTGAGACTGCCCAAGGCCAGCCTGAACTACGTAGCAAGACCCTGTCTCAAAAAGGCAAAAAAAAAAAAAATAATAATAATAATTTTAAATGAGAGTAGTATCAGCATAATACCTTTAATTTAATCAAAGAGAGTTGGATCTCATCAGGCAAAGGATTCATCCTCCAGGAAATCCAGCTTTATAGCCAGAGTCACTGCATTATGAAAAATTCTTAGCATTGTTGAGGCCAGACTATACGAGAATGGGTTAAAGAACCCTTCTTCAGGCCTGGGGATCCACCCTAGTGGTGGACCCTGGGATCTTGCCGAGCACACACAGGCCCTGGATTCTATTCTCAGCCCTAAAAACAAAAATCCTTCTTCACAAGGTATGTCTGTGTCAACAACACAGGAGTTGCTGACAGACGAAAGTTGCAGTGGCTGAAGGTGAGTGGGGGTGCCCAGAGCTCCCCAGCTGTCTGTTTTCTGAATCTCTCATCAAACCCTCTGCATTTCTCTATACAACAGCTATCCACAAATTAAGGGCAGAGGTTCACCCTATACCAAAGCCCTGCCTGCACCCATCATAGTGGTGGTACCAGTACTAATGATCAGTTGACGTATTGATTAGCATTTCTCTAGGCCTGTGGTGTTTGCCCGATATGCTGTTTACTAAACACCGCCCACACAGCCACCACCTTAGAAAGACTGTCATTACCCCATATTATTATTGTTTTGTTTTTTTGAGGCAGTCTCACTGTGTAGTTCAGGCTGGCGTAGAACCCCCAGGGTGTAGCCCAGGGTGGTCTCAAACTTATAGTGATCCTGCTGGTTCAACCTCCAGAGTTCTGGGGTGACAGGCAGGCATGCACCACTGCACCTGGCTCCCCCATTTTATAAATGCAGAAACTGAGGCTGGTAAAAGAAATAATTTGCCTACATCTGAAAGCTAGTCAGGGGTAAAGCTAAATATCTGTTCTGTGTTTGATTTGAAGCATTTCAGAATGGGCTGGGTGGTTCCCTAATAGAACTGGAGGCCAGGGTTTAGCTGATGTTGGACTGTTTGTATTAGATTGAAATCAACTGAAACTGTATTTATCAACTTCTAGACTTTTATCTTCTGTGCTATTAAATTTTAGTAATATGTTAATCATGTTAGGTAAGATGGAGAAATTCTCTGCAGTGTCTAACAGAACAACAGGACTCCCCTAGATAGTATCTGGAAGGGGCTCTGGGGCTGTAGGAGCCCACCCCATCTTCTTAATTCTTATTCTCCTATTCTGTTTTTTTTTTTCTAGTTGGCTGCCATTGTTAAACTAAGGGCAAAAGGCCAAATTCTTACCAAAACAAATCCAAACAGCATTACAAGGAAGCAGAAGAAGCCCCAGGATATACAGGAACTAAAAGAGCGCATAGAAAAGAACAACACCTTTTCTCCTAACGGTAGGGCTGGGGCGAGAGAGCCAGTTGTTAACGGAAATGTAACCTGTACCCTGATATCAAGTCATTCTTTCATGTGTGTTCTTTCTGTAGAATGTGTGAGGATTGCTTGTTTTTTGGAGTCAATCTCACTATGCAATTGAGGTTGCCTTGAACTCACTGTGTAGCCCAGGTTGGCCTTGAACTGGTGGCAGTCCTCCTGCCTCAGCCTCATGAGTGCTGGGGTTACAGGCCTGCACCACCATGCCCTGCCTAACTAGGATTTCTGCAACTGGAACTGATTGTTTTTATAATCACATGAAATCATGTACAATTTCAACAGTTGGGGAAAGAATTCCCCTTGGATCATTGCATATATATATATTGGTGCATAGATTTTGCTTTGAAAGAAAATTCCTTTGTTCTAAATTGCTCCATTTTTATTTTTAAAATTCCAATGTTATTTTAAAATTAGTTTATAAGTAGGATTTTTACTGTTGGTGTCTATTCTCATCATCTGCTCCCTGTGTTAAAAGTGAAAGAGATTCTGATCCAGTGGTCAGATCTGCCACTCCCCCATGTTCTAGGCTCTGTTCTCAGATCACTTCTGGAGGCCCCCTGCTTGTGGCCAATGCGGCGGCCCTCAAGGTTGGAAGGGCCAAGGCAGGGCCAAGGAGGCTGAGTGGGAAAGGCCCATGGCTTCCTCTGATTCCTCTGCCATGCTGTTCTCCACTGTAGCTGAAGAGGAATTGGAGCCTGCAAAGAAGAAACGAAGAGAGCAGCTTGCCTACCTGGAATCTGAAGAATTTCAGAAAATTCTAAAGGCCAAATCAAAGCACACAGGCATCCTAAAGGAGGTAAGGACCTCGGAGCAGGGAGGCGTCAGGGGCCCTCCTGCCTGAGACGCTTCGCCGCAGGACCAGAGTCTGTTCATTTGCCTCATTTGCCAAGGAGCAGCTGTGCTGCAGTTGGCTTGGGTTTGCTGTTCCCAGCTGTTCCCAGCTACCCGGGAGGCTGAGATGATGGTGGTGAGGGCAGCCTGGGCCACCTGGCAAAATCCTGTTTTAAAAGAAGAAAAGATCTGGAGATATGACTTAGTGGTAGGGCACTTGCCTATCAGTGTGAGGCCGTGGGCTCAGTCTCTAGTAATCACTAGTAATGTTAGTGGCTTTAGTTGTACCTAGTGTTTTAAAAATCACCAAGTGCTTTCATGTCTTCCCTGCTGCCCACCCACACACGCTATCTAAGGGTTCTTTTCTGCTTCATATACCTTTGGTTTGCTGTTTGTTGAGGCTCTGTCTAGGATCTTCTAACTTTTAGCTTGTCACTTCAGTTTTGTTTTGGTTATAAATGAACTCAATTGCTGGAATAATTAGTAAATGGTTCTTACTGAACTGCCTGAAGCTATCTCACGTTTGATACAAGCGTTCATATGTGTTTTATTGTTTAGGCTGAGGCTGAGCTCCAAGAACGCTATTTTGAGCCACTGGTGAAAAAAGAACAAATGGAAGAAAAGATGAGAAACATCCGAGAAGTGAAATGCAGGGTGGTGACCTGTAAGACGGTGAGTGTGAGATGCGGGCTTAAACTTGGCAGACTGTCGGTCAGCCTTCTGCCACTGTGATAAAATACCCAAGACAAACAGCGTGAAGAAGGAAAGGTTTGTTTCGGCTCAGAGCTGCAGAAGCTTCAGTCCATAGTCAGGGAACCCTATTGCTCCTAGGCCCATGGCAGGCAGAAACATGGCGGAGGATGTGACCAAGGAAAGCTGCTCATGGCAGCCAGGAAGCAGAGAAGGGGGAAGGAGTCAGAGAGAAGGGGGCAGGGTTGCGCAGTAGTTCCCAGGTCACACCCCATGACCCAGTCCCGTCCCCGTCCCCGTTCTGTTTACGTCACCTAACAATAACACCAGCAAATTATGCTCCCTTAAGTGGATTAGTCCACTGGATAACATCAGAGCCCTCGTGGTTCAGGCCCTTCCACAAAACCCATCCACAAGTACGCCTTCAGCACACGCTCTGGGCATATTTTTGATCCAAACCATAAAAACCTGTGAAATGCTGGATATTGTGTCTAAATCATTTACTAGGTCAGGAAACAGGCAACGAAGGATCGGGCTCTGCCTGACTCGGCCTTGGAGCTCTGCGGGGAGCCATGCTGCTCCTGGCTCTTAACCGCTAAGCTGAATTTCAGGTCAGAGTGTAAACTGTGTTTTCTCTGTGTTTGTGGGACTCTCACCCCAAACCTGTTACAGAACTCCAGATCATCTGTTCTTTAAGATTAATTTTTAAACAGTGGGAAAAGTAGTTCTTCCTAAATATAGCTGCTTTTCTGCATGGTCCGTGGATGTGCAGGAAGAAGACGAGGTTTCCATCCTCCAAGCATCCTCCTCTCCATTTTTTGGAAAATCTTAGTTTTGTTAGATTTGGGGATCAGGCCTGAACAGCTACCATCAAACTAAGGATTCTTTGAGCAAGTTTATAGCAGGAAGAAGAAAGGAAGAGGATCAATTAAAATGTAATTTGAAGCACAATTATTCACATTCTCCCTCCAGAGACGGCTTTTTACACCCAAGGACATGGTCGTGGTATTGGCTTCCCATTGTTGTAACAAATCACCACAAACCCTGAGCCCAAGGCAACAAATTTATGTTGCACTGACAAGACCACAGTTTTTCTGGAGGTTCTAAGAAGACTGTTTCCTTGCTTTTGTCAGCTTCTGGAACCTCCTCACGTACAGTTGCTTCTCATCTTTAAAACCAGCAAAGCAGGTTGAGCTCTCTCAACACATCACCCTATTTCCTTCCTGTTTCCTTTACCTTTTAAGGACCCTTTACATTAGGCCCAACCAGAGAAGCCCAATAAGCTGAGATCATTTCCAGGTCTTAAAATCAACAAGTCATGCCAACTTTCCACAGTGAATATAATCATTATATTCTGCAAACAGGTACTAATAGAAACCTTGTACAATTTGTTAAAAAATCACTGAATCAGCAACCTTAATTCTACCTGCTACCTGGATTCCCCTTCACTGTAGAACACAGCAGCCTCAGGTGCCAGGAAATAAGAGACACTTGAAATTAGGGGACCGTTATTCTGCCTGCTGTGGCCGACATTCCACTGTGCTCTGCATTTCCTGAAGTTGTCTAGAGTAGTTATCTGAGCCCAGAGCGATTACCAGAAATTGCAAGCATCCTCCTGGCACCTGTCTTCTTATTCTGTCTGATCGTTCTGTAGATTAGAATTAAAAGTAAATTATATAGTCTCTCTGTCTTGGTTTTATTGCTTATGACATAGGAACAATAATAGTAAGCTTAAATCCTTTTCAGAATCTTGCAGTGAGAAATCAAGCTCAGACTCCCTCAGCAACACCAAGCCTGTGGTTAATATACAATGTTCTGTAATGAGCCCAACTTACACTGTCATGAGGTTTATAGTACATTCCTTCTTGGGCTATCGTCTTTGTGTCACAGAATGTCATTGTGTCTCTGCCTGACCAGAAAGTGGGGCACACATTAGAAGAAACAGACTTGGTGTGAGGAAAGGTCAAAAAATTTGCTGCAGTCCAGCAGCTAGAAAACAAGGTGGCTCAGTGCACTGCAGGGAACCCGGCAGCCCAGAGGACAGCTTGTCCTGGAGTCTGCCCCTCAAAGCCCCTGACCGGTGTGTGGTCTGCTTGCTCTGTGCAGTGTGCCTACACCCACTTCAAGCCTCTGGAGATCTGCGTCAGCGAGCAGCATGACTACCACTGGCATGACGGCCTGAAGAGGTTTTTCAAGTGTCCCTGCGGAAACAGAAGCATCTCCCTCGACCGGCTCCCCAAAAAGCACTGCAGGTATGAAGGTGCTGGGGTTCTCTGTCCCAGGCAGGGTCACTCCTGGTGGTGGTCCTGTGCAATGTTCCTCCCCCTTTTCCATTGTGGCTGCTGTTGATTCCTGGCCCATAGTAGATCCTTAAAAATGTTTATTGAATAAGGAAAATACGTGCCAGGTAGCTGGAGAATATGTGTTGTGTGATTTAAAAATAAATTAAGTTTTTTTTTTTTTAATAGTAAAAGACATTGCTGTTAATCTCCCTCAAAATACCTCCCTTTGCTTCGAACACACTTGTCCCGTCATTCTTGCCATGACTAAGGCAGTTTTAGGAGTCCTTTTTCTTGAGTGTCATTTGTACTGTGGTGGCTGCCTGGATAGCCTGGATCAGTTCAGAATGTTACCTTCCATGATGGCTTTGCCTTGGGGAAGAGGCAGGAGGTGCATGGTACCCGATCCAGTGGATAAGATGGATGAGGGCCTACTGTTTCCATGGGCCTGCCTTTCAGCCTTTTCTGTACTTTGAATCAGATCTCCTAAGACCCTGCAGAGGAGGACTCCAGCACTGCTTCACAGCAAGGCGAGAGTGGTGGGCTCCGGACGCCTGAAGAGGGAGATGTTTGGAGGGAGTTCAAGGCAGTGTGTCTTTTATGATGTGTCCCTTGGGTGTACTTGGTGCTCTCCTGTCCTGTTCTTCTGTCCTGTATCCCCTTCTTCACTCCTTCCCTGTCTCTCCACACCATCCTCCTATGGTTCATCTGTCCTTTTGTTTTCTTACAAAGTGTGCCCTGGGACATTTGTGTTTTATGCAAACGGCACAGCATCCAAAATGTGCATCTCTTCACTCCCTGCTCCTTGGCAGTCTCTCTGCTGTGTGCACGCCCACTGTGTGGGTGCTGACAGACAACTCAGGGGTCATCCACGGCCACCCAGTTGCTTCCAGCGAGCTTAGCTGGCCCTCATGCACTGATAGGGCTCAGACAGGAGGTGCTTGGGGTGTCCCCAGGATTCGCCATCCTAGGCTGTTCTCCAGACTGGCCAGGGAAGTCTATCCCTCATAAGCCCTTCTCAGCAGCCTCCATGTGCCTGGGTCCTCATCAAAATTTTTGCCAAGGAGTATGATGCAGTTTGGACTGGTTTTGGTTTGGCCTTTTTTGTTGTTGTTTTGTTTTTGTGGTACTAAGGATTGAGTCCAAGCAAGGCTGAGCTACTTCCCTAATGCTTTGAAAAAATTTTTGCGTCTTGCTAAGTTGCCCAGACTGGTGTTAAACTTGCCAGCCTCCTGAGTCACTGGGATTATAAGCATTCACTACTGTGTTCAGCAGAAATACAGTTTTTAGATACAGTTTTCTCGGTACTGTTGTTTAAATTTTTACATATGTAGTTAGTTATTTCATTGTCTTTTCAAATGCGTAGTAGTCTGTTGAATTTCCTCTTTTGTCATTTCCTGTTAATATCTCTTATTTGACTTTCTTACTGGGGTTTTCTCTTCATCTGTAGATGTATCTTGAATACTTGAAGCCCCTATCATGTTTTGGTTTTTGTTTGGTGGTGGTAGGGATCAAACCCAGGACCCACCATATTATGCGAGCACTACCTCTGAGCTATTGACCCAGGCGAATCCCCTGGTTTTAATTATTCCAAATGTGTTTATTTGTATTTAATTTAAATAGTTGGAGACTACATTTAACATTGTAACTGTGTAGTTGTAAGTAGGTGTCTGTATATTGATGTTTCTCTCCAGAAGAGGTGGCTACAAATGTCATCATAATAGCAGCTTTGTGTAACATTAGAAAATCAGAAAAATTCTATTCCTTAAAGATAAACAGTGCGCACAACTCACAGATGGTAGACAAGATGCTCCTCAGCCCGCAGGGAGCACCTCACTTTTGCAGGGTCAGTGCTTTGCTCTGGCCCTCTCTGGTCATTTCTTTATGTAGAACAGCCTCTTCTCCGTGCCCGTCGTTAAAGACTGAGTTTGCATTCATCACTGCCAGGGTGCGAAGCTGTGCTGCACCTCCATGTGCAGGACCATCTCTGACGTCTCCAAGACCGTTCCTCTTAGGGCTGGGAATTTAGCTCAGTGGCATAAGCACCTGCCTGGCAAGTGCAAAGTCGTGAGTTTGATCCTCGGTACCTCTCCCAAAAAAACAAACTGAAAGACCACTCCTCAAGTCGTTGGAGCACATGTTCTTAGCATGAGAGTGAACCCTAACCTCACATCTGGCCTGTAATACAAGGGTCATCTTAAACAGCATCCTCTCTCTACTCTGCACTGGGAAATGAACCCAGGACCTTTATCCTGAGCTACATCCCTAGCACTTTAAATTTTTTTTTTTAAGTTTTGAGTCAAGGTCTTGCTAAATTGCCCAGACTGGTTCTAATTGCAATCTTTCTGCCTCAGCCTCCCAGAGTCTGGGATTACAGGTCTGCTCCACCACACCCAGCACCTCCTTGTTTGCAGGAATACTCCTCTCCAGAAGTACAGTAAACCTGTTTCCATTATGTGTATGGGCTTGTACTTACCTGAGTAAATGTGTTTTTTGTTTTTCAGTAATTGTGGCCTCTACAAATGGGAGCGGGATGGAATGCTAAAGGTATGTGTGTTAGGCTGCTTTCTGTTACTGTAACGAAATACGTAAGATAACTTAAAAAGAAGAAAGGTTTCTTTGGGCTCCTTTGCTTTGGGCCTCTGACCAGATAGCACCGCCCATCCTGGTGGAAACATGGAAGAGGGTCATGTAGCTTATGGCTGAGAACAAACAATAAAAAGAGGAAGAGACGTGTACCCCACCATCCCTTTAAAGAGCACCCCACCCCCACCCCCGACCTAAAGACCACTACTATGCCTGACCTGTTAAAGGTTCCACCACCTCCCAGTGCAGGAGCTGGGAACTAAGCCTGTAACACATGGCCCTAGAAAGGAACAGTCAAGATCCAACACTGTGTCCTTTACCTACACACGTGCAGCTAATTTTAGTGAACCAGGCAAGTGGCATTAAACCAGTTTCTTATTGAGGTACTCTTATTTTTTTCTAGGAAAAGACTGGTCCAAAGATAGGAGGAGAAACCTTATTACCAAGAGGAGAAGAACACGGCAAATTTCTCAATAGCCTTAAATGACCCCGACTGCAGACTTCATCCTACTGTCTCCCTTGCTGCTGGTGCTCAGAAAGTGGGGATTGGCTCTGGGGTGCCTGTGTTCCTGACCGCCACCCCTGAAACAAGTGCCTGTTACGCTGTGAGCTCCAGGCTGACACCAACTTTAATGCTGGAAAATCAGGATGCATTGGTCTTTCCTGTCTTCACTGCAGAGGACTGCAATGCTGCATTCATGGCCCAAATACCCAAAGGTGAAGGCCAGGCCAGATCTCTTGGGTGCAGAGTGGGTGCTCCTTGATCACAATCAAGTTCCCACATTTCTGTGGACACCTGGAGGCAGACGCATTAATACAGCTTAATTGTCACCCAAGTTAAATCATTCAACTTCTGGGCTTTGTTCTGTTGTGTGTAACCTGAGGAAGATCAGACCAAACGATATGGAGATGTATCTTCCTGAATTCTACAAATATAGCCTATTTCCATCTCCAGATACAACTTGTTTTGTGATCATTGCCCTTCATGTTCTGTTGCTATACTGCTATTGAAAGCTAGGTTCCTTCTTTCTGGTCTACCAGTATCTCAGTTTTGCTCTTTGAAATTTGTCAAGTCATTATAACACATTGCTTTTATTTTTATGGAGAGAAAGAGGAATCACTGCTCTTATAATATTTTGGAACTCTAGAATGTGGAAACCTCAAATCTTATCATTTGTGCGTGTGAATTCATCTCAGCGTGAAACAAACTTGGAAGCCTCTAACCAAAACAGGTACAAAATTTGAAACACTATGAAGCATATTAAACACAGAAATTACAAAGACTGCAGCACATGGAGCTTGCAGATGCACTGCTATGGCAAGAATTTTAAAGCTCAAATGCAGTGGAAATCCTTGTAGGAGCTTCTTCTGCATGGACAGCCTGATTTTCCAGAGACCTGTTGGTGTAAGAGAATGTTAGAAATACCTGAAGGCTGGATACATGGGCAGGATTACTGTTCTGGAATTTGAACTCTAGCTAGAAATAGTTTTCTTCCAAAAGTCCATATGCCTTGAGGTTTCATAAAACTTCATTCCTGCCCTGTACGGACAGACAGTGCTGCATCTGACCTTTACCTTCTCCCTAAGGTTACTTCTTAATAACAGTACTTTTTTTTGTTGTTGTTATCTTTTAATTTGCTCTAAAAAGAAGAATAAAGTCATTATTACTTGAAAAGTATTTGAAACCGCAGTATTGTTCATGGCTCATTTAGAGGAGACTCATTTGTCTCATAAATTTAAAACAGCAATGCATATGAGATAGCTCACAGCTATATAAACTCAACGGATCAGTCAGTTGCCTTCCCGTGTGAAGAGCTTGGTCTTGTGTGAATGGAGGCATTGGTGGTCTCTTCCCATTGGTATGGTTTATATGGGTAAGTGGTGTATCAGGCATCAGTGAGATCAGTGCTCTAATCCTTTTATCAGAATACTTTGTTATCATTCAGCTTCGATGGTTATTTCTTAACTTGACATTGCCAGTGTGTGTCATCTCGGCATCAGAACAAGCTATTGAGTGAGCTAAGTTACAACACCTGGCCAAGTCCTTCATGCAGACCAGGAGTTTCTTCTTCTCCTCCTTTTTGTAAGCTTTTATTTTTTTGCTGTGCCTTTTTCATGTAGAGGAAGTAAATTAAAAAAAAAAAAAAACTTTTCATTGGACTTATTAATGTATTTTCCTTTATCAATGTATTTTTCCTTTATCAAACAACAGAAGGAAACCAAGTGTTTTAGATAACAGTTATCCAGAATTGTAAGGAACTTCTGAACCACTTGTGTAGACTGTTCCCCAAAACAAGCATGGAGCATTGAAACCTCCAGGAGCATGAGTGCAGAGGTGCACACCTGTGATGCCAGCTCTCTACGAGGTGAAGGCAGGAAGATCTTGAGCCTAACCGGAAATGGGAATGTAGCTCAGTGCAAACACCCTGGATTCCATCCCCAGGACAAGAATAAAAATGGGGAATATTAAAATTTGACTGATTAGAAAGCAAAGCTGCCTTGCTTGAACTAGCTTTCTGCAGAGGACAGAAGTACAGTTTAATATCCACAGCAGTTTAAATAATGTCTAACGACCCAGGGTCCTGCTAAAACGACCAGCCTGGCCTTGAATTTCTATTGGGCTTGAACTTGTTATTTGGCCTCTTGTACTTGGCATTGTATTCTGAGGTCTCATCCATGTTGTGCGTGAATCAGCCTGCTCGCTTATTGTTGAGCATTTGTTGTATAGACGTGCCACGTGATTGGTTCATTCAGCAGTTGATGGACGTGGGTTGGGCTATCTCCAATCTGGGTCTGTTGTCACTAATGCTGTTGCATGTTTTCAGGTGGAAGTGTTCTGTGTCTCTTTGGTAATTATCCAACTGTGGGAATTCTGGGCCATGTGGTCAGTGTATGTTAGCTTTGTAAGAAACTGCCAAGACACTTTGAAAGTGGTTGTACCGTTTCACACAGTAATGCATGTTATGAGAGTTCCGTTTGCTCCAGAGACCCCTGGAGTCTTCATTTTAGCCATTCTGGTAAGTGTGCTGTGGTATCCGGCTTGGATTTAGTTTGCATTTTTCTGATGACCAGTGCTACTGAGCATCTTTTCATAAGTACTGACTACTCACATCTTTTGGTGCTGCCTGCTCATCCATTTATTTATGTTTATTATTGGCTCAGGTGTAAGAGTTCCTTATTCTGGATGCAAGGGCTTCCTTTTTCTGTTAAGTATCACCAGAGTGGTTTGAGCAAGGTTAAAAGGTCTATGGACAGTAGCATGGTTTCTGTCATTTTGCACATTCCCCAGAGTGATGTTACCAGGGATTATGGGCTCAACCTTGAGGGAGAGAAGACAGTTCAAGTTCTGGGCTTCAGAAATTCCAGGTTTATGATGCTGACTTTACTTTTGCATAATCAGTCATACAAAAATGGTAATGATAGCTAATTGTGTTATGAGGCACAGTGTTGGCTTTCTATTACTGTAACAAACTCCTGAGGGAATCAATTTATAGAGGAAAAAGGTTTATTTGGCTCAGTTTTAATGGTTTCAGTCCGTGATGTGTTGGCCTCTTTGCTTTCAGATCTGTATAAGGGCAGGGAGAGCGAGCATATCATTGGGCAAAACCTTTTACCTCATGGCCTGGAAGCTTTCTGCTGGGTTCTTCTGTTCACTTCAAGAGCGTGCCTCAAATAAGCTGAAGACCCTATGAGGCCCTACCTCTAATGTACTGAGGATAGAAGTGAAGGCTTGCACATTGTGCTGCATCCCCAGCCATTTGTTTTGAGATAGTGCCTCGCCCATTGGAGCTCGAGCTTTGGATCCTCTCCCACAGCCTCCCAGAGTGTGGATTACAGGTTGTGCCATTGTGCTAGCAGCCCTGCCTCTCACTGTCACCTCCCAGTAGTGCCACGCTGGGAACCAAGCCTATAAAGTCCAGCTGGTCCACTTACTCATCTGGTAAGGGTACAAGGAAAGCTGTGTTTTGTCACTTAGTTATGGACTGTTTTCTTTTTTCAAAATGGTTTCATATAAATCAGTTTACAAAATATAAAATGTCTCTTGCTGAGTGCGTTTTAAATTACCTGAGCTAATAAAGTCACAAGCTGGTGCTCTTGTCCTACCTCAGAGCAATGGGATTATGATTTTTGTTTGGGAGAGTTACATTTAAAGGTCACTAGTGTTTTAGTATCTGAAAATATTGATAGAGAGTCTGAATTAATAAGTTTTCCAAAGAAATACTGTTCACCTTGGTTTTAGATTAAAACCAAGGTTTTAATCTACAGATTAAAAATTTCTGGAAGAAGCCTTTTTCTCTTGTTACGGTTTAGATCTAACCCCCCCCCATCTCACATATGTGGAAGGTGAGTGGGTCATAGGAGGCTGTGCTCTCCAGTGGATTTGTGGACTGATAATTCAATGGCTGAGCATGTTATTAGGAGGTGGGGCCTGATTGCAGGTGGGTCCCAGGGGGTGTGACCTGGAAAGATGTGTTCTTGTTCCTGGCTCCTGTCTTTATCTCTCTGCTTCCTGGCTCCCAAGGGTTGAGAAGTTTTCCTCTATACATTCCTCCATACATTACTGTCTTGGAGATACCCGACTATGGACTGAACCCACTAATACCATAAGCCTCCTTTAACTTCTAGAATCTTTTGACCCAGTGACAGGAAAACTGACTAATGTAGAAAGCTTTATAAAAACCAAATATGACAGAACACTGGCTTGATTAAAAAGTAAAAGTGAGAAAAATGTTCTGTAGATACTTAGACATCACTTAAAAGATACTCAAAACAACAAGAATAGTGATTTCGTTTGAGAAACAGGAGAGGCAGAACTAAGTTTTTAGGTTCTTTTTTCGCTCTTTTGACCCAGGGTCTTGTGTAGTTTGTAGTTCAGGCTGACCTTGAATTCAGTAAGTAGCCCAAGTTGGCTTTGAACTCATGGTGATTTGACCTCCCAAGTGCTGAGATTGCAGTGTATGCTGCCACACCTGCCTATGAGGGTCCTTTCTGTTCCTTATAGGTTGAAAAATGTGTATGGATGACCTACTCAAACTACTTTTAATTTTAAAAGAAGTTAATATGGAAAGTGGACAGATTTTTTTTTAAAAAAGTTAAATACAGTGTTCGCTGACAAACCTTAAGAGAACATACCTCTCTTACAAAGGAGAAAGAACCATGCTCAGAGGAAGAGGCTTCTTCCAGAGGAAGAAGTACTGTGAATCAAAGCAAGTGGGGCGTCATCCCAAAAAGCACGTAAGGATATTAAAAAGTAGGGGATTGGGACTCATGCGTAGAGCACTTGCAAATACACACACGGCCCTGGATTCCCAGCCCTGCGCACATGCACACATGCACACACAGTGTTGGTACACTATGAAATTAGAGTAATAGCAAACAGTTCTTACTGTAATCCTACACTGTTAGAATCTGAGACAGCACGATCACAAGTTTGAATCCTGTCTGGGCAACTTACTGACTTGGCAAGACCTCTCAAAGTCCTTGAACTTAGAGACCCCTCTAACCAAAGAAGAAATGGATTGGGCATATAATTCAGTGCAGGTTCAGCCCTCAATTCACCAATGACAAGTGAAATTGACAAAAAGCATAAAAGTTTACAAAAAAATATATGAATCATTCCAAGACTCAAAAATTACCAACCTCTCCAAAAAAATAAAGTTAAAAAAAGGTACATGACAAATTGTAAGATTTGTCTTGGTATAAACACTGTTGTGTATGCATATGTTTATGTATGTGTGTGTGTACCAAACCCAGGATGTTGAGTATGCTAAGCACGTGCTGTGGGAGGTAACACCTCTAGCCCCTGGAAACATTGTTTATAAAAAATAGAAAATCAAGCTGGGTATGGTGGTGCACTCCTGTAATCCCAGAACTTGGAAGGCTGAGGCAAAAAGATCATTGGAAGTTCGAGACCAGCCTGGACTACAAAGTGAGCCCAAGGACAGCCTGAACTGCATGGCAAGACCTTGTCTCAAAAACACAAAAAAGAGAGAAGAAAAAAAATCAACATATGCAAAACTGGTGAATGCAAATTAATGACAAATTTACTCTGATAAATGTATTTCTAACACTTACCATGAAGCCCCTCAAGGAAGGTGTTTTTGGTTTTTGGAGATAATGTATTTGATGGTTTTTTGGAAAACATTTTCTGCTCCATGCTCTGATGTCCTTCATTGTCGAGTGCATTCTTAGATTAGATTTCTGAATTGTAATTGCTGCTTTTTTAAAATAAAATTTGACTGAAAATGTTCAATTGACCTTTTACTGAGTTAGCCAAAAAGTGGAGCCATTTTTCTATATGACTAGTCCTGTAAACTGAATTTAGGCTAAATTAATTTATTTTTGTCTGATTTTTAATATGTGGGTGTCCACTGAAAATTGATGTCAGTTAAAGGTAATCTATAATCTCATAGAAGGAACACTTAATTGTGACATTTTCTCCAATATCTAATACAATCCATTGCCAAGTGCATATATTTTTTCCCTACTTGTGGTAGTCTTTGATTATCAAAGACTGTCACTGCAGGCAGTGCTGTTGTGCCTAAGAATGCTTCTGAAAGTCATTCTTGCCAACTTGGGTGTGCACAAGATTCTCATGTCCTTTTATTAAACAGTCAACCCGTGTCAAGCACATATGGAAGGTTTAAGGTAAGACTGTAATACAGAATACAAACTCCCCAGGAAACTTGGGCGGGTGCTGGGTGAAATTTTTTTCCTACTCCATGGCCCTGTTCAGCAGGCCTAAAGCTTGAATAAGTCAGATGTCTAATCAGTAAATTATTTTCATGCTCAGAATTCCAGGTTTTTGTATTTCAGCATAGTTTGGTTTTTACTGTAAAGAAGCTTAGTAACAGTGTGATTTAAGGTTTTGTTAAGTGGGAGGTGTGGTTTAATTCATGGGTACTTACAGAACGTGGTAGATAATCCCATTGCCCTTATTTTGCTAATTAAACTACTTCTATTTTGAAAATATAAAATATTCCTGGAAAAAAACCAAGGATATAGCGATGAAAGAAGAAAGGAGTTTGCAAAAGAATGTCCCACAGGCCTCACTTTTGGCAAAGACTTTCTCCAGAAATACAAATTGCTGTTATTAATTTCCTGTTAAATGTGGCTGCTCAGATTCTGGCCGTGTTTCCCTTGGCCTCTTCCTGGCCTCAGAAGTGACTGTGCTTGGCTTTCTGTGGGCAAATTCTGGGCAGGATCTGAAAGCTCTGCACTGTAATGGAGCCCTTGAAGGACGAGGTGAGTGAGGTAGTGGAATTCTGGCTCAGCGCAGCGCCGCTCTGCTCAGATTCTTTATTTAGAGCCAGCTGCCAAGCCTGGCTGTAGGCAGGGTGAGGATAGGCTGTTTGGTTTGGTTTTTTCCTTTTAAAACCAGATGCTTGCAAACCATCCTTGACCTTTGGCATCCATATGGCCACAGACTTGGCAGGCAGGTGGCCGTGTGGCGTGGCCTTGAGTGGGATCCAGCTGCCGCCACCCACCTGTTTGGCAGCATCTCAGAGCATGGCAGGTGTCATTCATCCTGATGGAGCCTTGGTTGTGTCTCTGCTTCTCGACACAAGAGGTGAGCAGGGCTTTACTACTGCACAATCAGGCGTGGAATAAAAGTGCACTTGGCCCTCTGTGTAGGTGTGTCCTGCATCCACAGAGCCAATCAACTGCAGATCGAAAATATTTGGGACATAAATTGGATCTGTACTAAATTTGTACACTTTTTGGTCATTTTTTTCCTAAAATAAAACAGTATGGCTATTTACATATTAGTTATCATAAATATCCTAGAGACCACTTCAAGAATACAGAAGGGCAAGTGTGGGGGTACACACTGTAATCCCAGCTTGTCAGGAGGCTGAGGCAAGAGGACCAAAAGTTTGAGCCCAAATTTTGGTGAGGATACCAGAAGCAATCTCTCTCAGATAGAAAGTGACAACTACATTTATAAACCATCTTGTTATCCTTGGCAACCTGAAGGGTCAGGTCATCACGGCCTGTCTTGGCGTCTGGCTCTTGGGCAACCAGAGGGCTATTTCCTGTGATGAAAGCCCACCCTCTTTGTGCCACCGGCCTCACTGCTGGCCATCCCAAGTCAGGCTCTGCCCATCGTGGCTGAGCTCACACACTACCCGCATTCCAAGCCACACTGATGGGTTTCCACCCCTCTCACCAGAACAACTGGGTTTTCCAGCCTGGGTATGATTAAGCCCTGTGAGGAGCCCCTGCCCCAGAAAACAGACTGAAAATACTCTTGAGCCAGTGGAGGTGTCTCACTAATTTGTGAAGGCTTTTTTGTTGTTTTATGAGAGGGACAGGAAATAAGAGGATCTTTGTGAGCCTCCTGGAGAGTGATATGAGAATCCTTTTCCAAGCACTCAGACCAACAACGGCTTTCTCCGTTTGGCTTGGAGATGCGAGCGACCCAGTACCGTCTATGTAGCTTCTTTCTTTCTGTCAAGATGATGCTTTAAAGCGTTGAAATACTTGTTTCTCCCAAGTCATCTTGTCTCATCTGGTAGGAAGGTAAAAGCAGCAGTGAAATTTGCAAACTTTATTCTCTGCCAGTTTCTTTCACTGCTAGCACTTTCTAACTTAAAACTACAACGACTCCTGCTTGGAGCTTGTGGGAGGAAGTAACAGTCCTGACTGTTATGCATGGGATGATTTGGGTTATGTTTAATCACTGAGGGCTTTTAAAGGATTTATCAGCTTTGTAAAAAATGGTTTAAAGATTCACATACTTAGCATGGAGTATCCAGACCTAATTAATCATCCCACCCCTGGTTGGAATTTTATCACAATTGAGGTTGATTATCTCAAAGCAACGCCTAATCAAAGTTACCCTATTTTGCCCTAGAGGCCCAAGCTGGAAGAACTGGCTGGGGACCCAGGCATTAGGGAAGCCATGGGTATCTTGTAGATGTCTGTTACAGCTTCTATCCTGTCCATTTTGTTTTGAGGAAGCTCTCATTAAGTTACCCAGGCTGGCCTCAAACTTGTGATCCTCCTGCCTCAGCCTCCCAATTAGCTGGGATTTTAAAGCCATCCCGTTTGTGGTACTTTGTTATGGTGGCCCCAGGAAATCGAAAGTAACTTCTGACTCCAGAAGCTGGGCATCGTGGCACACACCTGTGACCAGGAGGCTCCTATTGAGGACTGTGTGTGGGAGCCCAGCCTGGGCAACTTCACAAGACCTTATCTCAAAATCAGAGAATCAGAAGGAAGGGAGGAAGGAAGGGCTCTTCAGAGATACAAATCCAGGAAATGCCGGAATTCAGTTCTCCTCTGGAATGTTCTGCCATCAGTTGTATTAGTGAGTGTTTTCCTTTGCTAGCTGACTACTGAAACACTGAGAAAAGCAAGCCAGGCTCCTCATGGACCAGCTTTCAAACGCACAAGTTCTCCTAAGGAGCTTTGTTACTCAGGGGAGACAATTTGACACTGGAAGCTTTGAGAACACACAGGTAATTGGTTCAGCATCTTTATTTGTAAGCTCTGAGCAAACAGGAAGTCTTTTCTCCCTAAGGCGATACTTGTGCCTGGCTTGTCAGACAAGCTTCTACTCCAGGGTCGAGGGCCAAGCCAGGGGACTGCTCTGGGGCTTCATTGCAGAGAGCCACAGGCAGCTGCTTACAGCAGGACCCATCCACATGGACACAGAAGCCAGGGCCTGGGAAGCCAGGGCCTGGGAAGCCGTGGGGATGCAAGTGTGGATTGACCAGGGCCAGGGAGCATGGCAGACCCTGTGCTGGCCCTCAAAGGGTCACAGTGGCCCAGGGTGGCTGCAGCTGCTTCATACCCCATCCTTTGGTGGTCTCAGGAAGGGTCAGATGTGGTGCCGGTTGTAGAGATAGGAAGGGAACAGCCCGTCATAGTGCCACTGTCTCCACTGCTCCACGGCCTCCCGGTCCCTCTCTTCCTGCTCTGGGGTGGAAAAGCAAGTCACCGTGAGGACAGAAAGGTCTCTGGCCTGAGGGAGCCACCCAGCCCTGAGAGGACAGAATCCCGCGTGCCCATGGGTATCAGAAAGAGCCAGAAGCATCAGTAGACATCAGGAACTTCTGATATTTGAGAAGCATTCCTGAGGCTCCTCCAACCATTAAGCATGAAGTGGCCGCATTTTACCCAGCAATTTGTTTCCAAAGAAAATACCAAAAGGGACTGAAAGCAGGGACTCTGAGAGAGTCCCCAGCAGTTCCTCATAGGAGCACAGCTCCCAGGAGCCAAGAGGTAGAAACCACCAAAGTGACCTCTGCAGATGCATGGATGAACAAAATATGTCATTGTATATGGAAATATACAATAGACTATTAGCCATAAAAAGCCATTAAGTTCTGGTTTACATCTTCAAGGTTTATATACATTGAAAACATCATGCTAAGTGAAAACAGCCCCACACAAGACAAATATTGTATATTTCATATATATGAAATATCTGGAATAGGTAGGCTCATGAACACAAAAAAATGTTTATGGGCTGGAGGGAGGAATGAGATTTATTGCCTAACGGGTACAGAGTTTGTCCTTGGAGAAGTGTTTTAGAAATAGAGCTCATGGCTTCACAACGTTGGAAATATACTAAATGTCACTAACTTGCGAATTTAAAAATGTTTAAAATAGCAGGTTATATACATACAATATATATGCTTTAATTTCTTTCTTTATTTTATTTTATTTTTTCATTTTGGTACTAGGGATCGAACTCATGACCTTGCACTTGCCAGACAGGCACTGTGCCGTGAGCTAAATCCCCAGCCCAACTTCTTTATTTTTAAAAGCTTTTTTTTTTCTTAAGTAGGAATGGAATTCAGGACCTTGCACTTTCCAGGCAGGTGCTGTGCCCCTGAGCTATTATATCTCTGGCCTTTATATATCTTTTCTTAAAAAAGAAAGACATTTATGAAAAATATTGGGAGGAAGGATGAGCAGTGCTAGCAGAAGAAGATGATGTTGAGGATTAAAAGTCTAAAATGCCTTCCTTCTTCCCAAATGTGAATTTCACCACGAAGCCTGTGAACCTGGTTTGGGTGCTAAATGAACCTGCATCCTCGTGACCTTGGGTTAACAGCATGGCCCAGTGGCCGTGTCCCCATGTTTCCTGGCACCTGTGGGAGCAGATGTGGGGTGTAGAGGGAAGGGCCCCCTCTGGAACCCCTGTTGCTGCTGCCAGTGTTCCCTTGCCTCAGAGCCTGGGCATGAGAACTCCCCGAGGTGCTGCAAATATCTCAGTCATTGTTTAGCTCCTGGGCATGGCCTGGAGCCCTGAGCCAGCCCCTGGCCAGAGCCTTGACTATCTGTCCTCTTAGACATCTCCAAAGCCCAGAGGGCCCATGCCTCTCTGAGAATATGATCTGGCAATAGGCGCTGACGGGCAACTGTTGGAATGAAGCGAGTCATGTGGGAGAGATCAAGCATCCAACTACCACTAACCATCCTCAGATTAGGTGGCTTAAGGCGGCCACCTGAGGTCGAGTCCTGACTGAGGGAGGCGGGTGGGGTCTCGGAGAAGGGCTCAGAAGATGGGTGCTTTGAGCACAGTCCCAGGGTGAGGCTGTGGGTGCTCAGGCCACTGCAACAGACCTTCCAGAGCAGGGGACAGAGCACTGAAGTGAGTCCCACCTATTTCAATACCTCATCCTCAGGAGGGCCACACATGCTCACCTCTTGGCTTCTTCCATTACAGAACTCTGAGGAGACCCTGTAGGGGCTGCTGTGTCTTACCATCCTCACTCCATCTACCCGTGTGGGCCAACTCCTGGCTCAGAGAAGCTTTCTGAAGATTTCTGTGCATGGATCATCCTTGATTATGTAAGCTAAGGAGCTTTGCTGGCAAGCAGACCTGATTCCAATCCAAACCCTACTCGTACATCACCTTAGGTGTGTAAGTGTTCTTTCTAAACCGAAGTCTTTCAAAAATTGACAGTACAAGAGCTACTTCAGCCTCAGATGGCATAGTACAGTGCCTAGGAGAGCAAATACTTGGTCCCAACGGCTGATAAAAGGACAGTCCTCAAAGGCCTCAGCCCTGCTCTGTAGGGGCTTTCAGTCAGTGTGGGTGAGGCCTGAGAGCCCTGATCTTAGTGTCTTCTAAGAAGACCTATCATTCTGTGTGTGCCTAATCCCGTTACTTGATCATTGTTATGGTTTGTGTCTGGATGTCCCCCAACAAAGCTTAATGCAGTCATGGGGGGCAGGCTTTCCAGAGGCAACTGAATCCAGAGTTTGTGATTCGTTTGTTATCTAGTGTTGGGTTTGATAGTGTGAGTACTACACCTGCCCTGGGCTGGGTAGGCTGCACACAACATAAGGGAGGAAAAGAGGCTTGCTTTCTCTTCCTCTTTTCCTCTTGTTGCTTTTGGTATCTTCTGCCACCATGAACTGTTGCCACTGTACCATGCCACACTGAATTGGAACCAGCAGATTTTGGACTGAAACCTCCACAAACTGTAGCTAGATAAACTTTTTCTCCTTAACTTTGGGTGCTGGGTATTTTGTCACAGCAACAAAAGAGAAGTAACTAAGACACTCATCAAAGAGAAAACAGTGAATATTTTTTGTCCACATGCTAATGACTTGAACCTGCAGCATTTAAAGTGCACAAAATAAAATCTATTTTGAGTAGTAGGAGTAAAACTCACACTGTAGGAATTTTGGAGGCCACAATTTTTCTAAAATGAGACAGCTCTGCCCAACCTGTCCACCAAGGAAAACAAATCTGTAATAGAAGTATTTCCTTCTGTGTTATGACAGCCTGAGTTTTTCCTATTATGTTCCCAAGAAAGGTTGCTTTTCCAGGGTCAGAGCCCAACACTCGCTTCCAGGACTCAGCCAAGTGCCACCAGCAGCAGGTCAGTGGGCACAGTCCCAGGCCTTGGTGCCTGGTGTGGTGCCTCTTCACTGGGAGATGCCCTCAGTGAAGGTCTCTCACTGGGGATGGCACCTCCCAGGTCAGCTGAGCAGCACAGCAGGAGTGGTGCTGGCTTTCTCCAGCAAAAGTGACCCAAGTTGGGCTCTGTGGCTGAGCTCCTGTGCACCAGGAAGACCAGGTGGTTTTGCTCAGGAGCAGCTAGGCCTTGAATTTGGAAAAAGATAAAAAGAGAAATAAGTACGTGTACATCCCCCAGCCTGCCTGCTGGTCTGATCCCTGTTCTGATCCCTCTATGGCTATTTGCTGTGAAAACTCTTCAGGGCACCAAGAGAAAGGGAGATCCTACAGTAGGAGACTGGCTCAAAGCTAGATTCTTTCTCCACCCATCTCCACCTACACCTGCCCTGCATGAAGGCCCTATAAACATACAGGATTCCTGAGAGTGAGAAGGAGGTGTGACAAGCCCTGGTCAGCTGGGCACATCGTCTTCCCACTCTGATGACAGGAGGCCAAAACCAAGACTTAGCAAAGAGGATGCTAATGGTGAGGAACTAAGGTCACCAGAAGGTCTCGCAAAAACTTTCAGGGAGCTTGATGCAGTTAGGTAAGCTGGAGCCCAAGATGGACCAGAGGTGTGGGTATTCAGGTATTTGGTGGGTCAAGATGTAAGATGGGGTAAGGAGGAACAGTACTTTCTGAGTTCAGTTCTCTTGGTTGACGTCTATCAATTAGTTAAGATACTGCTCATGGTGAATAGGTAAATGGAGGCCTTGATTTTCCAGGAAGAAGTAATTCCCAGCACCACTACATTGATGTAAGTAAAGAATTTTGAAACCCGCCCAACCCTACTGGAGCCAAGCCGCGAGTCAGGTCACTTAGGCAGAGACCACAGGCTGCCACAGAGGTCAGCAGGAAGAAAGGGGAAAAGTCTTACCTCCACACAGGTACCAAACAATTCCCTCATCGCCCCTGGCCTCGAGCCTCTGTAACATAAGCATCCTATTTTCTTCTATTTCCTGTCAGGTTCAGAATAGCCGTTTCTGTAACTTTTTACCTTTTTCACAAGTCTCCCATGGATATGAATGGCAGGTGTATCTCACCTTCTCTCCCTCTCCAATTAAAATCAGAGGTGAAGGAGAGGCAAATTCTGCAATTTCCCGAGAGCTTCACATCACCAAGATGCTAGCTGGGGAGCTCTTACCGTCCTTTTGTTCCTCCACGAAATTCTCAAATTCATTCCTTTGTTCCTCATAATATTCTCTTCGCAACTCATCAACCCGCAGCTTCTGTGTGTTTTCCACTGTGAAAGGAAGAGCCAGCAGTTGCTCCAGGGAAGTGGCAGGGAAGGGACACCTTCAGGGGGCACCAGCACTTTCCCAAAGAGGCTGAATTAGGCTGCAGAGGGTTTCACTGAAGTAGTTTACTGGTGACATGGACTTTTAAACTCGGCATCCTATGGTTTCTCTTATATGAGAAAACCAAATTATGGATAAAAAACAAAATGCGAGACCATGGGAAGTAGGGAACCAGATCTTTCTCACATGGGAAGAAGATCAAGAGACCGTGGGAGAGAGGAGAATTGGAATGAAAGCAGGAGTTAAAACGTTATATACATGCACCAACTCCAAAAGGGAATACACTGCAAATGTGTACTAATAAAAAAGAAAAGAAAAAGAGAGCAATTTGAAGGTCCTGGGAGATCGTCTAACCCAGTTCCACCCTTTTACAGATGAGAAGACTGAGGCCCCCAAAAGAAATGATTTAGCTTGGATTGTGCATGAACTCAGTGGTGTGATCCAGGTCAACTAGGCCACAAGAAACTAGAAACTCATGATCAAAAATTTAATCCCATAAAGGAGTATTACTACTTAACAGTAATCTCGCGTTGCTTAATAAATCCGTTTAAACATTTTTGAGCACCTGTCACAGCAAGGATTTAGGTGAGCACTGGAATTAAAAAGGCATATACAAAAGGTAGTATCTTTCCACCTAAGAGGCCTGTTGTCCTGTTAAGAAGGAAGATGGGAGATATGAAAGCAAGTTGCCGTGGTCGGTATATGTGTGTGGCTGTGGGAGAGACCTTGGCTGTCATGTGTGAGGCCTTGGGTTTGATCCAGCACAGATCAAAACAGGAAGAGGGGAGAAAGGGAAGAGAGGGGATGGAGAAAAGTTTCATTAAACATCACGGCTGCTGGAATAAAATCTGAGCAGCTGGATGTGGGCATCATACACCTTAGCTACTCAGCAGACTGAGGCAGGAGGAGGATCACAAATTCAAGGCCAGTTCAAGGCCAGTTATCAAGACTCTCTCTTAAGATTAAAAAAAAAATTAAAAGCTGGGATATGGATTAGGGGTGAAGCACCCCGAGACTCAATCCCCAGTACTAGCAAGGAAAGAAGTACAGGAGGAGTGGGGAGAAAGGAGTGCCTAGTTCATTCATCCATCTCTGTGCCTCACTTTTTCTCAGGAGGAAATTCAGGCTCGCAGAAGCACAGTGACCACACCGGTGGCAGGGCGGGGCTGAGGCTGCAACTCAGCACACCAGGTTCCCACTACCCAGATGTAGCTACTGGCAGGCGCCATGCTCCTTCTGATTTAATCCTCAAGGGGAAAATGGTATCTTTATACCATGCACCACCCTATACCTTGTAAAATCCCTTCTCAAAAATATGCATTTTTTATCTCAAAGTAACCTGAGCCTTTATCCTTATCCTGAAGATTAGAGCTGGCAGCCTGTACTGAATTCAAGGAGATCGAAACATCACTGCCTCGTCCTATCCCATCCCACCCATGGAACTGACAAGTGGCTGAAGGTGCCTATCTCAGCTGGGTGCTCACAGGCTGTCCTGGGTCTCTTCTGAGTGCCCGAGGCACTGTGGTCAGGCCTGGGTAAGGAATCCCACGCTCTGTCAGCCACCCCATTGTTCTGAGTCAACTTCAGAGGAAAAATACGAAGTCTGCTCAGTTGATTCTCTGACTTCATTCAAAAATGACTCAACCATGGTAGATGCGGTACACACCTCAAACCCAGCACTTGGGAGACTGAGGCAGGAATGGGGTGAATTTAAGGTCAGCCTGGGCTATGTAGCAAGTTTAAGGCCAGCCTGTACTACAATGAGACTCTGTCTCAAAACAAATGGAAAATAAACCCAAACAATAAAAAAAAAAAAAAAGACTCAATCCCAGCTTTTTAGTGTTTTTTGACCTTGACTGACTTCAAAGCCCAAGCTGTGTGAGGTCTGCAGATTTTTCTAACATGGTTGTAACTTAACCAATCAAAAAATAAAATCTCATCCCCTGGCATTTCTATCTCTCTTCCTGCCCATCATTTGAAAACAGTCCTGTTGTTTTCGCTGAGCCGGTCACCTTGCTGAGTGTGCTCGGGATACAAAGAGTTCATTCATCTCGTCCCCATACTGAAGGACAGGATCGAGCTGCAGACTCTGCCAGGGCAGCAGGAGCCCAGCATCTTGGAATAATCGAGTTCAGGGTAGGAAACTCACATGCCTGCAAGGACAGCGGGTCCCAGCAACTGTGGGACTCCCCCTCCCCAGCCCTGAGTGGGCTGAGCGGGAGATGTGTGCACCCAGTGCCCTGGAAATTTAAGCTCTCAAAAACACTGCTGGCTGGACGCAGCTGGGTCAGGGGCTTGTAAATAAGGAAAACAGGATCTCGGGAGGAAGTGGCCAAGGCCACTTAGCTGTCACCAAGCCTACAGTTCTCAGCACTGCCGTCCCCCTGTGCCCTTTCCCCGAAGGCACACTGTTGTTCTCTGGTGACCCATGCCAAGGCCCCCAGAAACACACCAAAGTGCTGTGCTCTCTCTAGACTGGGACAGCGATTCCCCTTTTCCCACTTCCCCCTTTCTGAGGTGAGAAGGATCCCGTAACTGCTAGGTGTAATAAACGTGTCCCTGTTCCTTTTTCTTCCAAATCAGCACTGCAGTTACCCTGACGCCCAGGGGCCTCAGTTGAACCCTCGGTTCCCTATGGCAGGAGGGAGTTTGCCCAGCTTCCTTACCATTGACCTCACCACGTGATTTGGGGGAACGCTTGCTGAGCCTCTTGAGGAAATTTGAGGCATCTGATTCCTGCATGAAAATCTTCTGTCTCTCACCTGGAACTCAAGAGGAACCCATCACAACCAGCACAGGAGCCAGGACAGTCCTGCACCCCGGAAGCAGATCCCCATACTCACCTTCCTGGGCTTCTTCTCCTGCCGCCTGCCTGCTGCCCACCGACGCACTGGTGCCCTCCTGCAGCACTAGGCACAAGGACACACGGGAAGGGGGCTGCGGTAGCAGAGGGGCCCAGATGCCAGGCCAGGTCTCAAGAGCCTTTTCTAGGCTGTGGCTTGCTAAGCCTCATGTGAGGGCCCCTCTGTCCATCAAATACCAGTCACAGAGCCAATGTCCCCAGGAACCTCCCAGGCAAGTGGAGCTTCCCTTCTTTGCTGTTTTTCTCTGTATACACACACACGTGCACACACACACGTGCACACACACACGCACACATGCACACAAGAACGGCCATCTTCACAATCTCCTCCCGCCATGTCACTTGAGCAGACTCACCTGTGTAAAGTAAGTCTTTACTGTACAGCTAACCAACTCCACCCTGGATTCCCCATACTCACTAGACAGGAGCACCATGGCTGAGAGGCAGGACAGGAGGAGGACATGTCTCCAAGTCATCTTTGCGGGGGCTGAGGCTCGCTTGGGATCCACAAGGCAGATGAGGCGTCCTGCGGTCTCTAATGCTGCTGCCCACCTGGTCCTTACTTCTGAGCCAGGCCAGGGAGACAAAGCGAAGAGAGAGGCAGGAGGCTGGGCTGTCACTGGGTGAGCGTGGGAGGGCTCCTGGCTATGGTTTCCATTGGCTGCTCTTGGCTGAAGTGCTGGAGATGTTTTTGGCACCGGGCAAACCTCTACAGAAGCAGAGCTTGTTGTCAGGGCTCCTGGCTGGGACAGTTTTGAAGTGGCCTTTCCAACACCTACACCCAATGTGTTCACTCCTTTGACACATTCTCGCAGCTGACGCTTACCGCCAATCAGACCCCCATATGTCTGGGGGTACTGGATCATTTAAAGATGGGGAGGAGGCAAGTCAATCTGCCTTCCCCTGAGGGGGCCAGTGAGGGTGAGGCACTGAGAAAGACCACGGCTCACCACAGCTCCTCAGAGCCACGCGCATCCCTCCTCAGGTCAGAGAGGAAGTAGGGTCCTAGAAACAGCGTCCCTAATGGAACCGGAGCTCTGTCAGGCAACAGAACACAGTCCCTTTGGCCATGTAATTTATTGACATTGTTATTTATTATGAACCATTCTCATACTTTGCTACTAACTGAAGAATTATCCTTTGGGCACTGTTTAGAATTTTTCTAATGGTCCAAAACCCCACCCATGTGGACCCACCTGATGCTCCGTCCCATGGGACTTGGTTGTTAACATCCTGCACGAACCTGACCACTGGCCAGGAAATAAATGTTAATTAGCAGGAAGAACCACACACATGAGGCCAGATGGGCAAGGATCCACCAGTCAGATTAGCTCGATGTCCCTGAGAGACGGAGGGACCAAGGACAGGACCATTTAGATGAGACTCTGAGTAAAGAGAGGGTATGGGAAATTCCTATGAGATCCTTGACGCTCTACACCCACCTGTACCTTTTTCAGTTCTATTCATTTCAACCATGAATAATTAATCCAGCTCCTGCTTTACTCCAAGTCCTGTGCTAGCCACTGGGCTGATGACCCTGAGTGTATCTGTCCAGGTTCCCCACAGTCACACGACCCCCTGATGGACACTGCCTATCTACAGCGCCTGTGCAGAGGCCCTAAAGAAGAACCTCAAACCTTGTGCTGTTCTCCCAGAGGCAGCCTGGGAGAAAGAGGCAGGAGATCCAGAATGCCCTGAGTGGAGGAATGGGGCTTGACGTGTGTTGGGAGCCGCGGCCGAGCCCGGTCGCCTTACTTGGCGGACGTGAGGCCTGTAGGGAAGAGCAAAGCCTGAGCTAGATTACCCCTCCCATCGAGTATGCTAAGATGGCGCTTGCTTCCTGCCTTTGCTGAGTAAACAACCCGCTCAATAGCACAGTCTACCTAGCAACTGATGACATTAGCCAATCAGCTTGCCTTGCTTACTTTAACATGATTGGACACTGTATCAGTATATATACTGGTGCCACCCCTGGGGGAAAGTAGAAGCACGAAAGGAGCCACGGAGAGCGGACCGGTAGAGGCTTCGGAGAGAGAAGCACGAAAGGAGCCGCGGGGAGCGGACCAGAGGAGGCTTCGGCTGGGAGCGATCCCAGGGCAGGCTGTACGGAGAGAAAATAAAAGGTTGTCCACTGCCAGACTTTGTCGTGTGTCCTTCCTGCCGGCCGGGAGCGACACCGACAGACGTGGAGATTAAGCTCTGTTACAGGACAGTGGGTTTGCATTCCTCACACACCTGGTGGCCTGAGATTTCTCCCAGATACACAGAGCTGCTCTAAGAAGTAGTCTGATCACAGCTGGTTTCTACAACCTCTCAGTTCCTTCAGAAGTTTCTGTCCTTCTCGATCACTGGCTCACCAGCTCTCAAGGCTGGGTGGCCTCCTTGTGACAGTGCACACCCAAGTGTCACAAGTCACATCATCTCAAGGAGATGGGGCAAAAAATACTGAATTCAGTGTCAAAAGAAAAGTACTATATAGTGGCTTTGTCTGATGACCTGTTCATGGAGCTTTCTCTTCCTTCATCTCAGTGAGTGATCTCACCATCCAACCACTCAGGTATCCAAACTAGGAACTCAGGCGCCACCCACCACACACCTCTCAACCCCTGCTGCCCAGAGCTCATGGGTCATTGCATCCCATTGACTGTATTTTTTAAAACTTTTCCAGTGCTCCCTGAATTCACCATTCCTACTCCTCCTGTCTTCCTCAGACATTGTTTTTAAGGGTGATTGCAACAGTGAGCCTGATTCGCATCTACACTGTCTCTTCACCTTCCTGGAAGGCATATCTTTCTGAAAAGCCTGTGTCACTTGCCGGCTTAAAATTGTCCAGTAATTCATTACGGTACCATGTTAGCAAACACACATGTAGTGCTCATTGCCTTCCAGACCCATGACCATACGGTTGAGTTAACGCAGAGCTAGAACTGAACCCAGGTAACCTGGCCCCATTCTGGGGTTCTACTGTCATCTCGAACTGCCTTACAGGATGAAAGCCAAACTCGTCCCAGTGACCAGGTCTGACCAGTCTCCAGCCCCTCTGCATGTGTCTATGGAATTACTCAACTGCCTGTGGATTCCCAGAAGACCTATACTCAGGATGTGACAATGGCTTCCATGCTCACAGGGCTTTGGAAACCTTGGTCCCTTAAGTTTTACCACTTTGTTTCTGATATCTGCCTGATGACACCTTCCAGCTTTTGATCCCTATAGATGAAAATCCTGAAATTATTTTCATACATTTTCTGTGTGTGTGTGTGTGTGTGTGTGTGTGTGTGTGTGTGTAATAGTGTTTTTTTCTTTTTCAAAGTGCATTCCCATCTAAATTGTTCATCTTGTGATGGCAGACATAATTCACTGGTAGATTAGGGTTAGGATTAGGGTTAGATTACTTGCCTAGCATGTGCAAAGCCCTGAGTTTGTTTCTTAATACCACCCACACACACACACAAACACACACACTTCTCTCTCTCTCTTTCTGATTCAACGGATTTAGTATATTCACAAGGTTATGTAGCCATCGCATTTTTAGAGCCCTAAATTCATTACCCCCAAAAGAAGCCTCACACCCACAAAGAATCATTCTCATTTTCCCAGCCCTGGTCTTAGGCAGGAGCTCCTCTGCACCTGTCTCCAGAGTCACCTCCTCTAGACATTGCCCTGAACCAGAATCACACACTATGTGTCTGGCTGCTTTCACCTGGCATAATTGTTTCAGGGTTTATCCATGGTGAAGCATGCACCAGTTTTTCATTCCTTTTTATTGGTGAAGAGCACTGAATGACGGAATAGGCCACGTTTTGTTATCTACTTATCATTTGATGATCACCAGGTCTCTTTCTTTTGGTGACCACGGAAAATGCCGCTTTGCACACACATTTGGGTACACACGTTTGTGCGGGCAGGATTTCTTTGCTTTTGGGTTGTTACATGGATCATGTGGCAACTCCACATTTAATATTTTGAGACACTCTCACATTATATCTAAAATGTCTGTTTATTCACCAGTTTCCTCTGGTGCCATGAGACCTGTAGACGAGGGAGTTTCCATCATGTGATGCCTCGTATGGTACCTGGCACTGACCAGATGCTCCACAGATGCTTTTTGAATTAATCGTGAAAGCACTCTTGCTTGAAAGCATTAAAAGGAAACATTTATGCTCATCTTTCAATGGGCTATTCATGAGAAGGTACCCACGCGGGGACCTAAAAGGTCCAGACTTGTGAATCACTGGGTTCAAGGTCCTTCTCAGGTGGGGGGGATGAACCTTGCGGTGCACATGTAAAGGACTGCCTTAGAGGGTGGCCAAGATGACCTTAACATTCTCCCCAGTGTGGCTAACCTTTAGGCAGATTTCTTCCTAAGTCTAGGTCCCAATCTTCCTTTTCTCAGGGCATTTGCTTTAGAAAACTTGCAGTCATGAGTTGTCTCTCTTCTCCTTTAAAATATATGTATTGGAACATGGGAAATATCCTTCTTGTTTTGAAGAGCAGGTGCTGGGGATCGAACCCAGGGCCTCATGCATGGTATGAGCACTCTGTTCTGAAATGGGAGCACCCAAGGAATTAGTGCCCTACCTCCTGGTCTCTGCAGAAGGTAGTTGCCTACATCAAAGTTGTGAAGGCCAATAACATACCCAGCTGGTCTGCAATGCTTTCACCCAACTTTTTTCCATAATTCAATAAACTTTTATAACCAAATGTATTCAGGGTTAACTTTTTAATCCTAATGACAACAAAAACAATCTGTATCACATCCAGTTCAGGGGTGCAGATCCAGTAAAGACTGTCTTTTTTAAAAAGATTGGAAAAAATATGTATCTGTGCATTTTATGAGAATATTAAATTCAGCAGTGTTGCAAAAACAGAAAACAAATATCCCAAACCTCCAAATGATTTCAGTTTATTAAAACAAAATAAAATAAACAGCACTAGGCAGTCTGGGCTGCCTTACCCCACCACAACCTAACAGCACTGGGAGTAAAACACTCAGCCCTCATTAAACACAAACCCCCCTCCTCCACCTTTGCCCAGCTTCTACTACTCCAGGAAGCACCCAACGAACAGGAGAAAGACCTGGCTGGCTATAGTCTTTTTTCTTTTCTTTTCTTTTTCTTTTTTTTTTTTTTAATCAGTACTGGGGATCAAACTCACGACCACCTGCTTGCAAGGCAGGTGCTTATGCCGCTGAGCTAAATCCCCAGCCCCTTGGCTATAGTTTCTAGCCTGCTGATCTGTTAAGTCTCACAAAAGGACAATTCTCAGGAATACTGGTCTCTACTACATTCAGAAAACTGATTGCCGTTTTCTACAAGGGCCAGATTTCTCAAAGCTAAAAAACAACCTTAACATTTCTCCAGTATGGGATCTGGGAGTCCAGATGAACAGGGAGATTTTCAGCTTTATCTGTGGAGAAGCATGTATCAGTTTTTCATTCTTTTTTATTGTTGAAAGATGGGAGATTCTAAACAAGAACACAGGATTCCTGGAAACCTATGATAAAGCCTACGCTATGGGAGAAGGTATCAAAAAGCCGATTATCTCCCCCTTCTACCACCAAGCAAAGGAGACAAAGAGAACAAGCCGGTATCTGACCTGGCTGTCGTGGGAGGAATGTGCCCACTTCTCACCCAGCCACCTCTGCCACCTCAGATACACAGAAGTGCTCAAAGGATATCTTTGCTGTCTCCCTCTGGCTGGTAAAGCTGTCATGCAGAGCAACTTTATGGGCTGCTTTATGGAGGCTTTCTCTTGTTAATAGCAGCAGCCTCCCAAATCACCCCGGGTGAGAGCCCACTGCTCTGTGGGATCACAGGTCTGTCCAGTCAATGGGCTTCTTGCCAGACTTCTGCAGCAGCTCATTGGCTTTAGAAAAATGCCGGCAGCCGAAGAATCCTCTATAGGCTGACAGTGGGGAGGGATGCGTGGTCTGCAGGACATGATGCCGCCTCCTGTCAATGGCACTGCCCTTCTTCTGAGCTTGAGAGCCCCAGAGCAGGAAGACGAGGCCGTGCAGATTCTGACTGAGCCAGCGCACGACTGCATCAGTGAACTGCTCCCAGCCTCGCCCCTTATGTGAATTGGCCTGCTGCACCCGGACAGTGAGGACAGCGTTGAGCAGGAGGACACCTTGCTTGGACCACCTAGACAAATCTCCGTGATCAGGATGAACAAAGCCATCTATGTCTGTGGACAGCTCTTTATAGATGTTTTTCAAACTGGGCGGGGGTGGCACCGGTCTTTGGACACTAAAGCAGAGCCCGTGAGCTTGATTGGGTTCGTGGTAAGGATCCTGTCCCAGGATGACAACTTTCACATCATCTATGTCACACATTTGGGTCCAGGTGAAGACTTGGTGGGGGGGTGGATAAACAGAGTAGTGTTTTCTTTCTTCTGCAACAAATTCCATTAGCTGTTTAAAATACGGCTGCCGGAATTCTCCACTGAGGTGCCTCTTCCAGCTCTCCCCAAAGCCCAGGGGCACAGTTTGAGCTTCGAGTCTGAGCAGCGGGGCCTTTCTCTGGATGTGGTCCAATTGCTCGGGGCTTTGTGGTGAAGAGGGTGGCAAGCTGGGCTCGTCCTGCCCGGCCCGGGCCTTCTTGTCGGGGCTGGCTGCCACACTGTCCTTCGGCTTGGGACTGCAGACAGGACATTTCCTGGAAGGGCTCTGGGAGAAGAAGGAGTCCAGGGTTTTCCAGCTGATCATACTGGAGCCCAGGAGAGAGGCAACGCTTGCTACCCAGCGACCTGCGGGGTAGACCTGTCCAGCCTTTCGGTTGAGTAAAATTGGCCCAGTTCTTCTCCACTATTGCAAAAGTCATGAACAAAGTCTTCCTGCCTGGTGCACTCGGTTAGATGCAGTTTTAGCTTGGACCATGGCACTGGTTCCGTATATCACCTGATCCAAGGACTGTCAACTGAAAATGACCTCAGGGGAGAGGATGTCCAGGCAAAAAGGACATCCTACGGAGGTGCCAGGCTAAGTTGTGTCATCCTGAAATAAACATTCAAAAGCACAGGGAGTGACTGAAGCTGGAGATCAATCGCTGGTTACAGAACAAACAGTGCCTGGAGCTAACCACATGAAGAGTCTGTTGCAGCCCAGGGAACACCAAGCTCCAAGGCAATCCAAGAAATGGTGGCTAGGCAAAGGGGTGCCATGTGACGTTATCTTGCTAAATGTATAAATAAACGCCCCTATGGTGGTTGAGCAGTCCCTTTCCTCCCATCAGCAGAGGGGGCTCCACCTGACTCCAGCCTTCTGTGTCTTGTCTTTGTTTCTTCTCCTCTTTGCCACTCTCCATGGTCTTCATCCTGGGAAGTTTAAGAGCTGCATGCGTCGGGGCACAAAAGTCTAGTTGGTACCTTCTGATAAGTATATATTGTCCTTGTTCATTTCAGTTCATTTTCAGAGGCTAGTTATGCTCCTAACAGCCCGCACTGGGGGTAAGGGGTAACATAAGGACTGAACCAAAAAGGACTCCTTGACCCTGGAAACCGAAGGTCCCAGAACTCAGCTTCTGGAAGCCTCCATGGGAAACATGGATGAGTCCCCTTCTTGTCTCCCTCTTTGGGTCCCAGGCACAGTAAGAAGAAACACTTTGGCTGTGAATGTGAATGCTTGTTTGCTGGGTGAAAAAGTATCAGTCTCCAATTTAAAAAACAGTCAGCTCCTTAGAAGTTTCCTGGAGGTGACTGTGTTGACACAGGTGGGTGTGTAAAATGAGAGTTTTGTGAGTCAGGATATTTACAAATGCTTTCTGGTTTTTTGTTTTCTTATGAAAGGATGCATTTCTCTAAGTGATAGGCCTGAGACAGAGGTAGTGGCACATCTGTACAGCTTTTGCTTCGTAGCCACAGAATCATAATCAGCCACTAAGAAAATGGTGTTTGAAGTCCCTAGTGAGATTAAATCTGGCAGGAGGTCCCCATTCCGAGGGAACCAGCATCCCTTGCCTTGGGTCCTATTTCCAACTTATCAAACGACTTCCCTGAATCTGTAGGAAAAAGTAAATCTTCCCAATGTCTTGTGTTCCTCACACACACTACAACAAGTCCAAGAAAACCCCACTGGAACTAGGATGTGGGATATGTTAGCTGGGAAAAACGAATACTCGCGGGTCATTCTACAAGAGTATGGAGCAGGTTGTGAGGTCAGCTCCATCGGTGGCTGTTCAGGAGCTGAGCTGTGACAGCTGTCTGAACTAGTAAATTACTACAGTTCTTCCTTAGTATTTTGTAAACAGCCACTGGCCTGAGTCCTGTCCCCTGTCAACCTTGACTGCATATTTGAACTGCTTCCACCTTTTAAGTTGCCTTTGACTTTGCTAGGAAGGTGGGCTTCAGACTTTATTATGAATACTGGAGGGGATTAGGGTCATCAGCCAGGGCTGAGAACCACTGGTGTGAGTGTAATATGCACACATTGTCACCAGCTTACCCAGCCCTTATTAAGAATTCATATGAAAGGGGTGGGGATGAAGCTCAGCGGCATAATCGCCTGCCTTGCAAGCAGACAGTTGTGAGTTCAATCCCTGGTACCAATAAAAAGAAGAAGAAGAAGAAAAAGAATTCATATGCATGAGAAATATCTGCAATAACAATGGTCTTTATTTATTTAGTTTTTTTGAAAATATCATTTAAATTTTGCACCAGTGGGGATGTGGCTTCTTGGTGCAGTATATGTCTAACAAGCATGAGGCCCTGGGTTCCATCTCCAGGACTGGAAAAAAAAAAAAAAATGAAAGAAAGAAAGAAAAAGGAATTTTGTGTAGTGAACTGTATAATAATTTTACAAACAAGGGTGGAGGGAGCTGAAAGTGCTGTTTAAAAATGTGGTGTTAATTCCAAATAAAGTATCCTTTAAATAAACATAAAATTGCACCAATCCTCTGTGAGCAGCACCTGACCGCTCTGCTGCCTGGCTCTCTCTCTGCCTCTGATTCCTCCCCATCGGGATGACTGCAGGAATGTGACTCTTCATGGGGGCTGTGGCTGCAGGGTCTTTGTTCCATGTTGGTACTGAGCCTCCTGGCACTGGAAAGGGCCACAGGGGCAGGGTCTGAGCAGCCCTTTCGGAAGCAAGGCCTCCGTCAGGTGCATCATTACCTAGGCCTGAGGTGGTACCTGGAGGCCAGGTACCTCTCTAAATAGAGCTCTCTTTTTATCTCTGATTTTGTCTCTCCATCTCTCTTTGTGTCTCTCTGTCTCTTGGTCTCTCTGCTTCTCTCTCTGCACCCCCTGCCATAAGACACAGAGTGGCTTCCTGGACTCTGGGGGAATGAAATGGAAAAGGAGCGGGTCTGTGGGATGATTGGTGCCCATCTGGCCAGGGTCCTGGCCTTCCAGGAATCTGTGAATGTATGGCTCCTGTTCTGAGTTCTCCATAGTTCTGGGCAGTTCAGCCAGGACTGTGTCTGGTACTGCTTGAGGCAGGCATGAGAGGCCTTGAGTTGGGGCAGGAAACCCAAGCCAGTGCCCATGAAGGGGAGCCCAGAAAGGCAAGACTCAGGTCCCAGTCGGGTCATCCTCATGGGGATGCTCTGTTGGGCCAGGTCCTGCACGATGAGCCTGGGGAACCTCTGCTTTTTCCTTTCATCAGACTCCAAAGCACACTGTCTTTTTATGTGACTTGCTGTTGGCATCCCAGCACTGGGGAATATACAAGGAAATAGCATTCCCCCAATTTGGTGATGCTTAATAATGTGATGATATTAAATTTAATTTTTCTAACTGCAGGATGTGTCAGAGTTTGCACTGATTGATCCGTTGTGCTACTGGGAATCAAATCCTGGTTGGTCCTTTGTCCTGGGATACAGCCCCAGCCCTTTCGTATTTTTTTTATCTTGGGTTTCTCGTTTCTCTCACTAAGTCACTAAGTTGGTCAGGATGGGCTTGAAGTCATAATCCTCCTGTGTCAGCCTCCCATAGTACTGGAATTACAAGTGTTGGCCACCTTTTCTGGCTTTGTCAGAGCTCTTAACATGGCAATATATACTGTGAGTCTGGCGAGGAGAGGGATCTAGACTCTAGAGTATCTTCAAAATGTATTTGGACTCTTTCATCCTCCTTTCTCAGCCTCCCAGAGTGCTGTGATTATAAGCATGGGCCACCCACTCTGTGCCACTTGCATTTTTGGGCAGGGTGGAATATGGGGTAGGGGAGGGCATCAAGTGATGGACAGGGCACAGAAGCAGCCATGGGCAGACTAAACAGCGTAGTGTTGAGCCACAAGGCACTGGACCTTCTGGAAGCAGCCACAAGCAATAGTGGAGGTTGGCTGCTATGGGGTAGGGAGGAGCTGGGGGAAAGGATTCTGCAAAAACGGGGCCAAGCTTATGATCTGTGTCTCCAGACCCCGGGGACTGCAGCTGATTTCAGTATAATCCTAAGGGACAACTTAGCTACATCAGAGGTGAAAGATTGGTAACAGTTTCTCCTCCTTACTGGGGTCTCGGACAGATTAAAGAATTAAGCAAAGTGGAGGATGGGGGTTAACATGTTACCTTTGTGACCCTACAGCTAGAGGGTGAGGACCAGCTGTGTATGAGAGCTCTTCTTGCTCTGAATCTTCCTTAATATCCAGAAATGTTACTGTTTTGAAATTTGCCAGGTAAATAGGGGCAACAGTTTATGGCATTAGGGTTAATGACATGAGCAGCCTCTTACAGGCCGTGTGTGGCTTCTGTTCATCTTTTGCCTTTATTCGCCGGTTTGTTATTAAGTTAATGGAAATGGTACTTTCTGTGTTCTAAGAACTCCACTTCCTCCAGGATGTTTTCAAAGACCTGGTCTGTCTTCTCATCCAAGGAAGATCTATGACCCATCATGAATTGACATTTGTGAGTGATGTGAATACAAGTCAGTGCTGAAATTCAGTTTCAATTATTCCAGTAGCATTTGTTTGCTTTTGCAGTGTGGGGAATGGAGCCCAGAGCTTTACACGTACTAGACAAGCGTTTCTGCCACTAAGCTATGTCCCCAGCCCTTTTCTAGTTTTTTTCCTTAATGTAATTTAAATTTTTTAAAATTTTGTAATTGTTTGCTGCTGATAGAAATGCTACTTATGTTTACATATTGACTTTGCAAGGGATCCAGCCTTGATCAAATCTCTTATTAGTTTTCCCTTATTAATTTTTTGTTATTAATTTTTCCCTTATTAATTTTGTTATTAATTTTTCCCTTATTAATGTTTTTCAGGAGTTTAAAAAAAGGATTTGCTCTGAGCTCATCTCTTGGGGGCAAAAATCACACAGGGGTCTTTTATTGGTATTATTGGTCAGGATTCATCAGCTGACAATTCCATTAGATGTTTTAAATTTTGATGAAAGCAAAAAAAACTAGGCTCTGCCATTGGAAATGAAATGAATTTCTTGATGCTTCTGGAATGGAATAAAAAGGTGATATCAAGACATTTATAATTATTTTTATTGAATATTCACAAATAAAAATATTTTCATAAAAGTTTTTTGTATCATAACCATGCCTTCTATGTATTTTTATCAAACCAGAGTGGCACATTTTGCTGGATCCTTTGGGGAAGTCTTCCCACATGACCGTGCAGCCCTTTTTTCGTGCTCTGTGGAGTGTAGTCTGCCTACACTGTCATCAAAACCAGACTCGGTTCCTCAAATTGAGTCAGCGCCCCTGCACCTCCTCTGGCGCCATCCCATTCTGACCACTGCACAGGGGCCCACCAGGTGTCAGGAGTCTCTGAGATGAACTTAGACCCCTTTTTTCCACCTCTTCTCCCCAGCACTCTCTGCTTCAAGGTCGCCAGACTTTGCTCAGAAGTGAATACCCTGAGGCTTTTGTTTCCTTAAGGAATGGACCTCAATAAGACTCAGAAATTTAGGGGTGTGAGACTTGCCAGTTTTTAACTGGGACAAAAAAACACATAACATCAAATTTACCCTGTAACCATTCTT